TCATGACAGTGGTAAAATGTACACCAAAAACCTTATTCCAGCTGTTACCAAAAGCCCTTGTCGCGTTAAAAAACATCGTTAGCAGCGTAAAAAGAAAAGGCATAAGCACTTATGATCCGTGTGAATCTTCAGAAAGTTTCAATGATTAGAGACCCAAGAAGCATATAAGCATAAGCATTTTATGGGGATGTCCCTACCTTGTTTTGCTTCATTCTAAGAGGATTTATATGGAACATCCCTACCCTAATATTTGCTTATGTGCTTTTTTGGGGTCCCTAAATGAGCTCCAGACCAAATACCCCAAGGCCTCGCATGTACTTGCCCTTTGGCCGGGGAACGATCTCCTACATCTACCTGGGCAGAGTCTACAGGCGAAAAGGGCTGAGGGTTCCGGCTCGGAGGACTTACTACGGAAGTTATCCCATGGAGTTGTAAGTCCCTAAGGATCCAAGTAGTCAACGGAGTCCTTGTTTTTGAATGGGTTTTGGTGCCCAAACAGGCACTCAAGTCCTATCATAAGAACTACTTGGACCCTCAGGGAGTATCATAGTTCCAACTAGGATTCCTTGTAGGGTATGTACAATGCGACCCTCGGAGCAGAAACTCTGAAACCCCGGTTCAAGGTGTCGAGACTTCTGGCTTTCAAGCTGCAGGTAGTATCCTTGAACCCTATGTGTGTTTTCTTGGTGTACCTAAAGCCAAGATCGAACTGCATAAGTTACTGCCCTGTAAGCTTACTTGACATGCATGCTTCGGACTATCAGGGAATCACCTGTCTGCTTCTATCAAGGCCTCTATATATAACAGCTTTTCCGGTTGGTTTGGTGGGTGCTTGGGGTGCACGGGGGTTTCGTGAAAGACCTGGCAAGTTTGGGGTTCTGGGTTTCAGGTTTAGGGGCCTAGCGGACTGATCTGTGGCGACCAAGCTGCTGGGAGATACCCTCTCTGTAAAGCTTTCGGGTATGGAGAGCTGTGACACTTTTGGCTGCAACTTCAACATCCTGTTGCGTCCGCGCTTGGTCGTGCAGTAGCTCCATGCCTTAACAGACTTTCGCATGTTCACTTGGCAGAGGAGACTGTGAAAGCCGTTTGCGCTGATATTTGCAAGCCACACTCTCCACTCATAATCCTCCCTTCAAGCCTAAACCCTAAAACCCTAGACCCTCAAAGAGAAAGCCTTGACCCCAAACCTCCGACTCTACAACCCTAAACCCTAAACTATACACCCTTATGCCTGAACCGTACACCCCAAAGCCCAAGTCCTTCCTCTAAGGGTCCATGTACCTAAATAGTATATACATTGGCCTTAAAGTAGTCCCTATATAGGTACATTGGGGCCAATGTATATGGGCGGTTGTCAAAATTGGGGTCCCGTTTTGGGCCCCTAATATAGTACGGCGGCACTTAATACTTAGGGTACGCAAGAAGGGGCCATAATTTTGACAACTACCCATATACTATTTGGGTACATGGACCCTTAGGGTTCGGAACATTGAAGCAGAGCCCAACTCCGATTCCGATTCGCAGGGATCCGATCGAGGAAAGAACTGTGGTGGACTTCCAGCATGGATCCTGGCTCGGGGAGGGACGGGGGGCTAGAGCTTAGGGTTTAGAGTTTAGGGGTTTAGGGTTTAAGGGTTGAGGGTTTAAGGGTTTAGGGTTTAGGGGCTCTCCGAAACCCTACTAGGAGTGTCGAGGGACGAAGTACGCCAGTTTGCATCCAGATTCGGTCCCTTGTTGATGTTGATGAATGTCAGCCAAGCCCAGAGGGGCTCAGTAAGTAGCTCCTAATTAGGATACTGTTTAGAGGTATTTGTTGTCTCCTTATTACCTACTGACTGAGTCCCCCGACCCTTGTAGCACACCCTGAACCCTAAACCATGTAAACCCTAAACTCTGCAATCCTAAACCCCAGAACCCTGAATCGCACAGTACACGCTGAACCCTAAACCACGCAAATCCTAAACTAAAACTGACACAGCGTGCCGGGCTTGGGATTCGAAGGCGTTGACCCTACACCTTGGCCAAAGTTGGGTACTTGGAGGGTCGGGGGACTTAGTAAGTAGGCAGTAAGTAGACTTATAAGTACCCTAAAAGGGATCCTAATTGGGCTTATGGTACTTATAAGTCTCCAAAATAACTAGTTACTAAGTCCTCCGACCCTCCAAGTAACATTTTGCTGCATTTTCTTGGGGTACTTGACCCAAGAAGAAATAGAAACTTAGCCATGGATACCATGTTATACTACCTAACCATGGACTGGATACGATGTATGGTTTAAGGATCTGTTTTGAGTTACTACCTAGACCCTCGTTTTGAAGTATTTGTTCTCTGTTTTATGGTATTCGGTTATTCTTTGCGAAATCAGCGTGACAAGTTCAAAGTGGCGCATCTCGGGGAGGTAGCACCGCCTACCATGGCGCCTGAGCTTGTCCTCACCGCTCCAGCTCGATATTCGCATCCACATAAGGTAAAAGCCAGAAAGTTGGAATATGATTATCCTAACCCTTCTATGGTAAATTACAGGGTATCCTACCATGAAACCATATTCCAACTATCTGGCATTCTCTGTAGCTCATGACGCAATTATGCCAACAGCCTGTGCACCCACCTACATTGAGCCAAAACATTGGGGCCTAAATCATTGCCAATATCATTCCTCGCATTCTCCAACAGTACACAACAACGTACACCCAATACCTTCAAGAGTACACAACAACATACACCCCGTGCATTCTTATGATTCAGGCCCCTGCATTATGTACATTCACCACCACCCTCTTATAAACCCATGCCTAGCGAAGACTTCGCAGACAGATCACGGCACTCAAAGGAGAAGGATTGTAATATGGGGGTCGGACTACTTAGTAATAGGATTCCCCTTACAGTTCCTAACAATACCTGTCTTGTCATTCTAGTAGATCTTAGGAGCCCTATATCATATTCATCGGGTGTGTTTTATTTCTACACCGTTGGCTCCGTTGCACAAAGCCCTGCAACCCAGCAGCTCAACCTCTCATAGCGAGGATGTGCTCATGTCAACTCGTAGAACCCTCATAGCACCCTATGAAACCTAAGGAACCTTAAGATTTACCTTTGTAAAAGGAGCCCTTGACAGAACCCTGTAGAGCTTTATAAAACTCTAGACTCTAGACTAGTCAGGCATTAAGGCCAGTCTCTTGTGCATCAGGGTGAACATGCCTACTAATCCGTGTAACACTAGTATCCACTATTTCGGGGGTTCGATTTTTCGGAGCCTTCCTTGGATGCAGTTCTACGGTAAGGGCAGAATGCATATCCACGCAGAGAGCAGTGGGTTTCGGGTTGAAAGCCTGCAGCCCCGGTGCACGTACGGGTGGCTCACCGAGGTACAACCCCATCAATCCTGTGTACGTGACACCGCCGGAGATCACGCAGGATTGCAGATTGCACTTGTTGAACAGTGCAGGGTTCCTGCATTTCCCATAGCTCATGCAAGGCTCCACGTAGCCATGTTGCCATATATCCTTGCCCTAGAGGCACATGGATTTGAGGTGGTTGAACACTGCAGATATCCTGCATTTTCCGCAACAAAGAATAGTCCCTAGATTAGGCCGTTATCATACAGAATTTCGCACATTCAGAAGAACACAGGATGATGGCCATGCTCGCCCTGGCTTTGTGTTTTTGTTCGACCTTTAAGGGGATTGGGTTCTTCCACGCAAAACCGTCCAAAAAACATACACCCTGCAAAGCCTAAGCGCTATGCAGGACTACCACGTCTATCCCGGAGTTGCTGCGGGCACCTGCTTGTTTGGGGCGGGGCATCTTCACGGTTTAGAGTTTTAGAGTTTAGGGCTTAGGGTTTGGGGTATTTTGGGTCGAGAGGCCCTGGCCGGCACCCAAGTCCGTGCGGAAATAAGGTTCAAAGTTTAGGTTTTTGGGGCTTAAGAGCCCTGAGCCGTTCTGCTTTGGGCCACAGAAACCCTGTTTGTGCTGCAGAGTATGCATTAAACCAAAAAACCCCTAAACCCCAAAACCTACTAGTGAGAAGCACAAGGACTAGACAGTATTGGGCTCCAGGCCAGGATACCATGTTGCATGGTTCCGGGATTAAGTTCCTGTGGTTGAATTTTTTAGGTGGGTTTATAGGATTTAGGGTACCGTGGTTTCGGTTCAGGATACCATGGTGCATGGTTCAGGGATTAGGTTCCTGTGGTTGATTTTTCGGTGGGTTTATAGGATTTAGGGTGCCGGGGCTGAGGCTTTAGAGTTCGTAGTGGTTAGGGTCTTAATTATGGTTTACCTTAACCCTGAATAACCTACCTTGCTAGGGTTCCTTATTGTGATTTCCTTATGTAAGTCCATAAAACAGTAGGTGATTCCGGCTTAAGGTAAAGTTTAGTATCCATGCCAGGTGACTGAGCATCTTTTCAACTACTCCGGCATTGCGCACCGACGTGTCAGCCCCTCAGTGTTTGGTTTAACGCTCGGTTTCCATAAAGGCCCCTTTAGGGAATTATAAGGTTCCTGTACCCAGACCCCCGGGAGGATCCAAAAAGTAGATCCCTCAATGGGGGTTCCTCTCAAGTACCCTTAGTAGTATAGGGCCCCAAATTAGGGGATCTACTTTCTAGATCCTTCCGGGGGTCCCTAATAGTAGATCTTTATTATAGGGACCCCAAATAAGGTACTCTAATTTTCGGAAACCCCCATATACGCACCCTAAACCAATAGCCTTAATCCTTAAGAGTCATGTATAGGCTGTATAGGGAATTCCTGCACTATTTGGCCTTAATCTGATTTCCAACTCTATGGGGTTTACTGTAACCATATCCTAATATCAGTAGCTGAGTGGATACACTTTACACTTTTTGGGATAATATCACCCACTATAAAACTAAAAGTGTACATTTTTTGGGGGGGGCTTATGAACTCAGCTACTAAGTAATAATCATATACGTACCCTAAACCCTGATTCCGAAACCTCTTTGTTTGGCTACGAGGCTCCAGCTCTCGACATGGCCTCGCGAGCGGCGTTCCTCATCACCGAGGCGCCGTCCCTTGCTTTTGCCGCGGATAGACTTACGGTCGATGATATAAAAACCTACATTACTTTAAGGACTCTACACTATGGGAATTATTGTATATTCCTTATTATGGTTCATGCCGGCTGTATACCATCAACCGTAGGGACCCGAGAATGATAGAATTATAAGCATTTTATAGGGATATCCCTGCCTGATTGAGCTTCATTATAAAGGGGTTTGTATGGGATATCCCGATATCCCTATCCCAATGTTCGCTTAGATGCCTTTTTGGAGCCCTATAGACATGGTTCTGATTGGAAGGGCTGTATAGTCTGTAGGGATCCTGATAATCAGGATCTCTGTCATTTCAGGCTCCACAGTTGATGTCTTGCTGCCAGCCCAAGTAGGACAGGGTAATAGTTGATACCTACTTACAACTGCCGTTGAACATTCCAGGAGGATTTAGGATTTAGGCCTGGGGGTTAAGGCTTTAGCGTTTCCTTTCTTGTTGGGCTGTGACGGCGATGCAAATAGTCTCGCTTCACCTCTTCTTAGATCCCCACTAACCAACCTTTACACTTTTGGGGTTCTTATACCCAGAGACTCCAAAACCCTTTAATTAAGGATTAGACCTTAAATTATAGTGGGGATCCCATTATAATTTAAGGTATACTGTTTAATTTTAATTTAAGGTATATTGTTTAATTAAGGGGTTTTGGAGTCTCTGGGTAGCTTAGTAGGAATCGCAAAGTTTAGCTTTTCATGCCTTTGGCTTATTGGGTAAGTAAGGGAGTCTCGCTTCACCTATAGCCCATAACCATCTTGGCCCAAAGCTCCTCCCAGCAGGCCGAAACAGATACTGATGTCCCTTCCCCGATAAACACCTCATGCTGTAAGTATACATACTGAAGGATACTGTAGGGGCCACAATAACTCTCTGTACTATTTTTTGGGGGTTCCTTTTTCTACTTATAGTATATTATACCCCCCCCCCACCCCTATTAAGACTATAAAGGCCCCTATAGCACGAGGTCCCTGATCATTTAAGTACGTGAGTCGGGTAGTAGCTCGGTACGAGTGTTTCGCCGGCGGAGATGCAGCTCCGGCTGTTTAAAGAAAGAGTCTGCGCACATCAAAGTGTATGGTCTTGCAAGTTGGTTCATACTGCTGATGGACAAAATCCTGCATGACCCATGATAAGTCCCATAGTTTAGAGTCCTTCAGGATTTTGTCCATCAACAGTATGTACCCTTAAACTCCGTAAACCCTAAACTCCCTAAACCCTTAAACCCTAAAGCCTAAGCTCCTCGAACCCCTAAACCCTAAACCCCAAAATTAGGTACCCCTAATTTTCGGAAACTCCCAGATAGGGACTACTTTAAGACCCAACCAAGTCTAGACTATAGGAGTACATGAACCCTCGGGGATGATGTCTACCTCGACTGCTTCAGGTAAACATTCGCACAGGACAAGCCCGCGAATGGTGCAACCTCACCCTTGGTGATGGATTGTGCCGGCATCCTACAGGGTTTGGAGTTTCCTGTGCGGGCTGGGAAAGATTTGTGATGCTATTCCTTTGGACTCTTGCGACCCTGTTAATTCAACACAACGCAAAACTTTTTCTCAAAATTCACGCCCTTCGACTAGGATATCGAAATCATGTACCCCCTTCCGTACAGCAACTTCTCTCGACTTTTTGACGATGTAGGGGTTTGGGGTTTAAATTAGGGCATTCGGATTTATGTGGGTTTGGGGGTTTAGGGTTTGGGGTTTTGCTATCATGCAATCAGCCGATTCCCTAAGGGTCCATGTACCCAAATAGTATATACATTGGCCCCATTGTACTTGTAGAGGGACTACGTTAAGGCCAATGTATATGCTATTTAGGTACATGGACCCTCAGGGTTTCACAAAAGACCATATCAGACCATGAGTTTGCAGAGCTCTTCGATGCAGCAGTCGTTGGCAGGCTGATTGTTCTGAGGGTAATGTAGGAACCTGATTAAGAAACCTTGGGGCTTTTATTAGGGCTCCTTATATCAATCCGACTATGTTGGGGGTGTATGCCCAGGGTTTCTTAATCAGTTTCCTACATTTCAGGTTATGCTGAATCCTCTCCCGGCCTCTGGTCATTTCTCCGCCCTATTAGTTGTTACAACGACTGTGACTGTTTCTTGAGACTACTTGGAGGGTAGGGGGACTTAGTGATTAGTTATTTTGGAGACTTATAAGTACCATAACCCTAACTAAGATCCCTTTTAGGGTACTTATAAGTCTACTTATTACCTACTTACTAAGTCCCCCGACGCTCCAAGTAAGCCTCATTAAGCAAGCACAGCGCGCAGAACCCTCGAGCCCCACTAAACCAATATAAACAAATAACGCCCCAAAGCCCTGTTTTAAGCAAGAACACTTGGAGGGTCGGGGCACTTAGTAAGTAGGTAGTAAGTAGACTTATATGTCCCCTAAAAGGGACCCTAATTGGGGTTATGGTACTTATAAGTCCCCAAAAGTAACCAGTTACTAAGTCCCATGACCCTTTAAGCAAGGCAAACGAAACCCTGAAGCCCCCTTAAGCCCTAAACCCATAAACCTGAGCCCTTAAACCCTGAGCCCGAAGCCCTAAATCCTAAACCGATACCCTCAACCCAGAATCCTAAACCTTAAACCCTAAACCCTAAACCGCAAAACCCTAGACCCTAAACCCTCAACACAGACAACTGGGTACTCGAAGGTTTGGGTTCCATGAGCTACGAGATCCCCTATGCTGCGCTCTACAACCAAGAGCCCCTGGCCTCAAAGTCATAGAAGGCCAAAAGGGGTTTTAGCCTATGGGGGTTTAGCAGGGTGTAGGGTTCCCATAATAGGGTTCATATTAAGGAATCCCTACCCCAAGAATCTTAAACACCCCTTTTGGCTTCCCATCATCAAAGTATCGGAGTTTGGGGGTTTAGGCTTCCTTCAAAGGGGTCTCTAAGGGTTTAGGGTTCCTTGAAAGGGGTCTATGAGGGCTTAGGGTTCAGGATTTTTGTTTTGAGCTTTGGGTCTAGGGCTTTCTGACTGGAGGGTTTTTATATAAGGCTTTGGGTTGAGGGTTTTCCGATTAGGGCTTTTGATTGCTAACATGAAAGCGTGTACATGGCAACTAATCTTCCAGGGTATGTGGCAGTTGTAGTTTGTACTGAAGTATATGTCTATTCATGTCATATTCGGTGACCACAATGTTGCAAGGTAGCTACCTTTCGTGGACACGACCGCAGCAACTGGTTTTCGTAGAAGGTAATGATAGCGCCGTTCTGCGGTCTCCCTGATAAAGAATGAGTGGGAAACACACACACACACACATGTGGATCATCCTGTTTTTTCAGATGAAGTTGTACTGGAATGCATATTGTGTTACTTTCGCATGTCATGTTATGCTAGAGCAGGGTAGTATTTCATATATCATCATTTAGCAAAGTAAGTTAAAGTATAAATAGTTTAAAATAGTATTAGGTTGTGTGATCAGGCAAAAGTAGTAGTACAGTCTGTTCCACTTACCGATATTATATTATATACATATAGATATATGCATATATATATAAATATATATATATATATGTATGTATGTATATGTATATGTATATGTATATGTATATGTATATGTATATGTATATGTATATGTACATGTATATGTATATGTATATGTATATGCATATGCATATGCATATGTATATGTATATGTATATGTATGTATATGTATGTGTATATATATATATATATATTACATATAGAAATCTATCATTATCCCGTTCCATACTATAAGGTGTTCTACTACACAACACTATACTGCACCATGCTTTTTGTTCATTGTAATTCTTGTGGTACACAATATGCGATTATATTAGGAACATCAAGTGTAATTAGGCGAGAACTTCTTAACATGCGTATATATACATGTGTGTAAATACATATGTACATGTACATGAAGAGATGATGTAGTGGTGTATGTACATAGACGAAATAAACACACCTGTATGTGGTGTATATATATAAATATATGTAGAAAGTGCATATTGAGCTACACGTACATACATACTTACGTGTATGTTTATATACATATGAATGTGTGTATATATACACACAAATACATATACATGTACATGTACACATATGTTTATTATCGGGAAACATACATACGTCCCTGGTACAGCCAGGTTTCGACCTTGCAAGAAAGTATCGCCTCAGATCAACCCAGTTTAAATACCGTCCATATTTGGGTGTTTGTTGTTTCCCAGGCCCTAAACCCTAAACTCCTTTCAACTGTCTCCCAGGCCCGGCATTCCGTTGTCCCTCAAAGCACCGAGCTTTGAGCGAGCACGCTTCACGATGGAGGCGGGCATTTGGGTGTAGGGTTTTCGGGGTTCAGGAGTTTGGAGTTTACGGTATGGGGTTTAGGGTTTGTAAGGGTTAGGGTTTAATGAGGTTTCGGATTCAGGATCAGGGTTTAGGGCTTTGAGCTTTTAGTGTATCCAGTCCGAGGGTTTCATCGAAATGACGGTTCTGTAGCGAATCTATAAGGGTTCTGCTGGCCTTTTCTAGGGTTTTAATGTGTTCAAGTGCGTTGGGCTTTGGTTTAATGGTGTCTGGCTTAAGGTATTGAAAGACCTATGCAGACCATAAAGTGTCCGTGAAACCTGAATGCTTGAACCCAACTTGTAACCTAAGTCTAAAACCAAACGCTTGCCTTACAAACCCAACTTGAAACCCGAACTCCGAACCCTACTGTAATCACTCAAGGCCACATCAGACCCCAAAGTGTAGAGGCGGGTACCATCATCGTGGACTTCGACCGTGCGACGCTGCAGGGAGCTCTGACGGTGGTCTGGGACTCAGTCGAAGCGCTCCAGAACCCCCCTGCCCCATATGACAGGGTCGGACCAGGGTCGGAATATTGAGAATATGATTCCTTATAGGGTTTGAGGGATAGGTCGGAATTTAATATAAAATTCAGCACCGCATGGCCCCTTTCCGCCGGGATTTCGGTTCTGGGCTTTGTGCAGTTCTCAACAAAACCGAAAGATTCCCAGCAAAAGTACTCCTAGGTAGGGTGTGGGGCTGAGAGTGTACTTGGAGGATCATGGGACTTGGTAAGCAGGGTTATAAGTACCCTAATTGGGGTTATAAGTAGTTATAAGTATAGTTACCCTAAATATAACCCTAGTTACGAAGTCCCATGACCCTTTCAGTATATAAGTTACTATATAAGTGTATGTGTTCTCGGTACTTGGGCCTTTTTTGAGGTTGGTGGTCTAGCAACGCAACGTGATTCGAAACGAGAGTTTCAGATAGTGATGCTATCCAGGACCCAAATCTTAGGGTCATGACGACAAGGATCCCCTTGCAAGAGAGGACACCTACGGTTTTGCTAGTTCCCCGAAGGGTTCAGAGCACCAAAATTACCCCAAGGGTCCAACCAATAATCATGCACTCCCCCAAATGCTAACCTACATAACTACTATCCTAAAACCGAGTACCCGATTATTGGGTCCTTTGGACCCTTGGGGTTATTGCCTGGGTAGCTCGCCGAAGCTCTTCTTTGCGCCCTCGCGCACCGAGGACGCCGAGTTCAACGACGGTGTGCCCGAAACGATCGCCTGCAGCTTATTGAGCGGAGGGGAGGGGTAGGTTGAGTTTCCAAACCCTAAGGGTCCATGTACCTGAATAGTATATACATTGGCCTTAAAATAGTCCCTATATAGGTACATTGGGGCCAATGTATATACAATTTGGGTACATGGACCCTTGGGAAAAGGGTCCGAGTATATAATAGTATAGTATATACTTTTCGGGCCCGAATACCTGCTAAGTACCTACTATGATGGTACTTGGACCCTTTGGGTTTGTTGCTTCTTCTGAGGGTGGGTTGACGACATACTTGGAGCCTTCGTCAGCACGGGTTGAGACGATGGGTTGAGGTACCAAAGAGATCTACATAATTGTTGTCCTAAACCCAAGTACATTCTTATTGGGTCCTGCGGACCCTTGGTGTTTAGGCTGGGTGGTGTAACCGGGAATCAATTGCACGACCAGAACTATAACGCTGCATGCACAAGTGTGCTCGACATCTTTGGTAGTGAGGCTTTCTGCTTGGAGGGTCGGGGGACTTAGTACGTAGGTAACAAGTAGAGTTATCGGTAGCCTTACTGGGATCCAAGTTGGGGTTATGATACTTATACTAAGTCTATATAAGACATCTACTTCCTAAGTCCCCCCTCCAAGTAGGGGCATGGCCGGGGACCCCCGACAGTTTGAGCTGCCTCGAGCAAGTGCTTTCTTCAGGTTTTCAGTTCCAAGAATTGATCCCTGATCCCTGCGCTGTGCTTGGACCGTGAACCTCCAAACTTGAACGATCTCAAACTCTTATAGTAGATCCATAAAAGTTGGAAGCCCAATAGGCTCAATCCTTGAGAGTCAAGAACAGGGAATCGCAGCACGAATTGTGCGTAAACCGGCTTCCAACTTTTGAGGTTTGCTGTAAGTCCAAGAATCCCACACCCACAAGCCAGAGACCCTCAACCCAACACACCCTCGCTTCACCTCAAACCCCCAAAACAATAAGCCCCTAACCCGATGTCTTATTCCCAGCCCACGCTTCCTGAGGATTACTCTACGCAGCCCGATGGTCTCTTCGACTGTGCCAGGGTGGGGCTTTCTGGGATCTACATCGGGTCCCTTATCTTTAGTGTTGTTCGGAATTGTTTTCGCTCTTTATTATCACCAGACTATCTAAACCTCCAGTGCATTGTTGTTAGTAACCTAAACCCTAAACCCTGCCAGCGGATCCTGCTATGAAAGATGCCTTTAGTTTTGCATGCTTCTTACTGGGCTGAGGGTTTTTGGAATCAGGGTTTTGGGTGTTTGTGACTGTGGGTTCACCTAGAGGCCGGTTTAAAGGAGAGGGATCGGTGCGAATGTTAAAAGCAGAAAGATAAACCACCTTATAGCTACTCTGGGAGTGGTTGTTTTGAGCAGATTCCGGCTACAGGGCTGCTAGTGGATTTTGGTCTTATAAGTAGCCTTCGGACTTCTGGTTAAGGCCGTATCCTAAATCATACAGTCTTGACCTATCCGGTTAACCTAAACCCCCTACACCCTGAACCGGTAGAGGAGCCCTGACAGTAGCCTTTGACCGACTACCCTCATGAAGCCCTTCAAGCTTCTCTAGCCCACAAACATGCCTCCCAAAAGATTAGTTATTTTGCAGACTTACAAGTATCGAAACCCCAGGAAGATCCCATGCAGGGTACTTTTAAGTCTACTACAACTTGCGTACTAAGTCCCATACCCTCCTCTTAAGGATCCCTGCGAGGAGCCCTACTTGTCTATTTTAGACTAACTAGTTACTACAGTACACCAGTACACCCCAAAAAGTTGAAAACCGGATTAAGGCCAATTAGTGCTGAGATTCCCTATGCATTACTCTGAAGGTTCGAGGCTGTTGGGTTTCCAACGAATGGGCTTCTACTGTAAGCCCAAAGAGCCGAAGAGAGCCGAAGAAGTGGCGGAAGCAGGTTTTCACCGATCCGACCATCCTCCTCCTCGGCCCATATCCCGAGACAGAGCGGCCTCCTCAGCATTCTGGGGCTTTAGGACATTAGGATTTAGGGTTTCAGGATTTTAGGGCCTAAGGTTTAGGGTGTTTAGGCTTAATTAGGGTTCTAGGGTCTTAGGGTTTTAGGGCTTAATTAGGGTTTTAGGGTTTCAGGATTTCAGAGCTTAATCAGGGTTTAGGGTTTTAGGGCTTTAGGGCCTAATCAGGGTGTAAGGTTTTAGGATTTTAGGGCTTAATCAGGGTTTAGGGTTTTTATGGCTTTACGGCTTAATTAGGGTTTTCGGATTTGTGGGCTTAGTGTTTAGGGTTTTTGGATTCTAGGGCTTAATCAGGGTTTAGGGTTTTAGGGTTTGGGGTTTAGGGTTTTAGGGTTTAGGGTTTGGGCCTTCTCCGGGTTCTCAGGCTTCTGGTTTGGGGTTCACTCTGAGGGTCTGGGGGGGGGGGGGGTTAGGGTGTGAAGGTCTTTGATGGGCGGCTTCTCGAATATTGTGGAGTAGGTTTGCAGCGAGGTGGTGTAGGCAGGATTAGAGGGCTCTAGTGGGCTAAGAGTTTAGGGACTTTACCAAGTTTGGAAGCCTGTTGCCGACTTCTTGAGCCCGGAACTCCCACACAGGACGATGCCGCCCTCCAGGCATTCAAGCCGCCCAACTTAGTAGCAGGGCAGGCAGCCTTTAATCAATAATCTTTTTGGGCCAGTATAAGCATCTGTAAAGCCCTATGTAGTCCCAGCCCGTTCAGTTAAAAGCTCTGAAGACACAGAGAACCCTACAACGTGCTGGATATCATCAGAAGCTACTGATACACAAGATCCCACACCCTTTCTGACCTAAAGCTCTTACACTGAAGCCTTGTTTTTCGTTTGTCCGGACTGCTTGACCCCAAGCTCGCCGAAAAGCCTGTGAGCTCATACCCCTGAAGCATCTGGGATCACATAGGGTCAAAGCTCCCTAGGCATCAAGGCGCGTCGAGCATTGTATAAGCTCTCATAGAATCGGTCTGGTACTGTACGTGTTTAACGAAGTCGTCATATGTTAACCTCAAAGCTTTAACCTGTAAGCCCAGGCCCGATTACACCCTCAAATCTGTAGTCTGTTTTTGAAAGGCTCCTGCCCGAGAGTTTGCATAAGGACTATAAGAATGCTTATTGAATCAGGAGCCCTAGGCGCCCAAATAAGTGCCTATACAATTGTTTTTGTGGGGAGGGGGTAGGGTGGGGGGTGGAGGCCTTATTATACTTCATTTAGTACAATACATTATAAAATAGTATGCCCGGAATCCCTCTTCTCATCATTCAGGCCCCTACAGTAAACCCGCCGTCAAGCTTCCGCCCTGTTCCAGGTGCATTTGGATGACCGACTCGCGTGTTCAAGTGAATCTCCCTTCAGCACCTGGGCGTCACGGGGGTTACATGGCGATTCTTTGGGTACATATAGTAGGACCTGAATAGTAGCCCTATTATAGACTCTTACTGTACGGGGGCCGTACCTAAGCGGTTCTGCAAGGTTCTAAGAGGGTTTAGGGTTTTGGGGGGTGGGTTTTAGTACATGGTTCTCGTGAGAGGTCCTATGAGGTTTTTATGGACCTTTTTTGGGGTATCGTCTGTTTTTATTACAAGGTTTCTGTATGAGGGATTTATGAGGGTGTTCTGTGAGGGTTGAGGGTTAATGATTGCTCAGTGTTGTATGGGGCTCCGTTTTTTTTTGCGGGTGAGGCTAAGGTCATGAATTAGGTATCCCTCAAGACGGCACTTATTCTTTGTACAAGCCTACCTTTTCAGGACTATAAGAAAGCGTATTGAATCAGGAGCCCGGAAGGCGTAGGCTTTGTTTGTTCGGGGGATTAAAATTTAGCAAGTAGGGAACAAGCAGATTCACGAGCTACGTACCCTAAATGAGATCCTAGCACGGGGTATGATGCTTGTACGTCTACAATAGAACTGCTTACGGAATCCCCCTGACCCTCCAAGTAGATGGGTAGGTTTAGTTTGCCAGGGCTCACGCACTTGATGGTTCCCCCTAAGTACAGATTTTGTGCTCTTGAGGTTTAGGGTTTAGGGTGGCCGTCATGGCTTGGGGGACTGTGTTCTTGTGGAGTGTTGCAAAAGATCAGGGTTATCAAAGGATCTTATTGTACCATCCGAACAGGAGATGGATGCTTGCCCTGCCTAACAACGGTTTAGGGTTTAGGGTTTAGGGTTAACAGTTTAGGGTGTGTAGATTGTAGCCAGCCTCTCGATCCTAAGCCGCTATCCCAAGTTGTTGAATCGCGCAAAAAAGAGGGCAGTACTATAGGGGTCGACTAGTTAGAGTAAAGAGCAGCCCCCGAGAGAGTCCGTGTGTAGCCATATTACCAAAATATGCCTCACCACCTTCTTCCAAGTATTAAGGCCTTGCATTCCTTATCCCCAACCCGAGACCGCCCCTGCATTACTTACTGCAGCCCTCAGATCATTAACGTCTCCGTTGGAGACTCGCTCTTCGTACGGCCGGGCTCTCGGTGAAGCGAGGAGCAAGGAAGTCTAGCCGGCTAGAGTAACTAAGGTTCAGAGTTTGGGGTTAAAATGGTTTAGGAATTAGGGTTTAGGGTTTATACTTCTCCTAGTTGCTTTTAGGCTGTGTCGGCTGCGGTTAATTGTAAGGGGGATCTCGAAGATACTGTCGGGTTGCAGTTGGTGCGGAAGTGCAAAGACGTTAGACACCTGCGATCAGGTTTATAGCCTTTAGCCCTGGTTTTTTAACCTGAAATGGGGCGTTAATTGTCCGACTAATTCAGGCTCAACCTCGCCACACGGAATTTGAAAGCGAAGCACTAAACCCTGCAACCGCAACCGTGCATCCTAACCCCACCCTAAGGATCCTGATACTTTTGTCAAAGGTTGAAACCATGGGCCCCTAGTATGGGCCCTTAACCCTGAGATCCTCGTATACCTACTATATATACCCTATATAGACTCTTAAGGGTCCCTAGAACTCCCTCAAAAAGGTTTAAGGGTCCATATTAGGGGCCCATACTTCCGAGCTTAGATTATGGGACCCTCAACACTAGGTCCTAGGAAACCCGAAAGAAACCCGATGCTTAACGTTCCGTTCCAAGCAGATATGGGCGATATGGGGGTTTCCGAAACTAGGGGACCCTAATACACTACCCGAATTGAATAGAGGATCCTTATCAGAAGGACCCCAAAATGAGGTACCCCTAGTTCTCGGAAGTGCCCATATCTAGGATTGATCAATCTAAATCCTGCAGCCGTGACCCGCAGCACACCCCCCCAAATGGCGCCCATATGACTCCTGGAACCGTGACCCCTATACACACTGAACTCAACACTGAACTGATCGGGCCGGTGCCATCTACAGCCCCTCATTCCAGCAGACGACAGTAATACGTAAACCCTCCTAAGCCCTGAGCCAACTACTTGAAAAAGAGAAGAACCGAGAGCAACATATCTTCACTCGGGATATACAGTACCCAGAGACTCCCAAACCCCTTCATTAAGGAATATGCCTTAAATCATAATCGGGATCCTACTTTAATTCACGGAATATTCCTTAAGTAAGGGATATTGGAGGTTTCTGGGTAAATCATGCTAAGAAGGCCTCTGTAGTTGATGGTGCACACCCTTCTTCAGGGGTACTGGGCTTAATTAAAACCCTCAACCTGAAGCCCTAAGCCTGAAATCTCAACTTTCTATGTCCCTAAACCCCAAAACCCTAAACTTGAAACCCGGGAGCCCTAAACCCTAAACCCCTCAACCTGAAGCCCGGAACACGAGCCGAGGCCCGACACGATCTACACCATCCCGCGGAATGGCGAGTGGTCCCCCGCGGCCATGGGCGGCGTGCAGGTCGCGAGCAGGGCCGTGAGGAGATCGAGGGCTTTGAAGTTCCTTTAAACTTTGGGGTACTTAGAAATATGTTTATGGTTTTTGGTTATTATAATCCCTAAGAAACAGCAAACTTTTTTTTGTTAGGGTTCTAAGTTCAGTATAGTAAAGGGTTCTGTAAAGGGATCCATAAAGGGACCTTAACCTACCAAACCCTTCTTTTTTGTAGGGTGCCTATAGACTCCATATTAGGGTTCATAATAAGAACCTACGAAAAACTAGGAACTAGGGTTTGGTAGGTTAAGGAATCCATAATGGGGTCCTTCAAAGGGATGTATTGGGGTTTAGGTCTTGGGGTTGATGATCGCTTCGGAGTAGAACGGTTCATGATACTTAGTAGCTGAGTGGATACACTTTACAGTTTTTTGGGATCGTATCATATACCCGCTATAGAACTGAAAGTGTACACTTTTTGGGCTTGTGAATTCAGCAACTAAGGATATATATCCTGCATTACCTTGCAGACTTTAAACTATGGGAAGTATGGTACATTCCTTATTATGGGTAATGACTGGATTTCTAGCATCAGCCGGAGTACGCATGCTTCTCCCTAAGGGTCCATGTACCTACAGCAATTATATAGTCCTCGTATAGTTCTAGATACCGGGGTCTTCCAAAACCAAAAATGTTAAGGAATGTACGTTAAGTTGTAGTAGGATGACTACCTTGAACTAAGGTATATTGCTTAATTAAACAAAGAGGTTTTGGAAGAAGCTCTGGGTACTTTTCAGGTCAAAGTATATACTCACATGGATACATCGTCCCTTAGGGTCTCTGTGGTAAGGAAGGGGATTTGGGATATTGCCTAAGTGGTTTTGGAAGAAGATCTGCTCATTTGGATACATCGTCCCTCAGGGTCCCTGTTGTACTCGGAGGGTCGGGGGACTTAGTAAGTAGGGTTATAAGAAGAGTTATAAGTGCCCTAAAAGGGATCCTAATTGGGGCTATGGTACTTATAAGTCTGCAAAATAACTAGTTACTAAGTCCCCCGACCCTCCAAGTAAGGACGGGTGGTGTAGGTAGGAGCTGATCTGGGGGGCCTAAAGTTTAGAAAGGGTTTAGGAGCTTAAGGTGTGTCTTAGTAGCTGAGTGGATATGCACTTTGAATTTCCACTTTTTGGGATAGAAAGACGCACTATAAAACTGAAAGCGGACACTTTTTGGGGGCTTATGAACTCAGCAACTAAGGATTGTTGAGATTCAAAGTTTCTGGATGCACCACGGTCCCTAGTGCCCAAAGTACATTCTGATATGCGGGTTTTGGACAACAGCACAGGTAGCAACTGCATATGAGATTGTCATAGTGTGTAGTGTTTTAAGTAGTGGCCCTAAACCCTAAACCCCTAAACCCTCTTGGGGTGTTGTATCGTCATGGACTTTGGGGTCCCTTCGAGCTACCATACCGCTGCGGCCCTCGGGATCTTCGTCCCTAAACCTTATAAACCCAAAGCCCTCCCACCCTGCCTTTCACGGCCCATATCAGTCCTTGGAAGCTCTAACCACCTAGATGCTAATATCTACTTGGGGAGTTTCCGAAAATAGGTGGTATCCGATATAGTAGGATCCTTATTATAAGGACCCCGAAATAAGGTACCCCTGATTTTCGGAAACTCCTATTTCCTACAACCCCTGAACCCCTTGCTTGACCCAAAACTCCCAATCGGCTCTCGGGTGTAATCCTTGCAACCCTAAACTTTTGAACCTAGGAAATCCTGAAACGCTAGCCCCGAGCCCCAACTTGGAGGGTCGGGGGGCTCAGCAACTACACTTATCTAATAATTACCGAACCCCACTTAGAGTCCCCTTTGGGATACTTATAAGTCTAGTACTTATTTACCCACTTAGTCGAGCCTCCAAGAAAGCCCCTTGGAAGGTCGAGCCCCCTGATCCACTGGAGCCTCCGGTGATTGTCGCGGCCCCTGAGGGCGCGGGGGTTCGGGGTTTTGAAGTTCAGTGTTTGTTGTGTTTTTTGTTTGGGGGGGGGGGGTAGGCTTTATGGTTTAGGGCTTATAAGGGCTTTGGGGTTTAGTGGGTTCTAGTATTTGGGGGGTTGTGAGTAAGAGGTTGCTTCATGGAGTTCCAAAAAATCGGAACTACACGTAGGATCCCGTTCAGGATACTTGCATTTCTGCCAAAAACCTTAACGCAACATACTTAATTAAGGTCCCCTGCAGTACCCTCAACACGAAGCCCCCACATGTGAAAACCCTTGTTACATTACATTACCTACCCACGAAGTCTCCCGACCCTTTAAGAATAGGCTCTGGTCGACGTTGGGCACGTCCCGTTTCGCGTCGGAGGTCAACAGGTCCAGGTGGAGTTTTCCTTCCTAGTTTGGAATTTAAGGAGTTCATTTCAGGGCGGGTTTAGGTCCAATCCTAAACACTAAGTTTTATAAGCTCTAAGACCTAAACCTTGCACCCTTAGCCCACTTGGAGGGTCGGGGGACTTAGTAACTAGTTACTTTGGAGACTTATTAGTACCATAACCCCAATAAGGATCCCTTTTAGGGTACTTATAACTCTGCTTATAACCCTACTTACTAAGTCCCCCACCCCCCAAGCAAACTGTTTATGCATTTTTGTTGAAGGGGCCCTAAACCCCTAAACCCCCCTAAAACCCCCCTAAAACCCCCCTAAAACCCCCCTAAACCCCCCTAAACCCCCTAAGCCCCTGATACACCCCTAAACCCGGGTGTTGGAAGGGAAGGTCGAGGCCCCCATGCTGACGATCCTCGACACCTTGTACACCAAGACGGCGGCATGGTACGACTGGTGCGAGCAGTACTGTGGTTTAGGGTTTAGTGTGAGGCTTTAGGGTTAGGGACCCCGAAGACTCCAATATCCTTGAATTAAGGATTATTCCTTGAATTATAGTAGGATCCCTGATATGATTTAAGGAGTATTCCTTAATTATTAAGGTATATTGGAGTCTTTGGGATCCTGCTGCCCGCGTCGGCTTCGAGCCGGAGATTCTGGAGGAGACGGACTACCGCACTGCCAGTTCGTGGCTTCGCGGACGCATCGTTCCAACTTCCCGGTGCGGGCAAGTTTAGGTGTTTCTTAGTAGCTGAGTGGATACGCTTTACACTTTTTGGAATAATATTACCCACTATAAAACTGAAAGTGTACACTTTTGGGGGGGCTTATGAACTCAGCTACTGAGGTTTAGGGCTTCGAGTTTAGGATTCTGGACGGGGCTGCTGAGCCCAACGACCGTCACGTGAGACTTTGGGTCTGCTTCTCCAAGACTCTCGTCTGCCGTGCAAAAATGAAACCTAACTGCTAAAACTAACTCTAAGGGTTTAGTAGTCCCTATATAGGCACATTGGGGCCAATGTATATACTATTGGGTACATGGACCCTGAGGGTAAGGTCCCGCCGCCACAAAAAAAGTACCAACACAACATACCAAGAGAACCAACAACCCGTTGACTCAGGGATCCACCTTCAGCTCACAACAAGAAGCCCTCTGTAGCTGAAGATGCCTCCCTTTCTTAAACCCGTAAACCCTAAACCCGAATCCTAAAGCCAAAACCCTATAGTAAATCTTGATTTGCGGTAAACCCTAGACTCTAGACCCTAAGCGTCTTGGGTCTGAGGCTCCTCTAATATTGAGACTCTCAGAGGCCCGATTCTCCTGCTTCAAAACCGACGTCCAGAAAGGCTTAGGGATTACCTGGACCCTAAAGAACCTGCCGTTTCAGGGCTCACTATTGTGATTTCCTTATATAAATCCTTAAACAGGTAGGTTATTCAGGTGAAGGTAGGGGTTCAGGGTTTAGAGTGGTCCTGTTTGCCAACGCCAACAACAGCCTCACCAAGATACGTGTAGGCCAGTCATTCAATGTCTACATTTCTGCAAGACTCCATAAACCACCGAAGCAAATTGTATGCAATCTTTGCAAGACTCCATTGAAGCCACTCCAAGAGCCTCGTCGACACACTATATAGACTGTACCGGTAGGAATAAAGTGACCCCTGTAGTACAAAGGTGCTGACAGGATCTACGAACTTGGATCAGCAACTGGCCTGGATCCAGTGGTCTCCGTTTCTGGGTTCCTAAACCTATAAACCCTGACCCCAATCCCTAACCCCTAAACCCCCAACCCTAACCCCTAAACCCCAATCCCTAAACCCCAGACCCTAAACCCTGAAGCCTGGACGGCTTATTTCGAGACCTAACCTGTGAGCCTGCGAGACTCATGAGGGCTTTCATTTTCGTGGTTCTGAAGTATGAACATACGGTGGATGGTATCCATCCTGCATTACCCATAAGTATTCCAGAATTCCGGGATTTTGGGTCCTTGAGGTAGTTGCTTTCTCGGCTGCGGGGTTTAGGGAGTTTGGGTCTTGGTGGTCGTGTTGCTTTCTGTGGGTCTACCGCGAAAATACTGACACAAACATTGAAACCCTCAACTTGAAGCCCCATACTTTATTGCAAACCCCACACCCAAATTTCAAGTTCCGAGCCCAATCCCGCACACATCGACTTCCCAAAGAGGCTCGGCAAGGCATCCCTTGATAACCAACACGCGCATGCCTCAACAGCCCAAGGCCCAAAAACCAATCCCTAATCCCGGAAGCCCTAAAACCTTAAAACCCTTAACTTTAAACAGCCAAACAAACAACCAAACACACACACACACACACACACACACACACACACACACACACACACACACACTCTCTCTCTCTCTCTCTCTCTCTCTCTCTCTCTCTCTCTCTCTCTCTCTCTCTCTTTATAGGACCTTCAAAGAGCCTTACAGAACATTACTTAGCCCTTTAATGCGGAAGCCTTGTAGTAACTCGTAGCAGGTCGCTCCTGAACTCTGAAACCATTAACCTTAAACCCTAATCCTGAACCTTAAATCTTACACCCTCTAAACCCCAAACCCTATAAACTCTAAAACCGTAACCTTAAACCCTAATCCTGAGCCCTAAGTCTTACACCCTCCAAACCCTAAATCTTTAATCTCTAAAAGCATGCAGAGAGACAGACAGAGGTGTACCCCGGTGCGGCTGGTGGGAGTCGACTCCTTCCAGACGGGCAAACTGCCGAGGCCAGGTGTGCTGTGAGCTGGGGTTTAGGGTTTACTTGGAGGTTCATGGTTCCTTTAAGGGTTTAGAGTTCCCTTAAGTGTTAAAGGGCGGGGCTTGTGGTAGTTATAAGTGGGGTTATAACCCATATTCGGGGACCTATAACCCCACTTATCACTACCCATGAACCTCGAAGTAGGGCCTAGTTTGGGGTTCCTTATAAGGGCTGAGTAGGTAACCTTCTACCGTCTGGAGCTTATACAATCCTACTGTAATGCAAAAGGTCAACTTTTTTTGGGCTAGGGTACTTAGCCCCTACAGTAGAAGCCAGAAAGTTGGAATATATAGTTATCCTCACCCCTTTATAGTAAATTATAGGGGATCCTGCCATTATTCCATATTCCAACTTTCTGGAGTTCCCTTTAAGGTTCAGGGTTCATGGCCTAGGATGGAGTTTACGCCCTCGTTCCGGGGTTAGGGTATAGTTTGGGCGGTTTAGGGTTTAGGGTTTAGGGCTCAACATGAATTTACAAAGCCTACCCAAGAACTTCGAACTCTTCGGGTTCCCTACTGTCGTTTCTATAGTGAAGTTTCAGCTTCCGGTGGCTCTGGTTATAGGAGAACAAAGGTAAAGAGTCCAAGTAGCCAAGTGCCCCTAAACCCTAAACCCTAATATAGTACCCTACTATTTAGGGTACTATATTAGGGTCCCCTATTTCGGAAACTCCCAAATACTTGGAGTGTCGCGTTTGGGGGCTTCAGGTTTAGTGGGGGCGTGGCTCCTACATGCTATACTCTGGGAGGTTTAGGGTTTTAGGGTATAGGGTTTTAGGGTTTTTGGGGTTTTAGGGTTTAGGGTTTTAGTGTTTAGGGTTTAAGGGTTTAGGGTTTCAGGGTTTAGGCTTGGTGTTGGTACCCAACAGTTACAGGGGTCGGAGCACTTTCCAATCTTATTCCTGCGGGTTCCTTTCATATTTAGATTACAGAATAGAGTAGAACCCCAAAGCCCTAGTGTAATTATTGAGGCTCCTGCATGAAAACCTTGCCAGTTGCACATTTGGACCGTCGGCCGAGATCTGAATTTGAGAGCTTCCGGGTCGCTAGATACTCCTGCCATGCCGGTTCCCAGCAGCAGTGTTTTTGTTGACAGATGTTTGCGTATAATGCTGCCGATGACGAGGAATCTTAAACCCGAAACCCTAAACAAAAAGCCCTTAACCAAAAAACCCTTGAACTCGATATGTCGCAGGTATTCGTGGGACCTGGTGAATGGCACCGAAGAAGATCCGAATCCGAGGGCCCGCATACTGGGTTCTCGTTATCGTTTGTTGGGTTTAGGGCTTTCCGTTCAGGGTTTAAGGTTCTCGTTTTCTGCGTATCGGTTCGTTATCACTTTCAATTTCCCTTATTGCTCAATGTAGAGGCCTTTCAACAGTTTTGGGGATTGCTGAAATCGACACACAGTTTTCGTCTGTTGGCTCTAGGGCTTTGGGTGCTGGCGTTTAGGCTTTTTTGTGTTGGGTTTAGACGTTCAGGGCCTAGGCTCTCTGTAGCGGCGCGTGGTATGTATCTCAAGGGTCCAAAGGACCCAAGAATCCGGTACTCGGTTTTAAGTTTTAGGATAGTAGTTATGTAGGTCCCAAAGGATCCAAAGTACCTATATAGTAGAATGTAGGGTTTCTATATTAGGAATTACTATTATGATTTGGGGAAGTATCCCCCATAACAGTACCTAGGACCCTTTGGGGGTTAGGATTTGGGAGAGTATATGATTATTGGGTACTTGGGCCCTTGGGGTATGAGGTTCATGGACCTGAAGGGGCGTCTCTTCGCTTTTGTTGTTCTGGTCGGCTTACGTTTGACGCCAACGGTATTTGGAGATGTTGGGTAGGCCTGAGCATATAGTACTCATGTAGTCCCTGTTTCGGTACTTTAGGGTCAAAGTATACTGTATACTCATATGGATACATGGACCCTATGGTAGTTGTATAATGGGATGGACAGGCTCTGTCATGCGAGACAATTTCGGACTTGTTCCCGGCATGCGATGGACCGAGAAGCATATGGGTGGTTCTCAAAATGATGGTCCCCTTTTGGGATCCTTATTATCGTACGGCACCTAATCTTCAGGGTACCCAAAAGGGATCCTAATTTTCACAGCTACCCACATACCCAGAGTCATATCCTCGCCTACATACCAACCTGTCTAAGACGAAACACCTCGTTAATGTATGATGTGAAGTTGAGGAGGTGAGACCAGCAAACCCTAACCGTTCAACCTTTAGTTTAAAAGCCATGCATATTGTAAGATAGTGCCCCCTCTGCGGCTAGAGACTCCAATGACAACGTATCAACCCTAACGCACCGTAGACACCCTACTCCCTAGGGTCCCATGTACTCATATAGTATATACACTGGCCTTAAAGTACTCCCTATATAGGTACATTGGGCCCGAAGTACATGCTAGATGGGCACATGGACCCTTTTGGCCTGAACCCGTCTCGCCTTCACGAACCCCTCAAAGTATCGGCCGCTAGAACATAGGTTTCAGATAAATCAATTTCCAAGGTTTTTTTCATGAGGATGCTACGATTTAGGGTTTATGTTATTTTTTTTGAGAAACTCTCCTAGTGGTTGATGTTACTGTATGGCCTTCAAGCAAGGTTTAGGGTTCGGGGCTAGGGTACTTGGTCTCCGTCAGGGTTTCCGGTCTCTCGTCGGGACCCCGCCTTACGACTATTCCGAAGACTCTACTTAAAGGATCATGGGACTTAGTAACTAGGGTTATAGTTAGGGTAACTATACTTATAATTACTTATAACCCCAATTAGGGTACTTATAACCCCACTTACTAAGTCCCATGATCCTCCAAGTACCCTGAATGGTTTTCTGGTACCTAGAGCCTACGAGAAAAGATTCGTTTCTCTGGACCTTGACGGACAGGTAACTTCGACTCTTTGGGTGCAATTTAGGGTTAATTAGGGCTTACGGATTAGCTCCGTGAGCATCTTTCGGATACTGGGACAGGACTACGTCCCAGAAATGGTGCACATCCGCTTACCCACCGCTGTTCCGGTCCATTTGGCAATCAATGCGGTAAACGCGGGGCGCACCCCTGATGCCCGCTTGCGCCTGCCACGTGTGACGGCCGTCAACCCTCAACCCGGTACCCTCCAACTACCCTCCAATATACCCCAAATACCTATTACTAAGGCTCCATTAAAGGGCACTTAGGGGGTCCTGGGGTTTAGGAAGACCTTCAAGAATGCATCCCTATACCTTAATCCTTAAACCCTTAAAGGAAGACCTTCTTTAAGGGTCCCTTAAGGTTTGGGTGTAGGGTTCAAGGTTAAGGCGTTTGTGCAGGACTTGACCAACAATCCGAACCGGATCATCGATGTGTCGAGGGAGCAGGTTTGGTGGGGGGGGGGGGGGGGGTGGCCAGGGTAGCCCTTTTTGTCAGGGTTTAGGGTTTAGGGTTTGGTGCGGGGGTGGGGGGGTGGCCAGGGAAGGCTTTTTCTTTGTCAGAACCTTCGGATTTTCTGAGTTAAGTTTGTTGATGGTTCGTGGTACAGCATGTTGGGATCCAGGGTTTAAGTTTGTCATAGGTGGGTAGATTTTACATTTCTATGGTTAAACTAAACCCAACAAGGAATAAACATGAAAGTTCTGATGCTATCCCATCCCTGAACTGGTGTAAATGTTACGGTTTTCTGCGTCTGGGACGGCGCTCCGTTCGTAAGGTTTGTGGTGGAAGTTTGCTTCCAGATTGAGGGTCATGTTCGCCACGCTTAGGGCCGGTCTACAGTTACGATACTTAAAAACTAGACTTACATGTATACTTGAAAAGGGATCATAATTGGGCGTATGATACTACAAGTTCACTTATTACCTACTTAAAGACTAAGTTTCTCGCCCAAGCAACCAAGTACATTTACCATAGCTTATCGCTTTGGGTTGGAGCCAGGGCTGGCTTTGCCACCAGTTATGAGGGTTTAGGGGTTGAGGGTTTAGGGTTTAGGGTGGGTTGGATTCAGAGGTTTAGGGTTTAGGCGCTGATCATGCAGTGGTGTGACATGCCTTTGACATAAACCCTAAACCTTAAACCCTAAACCGCCCTAAACCCTAAACCACCCTAAACCCAAAACCCCAAGCCCTATTCTTTCACTGAAGGCCTGGACTCTGAAATCCTGAAGTTAGGGACCCAAAAAAGCACATAAGCATAAGCATTTTATGGTGATATCCCTACCTTACTGGGCTTCATTATAACTGGGGTTATGTGGGATATCCTTAACTGTTTTTGCTTATGTGTTTTTTTTTTTGGGGGGGGGGGGCCCTTATGAAGTCCTTAACCATGAATCAGCCTGAAACCCAAGCCCCACCTGGACCCTGAAGAACCTACCTTTTAAGGGTTCCATATCCCCAAGGGTCCAAAGGACCCAATAGTTAGATACTCGGTTTTAGGATAGTAGTTATATAGGTTAGGATTTTGGAGAGTATATGATTACTGGGTACTTGGACCCTTGGGGTAGTATGATTAACAAGTCCTTGAAAAAGTAGGTTATTTGGGGTTAAGGCATACCCTCAAGACCTCTGTGGTAGGGTCAGAGCAGGGAGTTCCGCAAGAGTGCAACAGGATGGTTAAGGGCGTTGGGGCATCTATCACCTCGGCTTTTGGTTGCCTTTGCCTTAGCTAATCTTATAAGATCCTAACCAGAATAAAGTTACCAACAAAATGTTACATTGCAGCTCTAAATTCTAAACCTCGGGTTCCGGGTCCTAACCTGGGTTCGCCACGACCCATCGGCTCGATGGAAGCCTGCAAACTCTGTCAAGCCCACTAACCCTTATAAATGCTATGAAACCGTTAACCTCCCTATACAACCCTGTAAAAACCAGCCTTTGCTTGCAGTTGGTGCGGGAAGCCTTGCGAACGGCGACAGAGCTTCTTGCATGACAGAGGGCTTAGGGCACTTGTGTTTTTTAGAGCTCATGGTTTTGCATTTAAAGGTTCAGGGACTTGGTTTAAGGCTGCCGCCTTAAGGTGTAGGGTTTGGATTTGGGTTCAAGGTTCTCCAGGGACCCGGAACCAGGCTTCAGATTGGAATTTAGGGTCTAGGGCAAGCAGCAGCGGATCCAACGACAGGGCAGGACGGCAGCTCCTCTTCCCAGACCCCCGGGAGGATCCAAAAAGTAGATACCTTAATGGGGGTTCCTATAAAGTAATTACCCTTAGTAGTATAGGGCCCCAAATTAGGGGATCTACTTTCTAGATCCTCCCGGGGGTCTGGGCTCCCTACACCACGGACATCCCTGCGGGAGCCCCGTAAATGGATCATACCTCCAGTCGCCCCGCAGAGCACGGTCGGCGTGTGGCTTCCGGACGGGCAGCGTTGGATCATGATAATGGTCTGCGTCTACAGGAGCCGGAGTTGGGAACTTCCCGGTCACATGGGCCATGATCATGGGGTTTAGGGTTTAGGGTTTAGGGTCATGGATGGTGCAAGACATCCAAACGAAACTGGAAGGACGCGTGCTGATGTCCCGACTGTCGCTGGCGTTGATGACGTGATCTGCGTCTTCAACGGGAACCGCATAAATCCGTCAAGTGCTACGATAGAAAACAGAGTGCTGGAATCCTTCGGCAAACACTTGAATTGATCGATCATGGAATCCACAACTCCTCGCAACTCCAGCTTTCGGGCTTTCACATGTTTGTGACTCAGAGACCAAAAGGGTTCATACCAACATCATTGCACTAGGTCGCCAAAACCATAGTTCATAAGGATGGTCTTGTGGAACCTTTTTCCACTACGGTCGTCTCCTAAAGCCTAAACCCCTGAGTGAAACACTTCACAGATCATGAAATCCCCAACTCCAGATTTTCGTTGTTCACAGGTTGTGGGCGCTGCTCCTCTTCTCACGGGATCTCCGAATGTTTTCGTTCTTGCTTACCTTAAGGCCGCCGAAGAGCAAGTTCCAAGAGAAGAAAAGGATCCAGGCTCCAAGCCTCATCTGCAACATCGTGACAGCTTTAATGCGACTTCCTGAAGCCGGGGACATAGTGTCGTTCCCACTATATCGGAAGTCTAGTGTGTGTAGAGGCCCGACCTGACACAGTGCATTTCAACGACGATGACTCGTTCAGGATCTCTACATCCCATCCCAAGGTAATCATCAGATGCTCTCTCACCCTAAACCGTACACCCTGAACCCGTAACGACAGAACACTATTCTGAACCTAGGTACCTTAATCATTGAATCCCTCCGACCCCTGGTGGCAATCCCTAAATCCCATACCTAAGCCCTTGGGGTACTCGACGGATCATGCGACTTCGTGTCTAGTAGAGTTTACAGTAGGGTTGAGGGTGTAGTTTTACGACGCGCTAGTTATGATAGTTATGACGTGTTATCCTATCGAACCCTTAAAGAACCCTATGACGGTTTATCCTATCGAACCCTTAAAGAACCCTATGACGATTTATACTATCGAACCTTTGAAGAACCCTACGACGAGTGATCCTATCGAGCCCTTAAAGAACCCTATGACGATCTATCCTACCGAACCATTACAAGAACCCACCGCACCTTTAAAGAAACCCCCAGTTTAGGGTTTAGGGTTCAGGGACTTAGTGAGTAGGTAGTAAGTAGACTTATAAGTACCCTAAAAGGGACCCTAATTGGGGTTATGGTACTTATAAGTCCCTAAAATAACCCACAGAGATCGTTTCGTCCGCCAAGGTTTAACATGGGCACCCTGGAGATGCCGAGTTTGGAGCTTGAGCTGGTGTTTTGATGCTCCTTTAAAGGGGATTCTAAGGGTTCCTTTAAAGGGGATTCTAAGGGTTCCTTTAAAGGGCTCCATAAGGGTAGTATAGGGTTTAGGGTTCAGGGTTCAGTGGGACTTAGTAAGTCTAGGATCTCCAGTAGTACCCTTATTCCCTTTTTCTAGTCCTAGGTTCCTTATAAAGTTACCTACTACCAAAAAGAGAGGCCTTTTTATTCTTAGGTTACTGGGTATCCTAGCTTGTGTTTTGATCATAGGGACCCTTAGGGGGTAGGGACTTTGATTATAGATCATTTTACCGGCGGTTGAAATCGACACCTAGCATAGTATGTACTTAGGGCTTAAAGTAGCCCCTATATAGCTACTTCAAGCTGGAAGTAGACCCATATGAATACATGCCCCCATCGGGTTGCCAGGTTTGAGGAGGAGTGGTTTGGTATGTTTGGGGTTTAGGGTTGAGGTTGTTTGGGCGGTTAGGGCTGAGGGGTGATTTTCGACCGGTTTTCGGATTCTGGATGTTGGAGTTTGGGGCACGCTGGGGGCCTTAATCATGAGGGGTTGGGGTGGTGTAATACGAGGGCTTGATTCTATAAAACCTATGCAGACATATGTTTGTACTGGATACTCCGGCTTCTGGTACTGCTACTCCGACTCCTACTCCTGCCCCTGCTCCTACTCTAGACCCGACATGTCGCGGCCCTTGTCTGCCCTGGCCCTCTGACCATCCTCCGGCTAGGCACCTTAACTCTGGAAGGAGCTAGGCACTGGACACCTCAAAAAGCGGATAGAACAAGGCGCCCACCAAAACAGAGCCAAAACACCCTACATCTGCCAGTACCTCTACACCCTAAATCCTAAACCCTCTAATTCATGGCTACAGACCCCAGGATTCTCGGCCCAAGGGGCTTTAGGGTTTGGGTGTAGGGTTTAGGGTTTAAATCGAGGGTCGGGTGACTTAGTCAGTATAGGCATCAAGTGGGCTTGTAAGTACCTGAAAAGGGATCCGCATAGGGGTTATGGTACAAGTGGGGTTGCCCTTTTATTTTCATGGGCGCAAGGCACTTACATCCGGGAATATCAGGCGTTTACGGCCCCCTGAATCCTAAGCCATCCTAAACGATAAACCCCAAAAAAGAAACCCTAAACCCCTCAATCCTAAGCCTTCCAGAACCAGATGAATTGCTAGGTAGAGATCTGGGATATGTGCTGCATGTCTTTATTGCTGAATATAGAGCGCTAATTATAGACAGTTGTTTGGGGACTGTTGAAACCGACACCTAGAAATGTGTACAGTTATACATACTTTCTGGGCTGAAGCCCCCAAGCAGTACCTACTTCGGGGTCTAAAGTCGCTAAGACTCTAAAAGGCACCTACTTTGGTGTGTGTTGTGTCTCATAGACGGGAAGCTCTAGAAATAAGGGACTGTAATATGATATGACTGAGCCTTTAACGATCGACACCTTGTTGCCATGCCGAGGCGACTACATGGAGGCGGCCCGCGCCTCAGACTTTTGGGGCGCATCATGCGGCGTTGTGATTCTTGTTTTGTGGGTCCAGGGTTTGCGGCTTAGGGTTTTTCGGGTTTAGGGTTCAGGGCCAGGACGGCTTGGGGCTTACGGTTTAGGATAATTAGGGTTAGGGTTCAGGAAGACGACGACGGCCACTGCCACTGCTACTTCTCCTGCTGCCGGTACCACAAACTACTACCACTATTACTACTACTACTACTACTACTACTACTACTACTACTACTACTACTACTACTACTACTACTACTACTACTACTACTACGACTACTACTACTTCGACTTCGACTTCGACTTCGACTTCGACTTCGACTACGACTACGACTACGACTACGACTACGACTACGACTACGACTACGACTACGACGACTAGTACTACTACTACTACTACTACTACTACTACTACTACTACTACTACTACTACTACTACTACTATACACTACTACTACTACTACTACTACTACTACTACTACTACTACTACTACTATACTATACTACTACTACTACTACTACTACTACTACTACTACTACTACTACTACTACTACTACTACGACTACTACTACTACTACTACTACTACTACTACTACTACTACTACTACTACTACTACTCCTACTCCTACTCCTACTCCTACTCCTACTCCTACTCCTACTCCTACCCCTACTCCTACTCCTACTCCTACTCCTACTCCTACTCCTACTCCTACTCCTACTCCTACTCTACTGCCTACTCCTGCTCCTACTCCTACTCCTACTCTACTGCTACTGCTACTGCTACTGCTACTGCTACTGCTACTGCTACTGCTACTGCTACTGCTAGCTACTGCTACTGCTACTGCTACTGCTACTGCTACTGCTACTGCTACTGCTACAGCTACTGCTACTGCTACTGCTGCTGCTACTGCTGCTACTGCTACTGGTACTACTGCTGCTGCTACTACGGCGGCAAAAGTACTTCATGTAATTCAGGATTACGCGGTTCTTTCAATCAGTTTATTAGGCCCAACAAGCATGTCAATGTAAATCCCAAACCAGTGGCCCAATTCTGAAAACGTCAAGTTCCCATCGTCCCTGAACCCGACACCCTAAGGCCTGAGCCTTAACCCCTGAACCCTGAGCCTTAACCCCGAAACCCTATCAACCCTAAGCCCTAAACCCTAAGCCCGAAGCATGGCGGAGTGGAGAAAAGAGCCAGTGCACTTTAAAAAAAAAAAACCCTAAGCCCGAAGCCCTAATCCCTGAAAACCTAAACCCCAAGGGTCCAAGTACCCAATAATCATATACTCTCCCAAATCCTAACCTACATAACTACTATCCTAAAACCGAGTACCCGATTAACTTACCCGATTATTGGGTGCTTTGGACCCTTGGGGAAGTCCTGGAACTCAAGAGCCCTGCACGCCCAACCCCAAGCCTCATACCGAGATTCTAAGATTCAGGAACTCCCTGCAAGCCGATCCACGTAATTGCCTAAGGGTTCCTTTGAAAGGGGTCTATAAGGACTACTATAAGGGCTATTATAGAGATTTAATATAGGGGCCTTAATAATTACCAATGCTATTTGGGGGGGGGGGGGGGGGGGGGGGGTTCCTTCTTTTCTTTACAGTATAATGGGGGCCCCAAAACCCTATTCTAATTATTCAGGCCCATATATTGCATAAGTGCCTGTCTCAGAAATCCGTGGTCGTAGCCAGGAATTCCTGGATTCCATGTTTATGTATTCCAGACATAGAGTTAGGGAATTTCCAGTCAGGTTCCTGCATTATACATCACGGAAAGGATCTCATTATGCGCTTTCGCCGATTCCCTCTGCTTCTTTAAATATTGAGACCTGGACGACAAAAAAGGGTCACAGACATGTTGTATGCTCATGTTATATGCTCTGGCCTCTGGCTCTAGTTCTAACTCGACAAGGACCTTAGCCCCGAGTGTGAAAAGCTCGTGGGTGAGTTTCTTCGGGTACTGGGTACAAGTACCTGCAAGCTTGGAGCAAGTGAAGATTAAACCGTTTTCAACCTTAAACCCCAGGCTACAACGTACAAGATGCTGTTCTCCGTCACCAGCCGCTGGGGACTGACCACTGTGAAAGAGGCCGGGAAGTGCGCACGGCCTCGCGTTGCTATGCAGAGTCTTGTCGGGGTTGGCAGTAGAAAACTTCTTGCCGGGTGCTGCGGCAGGATTCATGAATAGTCTGAGGGATCACTCTAAAACCTAAGCTCGCAACCCTAAATTTATACCCTAATCCTTAAACCTTATAAGCAAATAAGCCAAAAAACACCTAAATTTATATCGTTCCCTGAACCAGTTTGTCTCGAGCCCATGGGTTGCTTCCGGAGTGAGAGTTGTTAACATTTCAAAACTTTCGTTCGTAATCAACTAACATTCTCCCTAAGCCAAGTACCTACTTTCGTGGGTCCCTTGAGCTTTCAGTCAGGTGCCGCAAAACCCCTGCAGCCCCACTTAAAGGGTCATGGGACTTAGTAACTAGGGTTATAATTCGGGTAACTATACTTATAAACCCAAATAGGGTACTTACTTATAACCCTACTTACTAAGTCCCGAATCCTCCAAGTAGAATCCATATTCTGGAGCGCCAACCTCCACTGCTTCCTTTACAAGGACGCAGAGTCGGCCCTTATTCCCGGTTCAGATTCCCTTCTTAGGCACCCTTAAACCAAAAAGGGCACCCTTTTTATTGCTAGGCTACTCTTGGGTCTAGTTTAAGGCTTCAAGTAATACAAATCTAGCTATCGGTGTGCGTTAAGTGTTAGTTTTCAGTTATTGTTGCATATAGAGCCCTACTTGTAGAGGATGTTGGGGACTGTTGAAATCGACACCTAGAAATGTACACAATAGCTTCTACTTTGCGGGGTAACAGGGACTCTACTTAAGCTACGGCAAGCCTGATCAGCCCTTCTAAGCACTCACAAGAAACCATAGAGTGCCCCTGGTTACAACCCTTTGGAAAGACGCCCACATGCTCCTTGTAAAACTCCACAAACACTTTATACACCCTGACCCAGTCCTCTTAATTTTAAAGAAACGCCAGGTGATGCTGACGAAGTTGAATTTCCCAGCCCCCATGGCCCGAAACTCAGATTCAAAGGCTTCTTCGCCAAAACGCGTCTCGCGTGCTTCTTTAGTTTGTTCCTTGCTGGGGCCGTGCACTAATTATAGTCTCCTTTACAGAGATCTCCAGCATGTGTGTGGTTTGCGAACCGGTTCATCAGCTTCAAGCCTGGATTGCAGTGCACGTTGTTTGGTCTCTGTGGGCCTTATAGGATTTCAGATTGGTTTAGAGGGTGTAAGGGCCACAAAGGACTCTGTCGCAAGGTCCCAGAGCGGACACAGACAGCCAACTTTCTAGATGATACACATGGACAGCATAAGTGGCCTGAAAATAAAGACTGTGGGTCCATCCCCAATGCCCAAGTAAGGAATCTAATCTCCGAGGCTCCGTGTAGCCAGATAGCATAAGCAAATGCAGCATAGATTTAGGCCACAAAGTACCTTCATTCGAACCCCTTCAAGGCTAGAGCATATGTTATATAGGCACCTGGAGCCTGAGGGAACGGAGGCCCCGGGTGGCACCTAAAAACCCTGCTTTCTGGGGCATTTAAGCATTAAGTTCGGGCTAAATGTGCAGATGCGGGTACCGTTTTCCAAAACCGAAGTGCTCAAGACGACCGGATTTCGCACGACGAACCCAAGCTCACTGACCCCTACTTGGAGGGTCGGGGGACTTAGTAAGTAGGTAATAAGTAGATCGAGTTATAAGTACCCTAAAAAGGATCCTAATTGGGGTTATGGTACTTATAAGTCTCTAAACTAACTAGTTACTAAGTCCCCCGACCCTCCAAGTACAGCTTTAGACTGTATACTCAAGCCTCAGAAAATTAAAAAACATATAGCCCAAGCCCGATGGTTCATGATTTTTTGGATTCCAAAGCCTTAAACTACAAGTCCACAGATCCTGCGGTAATGTAGGGGGCCTATTGTTATTAGAATATGGTTTGGGGGTATATTACACCATAACTATAAGAAGGAACCCTCAGTATTAAATAGGAATTATTAAGGGCCCTATATTTGAAGCCCGATTTGAATGTGCTCTGGCAGGTCTCCATCAATGGCCCAGCACAGATCAACCGAAGACGTCCAGATCGAATCACGCTTGAGGTGAGCTTTCTTGGATTTATTGGGGGTTGGGGTCTGTTTGCGGGGTTGTGGGAAAATCCACCGCACAAAGACCTCGAGCTTCTTCGAGCTCGCCTAAGGAACCCTAGGTGCCGCGGTCGGGGTTATGGGGTTTCGGACCCTTGACCCTCCATTCTGCTCAGGCTTTCTGATTCGGGATTGGGCAGCCAACTTGCTCGGGGCTTCAGGGGGTTTAAAGGGAACTCCAGAAAGTTGGAATATGGTTTCAGGGTAGGATACCCTATAATTTACCATAAAGGATTTAGGATAATCATATTCCAACTTTCTGGCTTTTACCTTAGGGTTTAGGCAGGGCTTTAGGGTTTAGTGGGTGGTAATACAGGTTTCGGGCTCCTAGCTGCAATCTCCTGGGCACCAAACCTCCGAACCTTGAGCCTTTATGGGGTGGGTTTAGGGTTTAGGGTTTAGGGTTTAGGGTTTAGGGTTTAGGGTTTAGGGTTTAGGGTAGGATGGGAGCGCGCAGAGTCGCAGGCAATGGTGTTTCGGTATTGGCATGGACCCCGCACTTCGATTGTCATACCCTACCCTGCTTTAGCGTACCTAGTTTTATGGCTAAGATCTTTCATAGTAGAAAAGTAGGTGCACTAAAAAGGCACAGGGTATGACCCTGTAGGCACCTTACAACCTCAACCGAATCCCCTCAGCCCAAAGCTTCGAGTACTGAGTGCGACGGAGAGCCCTAATGATCGAGGACACCGACAGTTAGGCTTTAGGGTTTATAGTGGAGTTTCCGAAAATAGGGGGGGACCCTAATATAGTACCCTAATTGGTAGGATCCTTATTATAAGGACCCCAGCATAAGGTAACCCGAATTTTCGGACACCCCCATATTGCCCTGATGACCAAGAACACCGGAATGAGGCTTTAGGGTTTACAGGGCCCTAATCATTGTGAGGACACCGAAATGAGCAAATATCAAGCATCCCCTTGAATCTCACGCTAAGGGCATATTAGCTCTTCCACATCCCCCGTCAGTGAAGAGGACGACCCTTTGAGGCCCTTGCGGGGAAATTTGATCCAGCGCCAGACGATACGCAGAACCGTGAGAGGTGAGAGGCCTCTACAGGGGGGAGTGGAAACAGCTCGTTTTCGATAAGCAGACCAAGAAGGTCTTCGTTGAGGATGCGCCGCCCGGGGGGAAGTACCTTCGTCTCACTCCCACGGGGACGCGTCGCATGGTGACGCAAATGATGGAAGCAGCCTGCTATGCATTCATGGCCCTACGGATGTACGGGGACATGACGCAATACTACAACCTCATCACCGCGCTGAGGGAACGCTTGCTGTAGGCAAGTGATGTCTGGACAGCATGCAGAATCCTCTACAACGACCGGCTCGGAGTTCAAAAGGGGGAGTTCAGCGCATTGCTCGATGGCCGCCCTCAGCCTCTACCCTCAGTTACTACGAGTTCGGGGGAGATGGTAACCCTAAGGGTCCATGTACCCAAATAGTATATACATTGGCCCCCATGTACCTATATGGGGACTACTTTAAGGCCAATGTATATAGTATTGAGGTACATGGACCCTTAGGGCAATAGAGGTGCCAGTGCAAGATGAGCTGCCGGCTCCAGAGCCAGCCGCCGATCGAAGGATGAAGGCCCCTGTACGCTAAGCCCAATAGAACCCCAAGGGTCCAAAGGATCCAATAATCGGGTACTCGGTTTTAGGATAGAAGTCATGTAGGTTAGGATTTGGGAGAGTATATGATTGTTGGGTACTTGGACCCTTGGGGGAAGCCTCCGGCACTTTACACGATTAGAAAACACCATCAATGTGAGTTAAGACTAGTGTATAACTCAAACCCCAACAACCCACCTCTCTTGAAGGATGCTTATAAGGAACTCATAATGGGGAGCCCTACAAAGGTAGGTTCTACAGGGTTACGCTATCTGCTCCTGCCTGGAGAAGATGGAAGTCTTTGGACTAAAGTCCCGATACACAGAAGCTCCGCACTCCCGGACCCGTGCTGCTCGCCAAGCCTCAACTCCCCCCCTTTCACCACCCCCACCCCCCCTGTTCCCCCCCTCAAGTTCGAAAGCCCTTTATAGAGCCGCTGAGAACCCTAAACCCTAACCCCCTCGTCGAACTGTTCAATATTGGCCGCGCGGGCCCCCAAACCAAAGCCTCTCCTGTCAGGCCGTGGGAATCCCCTCTGCGTGCGCCAACGCTTCCAACAACCTCGGGTACCGGTGGGTTTTGGCCCCAGCTTGGGTTGCCTACCCTAGCCCGAAACCCTGCTTCAAGGATCATGGGACTTGAACACTATGCTTAGAAAATTATGTAGCACCTCTCATTAAGGCACTTGGAACCTTGCTTGCCAAGACCCCTGATCCTCCAGGTAGAGATGTTCGGAGGGTTTATGGGTGGCCTTTGGGCTCCTCAGTAGCAGTTGAGTATCATTTAGAAGCTGCCCCCACCCTGTAATAGTGGTATAATAGGAATATAATAGGGCCCTAATAAGATATTAATATAATCCTTATGGTCACTATTACAGGGTGGGGGCAGCTTCTAAAGTATCATGTATGATACAGATAGATTCGGCCTTAATCGTAGACTATTACTTTATGGGGGGCAGGTTTGTTAGGCAGTTGAACCCACACCTTCCAAAAACCTGTAAACTAGGAATATGCTTCAAAATATATCAGGGATCCTACTATAATTTCAGGTGTCAGGTGTATTCTTTAATGTCCTACTAGAACTTCAGGTATATTCCTTGGTGTCCTACTTTATTTTCAGGTATATTCTTTACCTAACCCTAGATGGATTTTGGGCCCAAAGACCATACTATATAAGGCTTTTGGGCCATTTTGATGCCCAGGGTAAGGAATTTCGGAAGGTCTGGGAACCTTGAGATAGGAGCAGGTCTCCGGCAACCGTGGGACCCCCTAAGGCGGTCTGTTCAAATCCTATTGGAGGGAAGTACTGGGTCGTGGTTATGCAAAAGGGGCCGAAGTAAGTACCTACACTATTTTTTGCGGGGTTCCGTCTTTTCATCGTAGTGTAATTTACATCCCCAAAACCCTATTCTAATTGTTAGTTAAGGCCCCTATATCCCTAAATCCCTCATAGTACCCTTATAGCATCTCTGATCGTATCCCCTAAAGGAAGCTTTTCAAAGGAGCCCTGTGGAGCCGTTAAGGCCCTTATGCCGAGTCTCCTGGCCCTTCAATCCTCAGACTCCACGGGGGCTTTAAAGGGTTCCTTTAAGGTAAAAGCCAGAAAGTTGGAATATGATTATCCTTACCCTTCTATGGTAAATTATAAGGTATCCTACCCTGAAACCATATTCCAACTTTCTGGAGTTCCCTTTAAGGGGTCTATCGTAATTAGGGTTCAATAATATAAGCGCCTTAAAGGGTTCGGAGCCGTTCGGTGTTAAGCCCTAAGGTTCCATGTACCTTTATAGCAGGCACTTAGGCCTTAAGGGGGTCCCTATATAGGTACGTTAAGACCTAAGTGCCTACAATATGGGTGCATGGAGCCTTTGGTGGGCAAGTCAAGCCCCACCGCTGTGGTATGTTACATCTCAAAGTCCTACTCGATTTATCATGGCCTCTATAAACCCTAACCCTAAACCCCTAACACCCTAAACCCCTAAACCCCAAAACCCTAAACCCCTAAACCCGGAGCCCGAAACCGTCTATGCTCTACTTTGGGAGATCTAGCTTCTTGGGTTCCAGGACTTCTTCGGAGGTGGAGTTTCATGTTTTAATGTTTTGGGGCTTAGGGGTGTAGGGTTATTTTGATGTTTTGGGGTTTAGGGTTGAGGGGTCCAGGATTTTTTGATGTTTTGGGGTTTAGGGTTTAGGGGTTTAGGATTTTTTGATGTTTTGGGTTTTAGGGTTTAGGGGTCCGGATTGTTTGATGTTTTGGGGTTTAGGGTTTAGGATTTAGGCAGGGGTTTTGGAGTTTGACGTTCCGCGGATTTTTACAAGGTTTAGGAATGTGTCTGGAATAGTACTTCTCGGGTTTGGGGTTTGGGGATGCATGGGTTTTCACCGCGTGTTCAGGAGTTGGTTGCTTGGTCTCAAAGGTTCAGGGTTTCTACGGGTTTGCGGCGAAAGCTGCTAAAGCTTACCGTTTTGTTAGGACCGGGACATCTGAATTCAACTTGACAAGCTTACTTAGTTCAACTAATGTCTTTAACCCCCTCCGATATCACTCCGACAGACCATGCGTCTTGTCAAACCCATGAGGGCTGGGTTCTGACACCCCTTTAGGTAGGTCCAGTTTACTTAGATCCCCAATGCGCAACCTTTAAACTTTTGGGCTATTATAGTTTAGTAGGAGCCGGAAAGTTCAACCTTGTATTTTTGTGGCCTATTGGGGGAGTAAGCAGGTAGGGCTAGACCCCTACCCTCCATTATAGAACCCTTATAGATCCCTTTAAGGATCCCTTTAAGGAGCCATTGAAGGAGCCCTACTTGCTAAGTCCCCCGACCTTCCAAGTAAACTTCCGAACGCACCAGATCGCCACCTCCGGGAATCTCAACTTTGCAGTCGGGTAGCCCAGACACTGACGGGGGGTTCTCAAGTCAGATCTGGGAGGTTCCGAAACTTCCCAAAGGCTCCATGTACCCATATAGTAGGTACTTGCGCCCCACCTTTAAGCCCTAAGTACCTACTATATGACTATATGGGTTCATGGAGCCTGAGGGATTAGGGGTGCCTTATTTTGGAGTTCTTATAATGATAAGGATCCTACTATTTAGGGTACTATATCAGCGTTTTCTATTTTCGGAAACTCCCATATCTTGCGGGGGTTTCCTTCTAAACTGGGCCCTTATAGGGGTTTACTATGGTAGGGGATTCGGGTGGAACCCTCATAGAACCCTAAAGGCCCTAAACTCCGAGAGAGCGCACACTCGAAACCAGAAACCCAAAGTCCAAAGCCCTGAGCCCAAACCACACGCTCGCACACACACGCACACACACACACACACACACACACACACACTCACACAGACCTACACACCCACAGACCTACACACCTACACACCTACTTACCTACTTACAGACACACACACACACACATGCGCACGCACGAACATACAAAAAGAGAGCAACCTCGAAGTCCCCGGAGCCGCCAGCTCCAACAGACACAACAAAGCAGCCTACACTAGTAATAGTAATAATAGTAGTAATAGCAACAATAGTAGTAATAGTAGTAATAGTAGCAATAGTAGCAATAATAGTAATATTAGTAATAATAGTGCGCGCAGGACTTCCCAGACATCATCACCAGCGCTTCCACCCTGGCCATTCCACCCTTCGTTCTTGAGCCAGATACGACGGTCCCTTGGCTTCGTCAACCTTGGCTTGTTCTGGCAGGGTTTTAGGGGGCTTTTCGGGTTAGGAGCTAAGGGCTTTCAGGGTTAGGAGTTAAGGATCTATGATTTCGGGATTCAGGTTTAGGCTGTTAGGGGTTTCGGGTCTAGGGATTGAGTGTCCTAGGGGATACAGGCTGTAGGATTTAGCTTGGGGCCCCTTGAACCCGCTTCCGCCCTCCAGAAGTATGTTGAATTGACTTGTTAAAGTTAAAGGATCAACAAACGCTCTGGGTCTTCATACATATATATATATATATATATGTGTGTATACACTTAAATGTATACATATGTGTATGTCTAGAAGCAGATAGATAGGTAGATAGATAGTTAGATAAACCAATGCATATATAGTTAGAGGAACGGAGAAATAGATATGTAAGACATATACATATGTTTCTATAATACTACTAATAATTCTAATAATAACAACCACAATTCACACACATATGTATAAATATATATATATATATATATATATATGTGTGTGTTTATTTATTTGTCTTGTGCACAGTCTCCGAGTCCCGAAGTCTTTTAGTAGCCGACTGTCTTCTTGAGGCAGGGCAGGGGTCCAGGTAGGTTTCAGGCTACTTTAATCGGTCATTTTCGGTTTAGGCTTTAGGGTGCAGGTAGGCTTCAGGCTACTTTAAGTCCTTTTCGATGTTGTCAGGAACTATCTGGTGTCTTTCATCAGACGCGATCTCCAACAACTTCGCTTTCTCCTTGCATTCTAAGATTGAAAATGTTGTAAGATGCACTGCCTGCAGCTGGCATAACAGGCGAGGAGATCTTGATGTGTGACTTCGCGCGGTCGATCTCATGGCAGCCTTGTGAAAACAAGCCACCTCTGCAAATGTAAAGCTTCCGGCAGCAGAGGAAGTTCTTCACATGTTGGGTTTGCCGGACGTTCGTTGTGGCAAACACCCAGACCTTCCAAAATCCCTTAATTAAGGAATATACCTTAAATCATATTAGGGATCCGATTACAAGTTAAGATATATTCCTTAATTAAGGGATTTGGAAGGTCTGGACTTACCCATATTACTTTGGGGGTTCCTCATTAAAATTATAGTATAGTGTGCTGCAAGATCCCTACATTGCAACGCTTGTAGTTTGCAGAAGAACAGACAGGTCGCTTTCCTAGGTCCTATGTCGCTGAGTCACATCCCTTGAAACAAGGGAGCACGTTTTTCAACTAACATATAAAATCATGCGCAGAAAGAGTCTTCTCCCTCCAAACTATTACGTGTACATTCGTAGATGTTTCGTTTTTTGAGTCGGGGACCTCTACAAGCCCTAAGTGTCCATGTACTCAAATACCATATACTCCAGCACACAAGTACCTACAAGGGACTATTTTAAAGCCAGAGTATCTACTCTCTGAGAACATGTGTCCTCAGGGGATGTTCGGGTTGTTTTTTCGGGTTTATGGGGTGTAGGGCTTGGGGTTGGAGGGTAGAAGTTCGTGTTGTTCATTTTCTGTAGAGAGCTTCATGTTCATAAGTGGTAAAGACTTCACAGTGCTTTGTTAAGAACACGAACGAAATCCACGTCTACGACTTCACACTGTACTGTTTTTGACCGGGTGACCAGAACTTTTTTGATCACGAACGAATGCAATGTCCACAACTTCAAGATGGAGAGCTTTCAAGGAACCAGGACGTTTTTGTGTTTTTTTCAATACCCGTTTCTGCCAAGAACACGATGGAGTTCAATGTCTACAACTTCACGGTGGAGTGCTTCGTGAACACCGTCCAGGGCAATGTGCCCGAGCGCACTGCGTCCGGATCTCGGGACGCCGTTGGAGCATCTAGTGTTTGCGCTCGGTGGTTTCGGAAGAGCTTTATCCCGTATACCCAACCTTTAAACTTTTTGGGCTCTTATAGTTTAGTAGGAATCGCAAAGTTTAACCTTTTACTTCTGTGGCTTATTGGTGGAGCACGTAGAGGGGAGGACATGGGTGTTGGTGTTTGTTGCTACCATTTTGGGGGTATAGCCGCTTTTGTAGGCGTGGATCTCTGAGAATATTGGTTTGGTCACTTCCTCAGGACCCCTAAACCCCAAACCATAACTTTCATCCCCAATACCCAACCTTTAGTTTTTGTTTGGGCTCTTATGGTTTAGTAGGAATCGGAAAGTTCAGCATCTCATTTTTTGTCTTCTTGGGGGAATAATAATAAGTTACCCAGACCCCCTAAACCCCAAACCATAATCCCCAAACCGCAGCCCTACCACGTGGGTGCTTGAATTTGTGCAGGACCCGCCCCCGTCATCGGTGTCATCCGGAGAGGAGGGTTTCGGGATTAAGGACTAGGGTTTAGGGGTTTAGGGTTTACAATGGGGGTTTAGGGATGTAGGGTTAAGGGTTTAGGATTTAGGGCTTACAGGTTTATATAGGGGTTTAGGGGTGTGGGGTTAAGGGTTTACGGGTTTAGGACTTAGGGTTTAGGGGTTTGGGGTTTATATTGGGGTTTAGGGGTGTAGGGTTAAGAGTGTATAGGGGTATACGGTATAGGATTTAGGGTTTAGGGGTTTAGGGTTCTGATGAAAAGAACGGTTCAACAGGGCCCAACAGGCTAGTAGTCATGTCGGTTGCTCTGGGACCCTAAACACATGGCTATACGGTTCATAGTTCATAATGCTCTGGGTGTATCTTGTTTTCCTCATTCCGTGCCCCTCAAACCTCAAGTCTGTTCTAAGCTACCAACAGCCAACATTCCAATTATGCCTCACCGAAACCCTCAGCCTCAAACACAATCCACCATGCGCCACGCCTTACGCTCCAAGTACCGTCTCTCATTGGTTCACCCTGAGCCCGCGCTTCTTGTTTCCTTGAGCTTATAGGGTCCTTCAGGGAGGGTGGTTCAAGGGGGGAGGGTACAAGGGATCCTTAGGGAACCTTAAGGTAACCTTATCGGGAGCACTAGAGAGAACTAGGGCTTAGTAGGTAAAGTCCCCCCCTGGGACCGCCTGCCCGTAAGGATACCAGCCGTGGCTGTCACTGAGGTCTGCCACCGTCACCGTGCGAATCTACCGCTCGGATGTTTACGTCGTATACAGGCCATCTCCCGAGTGGTCTAGGTAGCGGTCTTTAGTCCACTATACAGGCGTAAGTAATTCTTATTGGCTGTAATTTGGGGTTCTTATAGTCGGTAGTCAATTCTGAAAGTTTCCTTGGGTTTTCGGCCAATGAGAATTACCAATACATTTTGGAGGCTCCATACTATAATTACAGTCTAATGGGCTCCAAAACCCCATTCCAATTATTAAGGCCCCTATATCCCTATCCCTTAACGGGACCCTTTAAAGGAACCCTTTAAAGGAACCCTTAAGGAACCCTATAAAGGAACCCTAAGGAACCCTTTAAAGGAACCCTAAGGAACCCTTTAAAGGAACCCTAAGGAAGCCTTTAAAGGAACCCTAAGGAACCCTTTAAAGGAACCCTAAGGAACCCTTTAAAGGAGCCCTAAGGAAGCCTTTAAAGGAACCCTAAGGAACCCTTTAAAGGAACCCTAAGGAACCCTTTAAAGGAACCCTAAGGAACCCTTTAAAGGAACCCTTTGGAAGCCTTTAAAGGAACCCTAAGGAACCCTTTAAAGGAACCCTTTAAAGGAACCCTTTAAAGGAACCCTTTAAAGGAACCCTAAGGAACCCTTTAAAGGAACCCTGTGGAAGCCTTTAAAGGAACCCTTTAAAGGAACCCTTTACAAGCCTTTAAAGGAACCCTTAAGGAACCCTTTAAAGGAACCCTAAGGAACCCTTTAAAGGAACCCTAAGGAACCCTTTAAAGGAGCCCTAAGGAATTCTTTAAAGGAGCCCTTTAAAGGAACCCTAAGGAACCCTTTAAAGGAACCCTTTGGAAGCCTTTAAAGGAGCCCTAAGGAGGGCTTTGGGAGCCCCTTGGTCGGTTTCTACCGTAGCACCACGTCCCAGACGCCCGGGAGGATCCAAAAAGGTAGATCCCTTAATGGGGGTTCCTATAAGGGTTCCTTTAGGGCTTCCTTTAAGGGTCCCGAAATCTATAGGGTTTTAAGGTTTAGGGTTTAGGATAAATCCCTTAATGGGGGTTCCTATAAGGGTTCCTTTAAGGCTTCCTTTAAGGGTCCCGAAATCTATATAGGGTTTTAAGGTTTAGGGTTTAGGATAAATCCCTTAATGGGGGTTCCTATAAAGTACCCTTAGTAGCAAAGGGCCCCAAATTAGGGGATCTACTTTCCAGATCCTCCCGGGGGTCTGGGGTAGCACTAACACTTCATGTGCCTCTGGACTCCATGCTTTTCGACAGTATCTACACAGATGGGAGTTTCCGAAAATCCGGCGTGCCTTACTCTGGGGGCCTTATGATGAGGATCCTACTATGTTGGGTACTATACTAGGATCCCCTGCTACTGTTTTCGGAAACTCACATATGGATTTTCGGAGTAGTAGCCTCTGCACATATGCTTTTGAGTTCACCACCACCCAGCCAGCAGCACGACAGCTGGTACTACTACCACGGCTACAGCAACAACTACTGCAACCACTGCCACGACCGCGACCGCTACCATTACTGCTACCCGATTTTCTAGTTATGCCTTGCTATACACAACTCAGTACGTATTACCCACGATTTACTGCCTACTTATACCTAGGCCTACTACCTACCACGCAACTGACTACTATCTGCTTAAACATTATACTATGCACTGCTGGCACTTCTTCATCATATTTCCTAGGAGTTGTCCTGTACTACTCAGTACCAGTACCCAGTTACTCCCCCACTCCCTTCCATGTTTTGCAGTTGGTATTCCGTGCTGTATGCCTCAACCCGAAAAGACCTACCTCGTTGGGGTCCTTATCATGATTTCGTTTTACCTCCACGCCAAAAGACCACTCTTTGGGGTTTCCATTTACATAAAAGTCCAAGAAGGGTACCCCACACCCGAAACAGGTTTTTCGGCGCCCATGTCGTGTTCATGGTGCGTTTCCACCTCCCCGACCCTGCCTCCCCTGTCCCAAAACCATAGACTCCGACAGAGACTCCAATACCCAAAGGATCCAAAGTACCTATATAGTAGAATGTAGGGTTTCTATATTAGGAATTACTATTATGATTTGGGGAAGTATCCCCCATAACAGTACCTAGGACCCTTTGGGATATCCTTCAGTAGGACAAAAGAATATTCCGAAAACATATTGGGGATCCTATCAGAATTGAAGGCAATTCGTCAATCAAGGGGTTTTTAGAGTCTTTGAGTCAGACCCATTTGTTAGGATTTAGGGATAGGGCCGCCGGGCTGCAGGACATAGGGTTTAGAGTTTAAGGGTTTAGCACAGCCTTCTCCTCACAGTCTGCGTCATCTAGCGCCTACAGCATGTGCCCTAGACCCTAAACCCTCATCTTCATGCCTCAGACCCTACTTGGAGGATCATGGGACTTAGTAAGTAGGGTTATAAGTACCCTAATTGGGGTTATAAGTATTTATAAGTATAGTTACCCTAATTATAACCCTAGTTACTAAGTCCCATGACCCTTTAAGTACTCCTAAGAACCTAAACCCTAAAGAAGCCCTTGCGCCCTCAGGCATGCCCTGCACCCCAAGCCCTGCGCCCCAAATCCCCCGGCCGCATGTGCCCAGCGAGCCCAATGCCCCTTGATTCAGGAATATGGCTTGAATCATATAGGGCTTCATATTATGACTTAGGCTATATTCCTTAATACCCTTATAGAGCCCCTATAGATCCCTTTAAGGAGCCATTTAAGGAACCCCTTATGGCCTTGGGCTAGATTCCTCAAGGGGCTTTGGGGCTCTCTGGGCGAATACTCGAAGCGACCCAGATCTTCCAAAAGCTACTTAAAGGGAACTCCAGAAAGTTGGAATGTGGTTTCATGGTAGGATACCCTGTAATTTACCATAGAAGGGTTTAGGAAAATCATATTCCAACTTTCTGGCTTTTACCTTACCCCCAAGGGTCCATGTACTCCTCTGGTGATCCTTCAACGAACCCAGACCTTCCAAAATCCCTTAATTAAGGAATATACCAATATGCCTTAAATCGTATTGCGGATCCTACTATAGCTTAAGCTTAGGGGTATTTAGAAACAATTTTGAATTTTTGGTTATTGTAATCCTTAAGAAACAGCTAAAATTATAATTTTTGCTAGGGTTCTAATTTCAGTATAGTAAGGTATATTCCTTAATTAAGGGATTTTGGAAGGTCTGGGGATCCTTCAAGGTACCATACTTGGAGGATCATGGGACTTAGTAAGTAGGGTTATAAGTACTCTAATTGGGGCTATAAGTAATTATATGTATAGTTACCCTAATTATAACCCTAGTTACTAAGTCCCATGATCCTTTAAGTAAGGGTTTCTTAACCCTCAGGGTCCATGTACTCAGATAGTATATACATTGGCCTTAAAGTACTCCCTATACAGGTACATTGGGCCCGAAGTATATGCTATATGGGTACATGGACCCTTAGGCTAAGGGTTTTATAGGGTTTAGGCTTTAAGGATCCTCGTGCCCAAATACTATATACGTTGGCTTCGAAGTAGTCCCTGTATAGGTGCTTTCGGGTCAAAGTATACTCATACGGATACTTTGACCCTTATACAGGCTTAAGTACGGACTACCTGGACCCTGTAAAGCCTTTCTTTGCAGGGTTCCCTATGATGACTTCGTTATATTATAAGTCCTTAAAAAAGAGGTTAAGGAATTCCCTGGGTTCCTGAAGGGATCTAAAAGGGATCTATAGGGTTTAGGGCACGCAAATCTTCCAGAAGCCCTCGAAGAATACCCGGGGTGCGCAAATCTTCCAGAAGCCCTTGAGTGAGGAATACCTAGGGTTCCTTTAAGGGATCTACAAAGGATCTATAGGGTTTGGGGTTTAGGGTACCCAGAATTACAAACAGCCCTTAATTTAGGACTATACCTTGTGTGATATACTAAGGGATCCGACTTTAATTTGAGGCATTAATGGGTTGTGGAAGATCTGGGAATTAGAGATTAGTAATGCTTGTGCTTAATTTTGCCTACTGTACTTCTGTCTTATCGTATCTCCCCTACAGCCTCAACACCTAAGCCCTACGCCCCTAGTGTGACTATTCAGATCTGTGTAGTGCTTGAACCCCTTTACAGCGTGTCGGATCTGATTCGGCTGCCCTGCGCGCTAAACTCTAACCCCCCCCCCCCTACTTGGAGGGTCGAGGGACTTAGTAAATAGGGAATAAGTAGACTTGTAAGTACCCTGAAAGGGATCCTAATTGGGGTCATGGTACTTATAAGTCTGCAAAATAAAGAATTACTAAGTCCCCCGACCCTCCAAGTAAGAGATTTGGGGATTCAGGGTTTAGTGCTTAGGGCTGACGGCTTGTGCTTCAGGTTTCAGTACTTGGAGGATCATGGGACTTAGTAAGTAGGGTTATAAGAACCCTAATTGGGGTTATAAGTAACTATAAGTGCAGTTACCGTAATTCTAACCCTAGTTACTAAGTCCCATGACCCTTTAAGTAGCCGTACCTACTTGTAAATGCCACTGATTGGAGGGGCCGTTGGATGCTCGAGGGGCTCAGTAAGTAGGTTGTTTCTGAATTCATGTAAGTATCATAACCTTGAGTAGGTTCCCATGTAGGGTGCTGAAAAGTCAACCTACTTCCTACTTTGTAGGTCCCCTGACACTCCTTCGTCCCGGAAGGGAGCAGGGTTTAGAGCCCAAGAACATGCGAGAAGAATCCTGCAGCTTGTAACACCCTTAACCGATTAGTCCACAATCCCATACTGAAGCTCTAACAAAGAACATGCCGTAAACTTCTTGGACCAAGCTATTTAGGGGATGGTGAAGTTCTAAAAGGTCGAAGAACTTAGCTTCCAAAACATATGCGACACTCAGCTTGCATCGTTGCTGCATCTTGGGCTACAGACGTTGTAAGCACGGAGCCCGGGCATGGTTGCAAGTTCTTCTTTCCACAGATCCTGCCGTGGTTCCGTCATCCGGTCTGCTATGGCCCCGTCGAACCCATTGTAAATTGCAATATGCGGGGATGCAAATTCTTGCCCGTGTAGGTCCTTCGCCAGAAACCGTTCTCCGGCCACAAAATGTCCCAATCCGTAAACCGCTGTAGCACCTGCAAAGTTTATATGATTGGAGTCATTTCGAAGCAAAGCAAGTTTGCTGTCACCATCATTTCTGCTTGTTCAACCAATAGTTCAATACACAAGTAGAACAGTAGAATTCTTCGTAAGCGCCTCTGTTCGAGCAATATCCCAACAACTCCCTACAAGTGCCCTTGATCCGAAAAAGAGTCCGATACCTCCACACCCACGCGCCAGGACGGCATCGCGGATGGTCACCAAGGGAGACATCCTGGCCGTTGGCCCAGAAGTACGGCGAACGGTTAAGACTTTGCAATTGCATTCTAATGATGTGGAATCGCGGGCAGTGAAGCTTGGGGTTTTATGGTTAAGGGTTCGTCTCGGGCTTTTGCGCTTCAGGTTCGTTTGGTCTTCACGTTTGTTCAAACGCGTGTTCGAAGCTGGGGAAGATGAACACGAGTGGCGACGGGGTGGAGACTGGAAGATTCGAAGACTGATATCATAATCCTGGTTGGTCTTAGGGATCCAAGATTTGCGTTGTTGTAGGTTTGTTCATTAAAAAGTTAAATTTCGTTGGCATTGAAGGCTAGGCTTGCAACCTGGAATTAACAAAGCCGAGTTTCAGAGTAGGAAAGGTTCAGCCACGCAGCATACACACACCGGTGCCAGAAGGGCGACGCGAAGATGTTTTCCCATGCCTGTACAATCGTTTGTCTCAACCCGAAACCCTTGAAGCTCACTCAATCCCTGAACACGTAAGCCCTCTGTTGTCGATTCGTATCAACCTCCCGACTTTCCGGGGTATTACACCTTCCACCCTAATCCTTGTATCCTACTGAAATCCTTTTCCTTGCAACCACCGAGATCCTATGTAAGCAACTCACCGGCATTAGCAGGTATGAATTGTTAGTGGGCCCTGAAATCAGCACTGGTCACGTGGCTAAAGTTTGGCTAAAGCTGTCGGGCGTAATTACAACATGTATACAGCCTGTAAAACCTAAAGCCTGGTTCCAAAGCCTGTCCATGATGCTCGGGGAGTTCAGTATTTCTACGCTTCTGCATTTGTTTCGAGTACCAAAAAAGGCCCAAATATCATCTCAATGCCTTGAACTCAACACAGTAAGATCGTTCAGGTCTTGGATGTCCGTGGATCACAAGATCCCGACTACCCAACCTTGGAGGTGGCTTCAGGGTTTAACACAGAGATTCCCACGAAAAGTGTTTTTTGGTTCCCTGTTATAGTTCTGGTAAAATGTGTTCCGATTTTTTTCTGATTGCTAGGGTTCCTGTTCTGAGAGTTATATAACAAAGAGTCTGTTTTGTAGGGGGTGGAATCCGAACCCCAAATCCCAAACCCGCGCCGAAAGAGCGCCATACCCTCAAGCTTGAACCCGATAACCCCTAAATCCTGAACCCCCAACCGTAAAATCCAGACCCCAAATCCTAAGCCGGAGCAGGTACCATCAACCTTGAATCCGATAAACCCTACATCATATCTTGAACCCCAGGCCATAACATGAAAACCCCAAACCCCAAAACCGGTTCTTGGCCATTCCTTCATTCTTGCATCCGATACACCTTACATCCTGAACCCGAACCCTAAACCCGAAACCCTAACCGTAAACCCTAAACCCAACGTCTTCAGCCCGGAACCCGAGGCCCAAAACTCTAAACCGGAGCAGGGCCCGCAAAAAATTCTAAGCCGGACCAGGGACAGACCTTCCGCGGCACCTTTGTCTGGAGCTGCTTCACGCCGCCGCCAGAGCGACCCTTGCCAGAAGACTGGTCGATTTTGCCAAGTTTCGGTTGCCTGTTCATGGGCTACCCGGAAATTCTAGATGATGTTCGGGGGTTCCAGGGCCTTTTTTGTTAAACAAGTCTTGTAAAGAGATTGATGCAGAGGTTTTGGTTTTCCCTCAACCCTAAACCCGAAACCCAAACCTTAATAGCCCTAAACCCTAATGTTGTGGGATCACCCAGGTCCGGCAGAGGGTGATAATCGGAACAGAACCTTTACATGTAGCACTTACCTTAAGGGTCTATGTATACGTACGAGTATACTTTGACCTTAATGTAGCTATTATATTGGTAGTAAATCAGGGCACTTGTTAGGCTCCTTTTTTATCAGGGTGCCGTACTATTTTGAGGACCTACAGAGAGGGACCCTAATTTAGAGAACGTGACTAGCATGAACAGCATATGGGCGAGTTGGGACACATGTCCATCGAACATAAACTCCGCCATGAGGTAGCGGAAGATTTGCGGTCGGTTCGCATGAACCAACCCATTGGAATAGACGTCGACCAGACAGGAATGGAGCTTCACGAAAGGTGCGCCCGTCAAGTGTGCAACGTTGGCTTACTTGCACCGTGGCTCAGACTGTTTGTGAAGACCAAGCACCATCTAAACAAGGAGCATGGAGACATGTTTGTGATGCACATGTTGGACGAGTTGAGCCGTTGAAAGTTCATCGTCTTTCATCTACAAGGCATCAGTATGAAAGTCACCGTTGAAAAAGACGGCAAGACCAAAGTCATCGACCGTGCGTTCCTTGACTTCTACATGACCTCTGGTTGGTGTTTGACCTCGACTAAAATTCCTCGTTGAGATCACAGCAACAATGTGCTGTCTGACTGGGAACGCTGGTCCTATGAAGTTTAACACTTTGATTATACCAAAGTGGTTTTGCTTATAGACTTTAAACCTCAAGTTCGGTACCATTATTCGGATATTTGGAGCCTCAGGGAATGGGTGCTAGGTTTAGGTGGTAGGAGTGCGGCCATCGGCAGGAGTCGGCTACTTTTGGGAGGCTCGACACCTTCCTTTAGGGTTTAGGGTTTAGCGGGGGGGTTTAGGGTTTGGGGTTTAGGGTTTAGGGTCTGTGAAACCCTACCATTAACCTTAACCGTTCAGTTCGAAGCCTTGGAGTAGTTTGGACATGTAGACCCCTAAAAAGCACACCCGTTGAAATCAGCAGTCTTAATCCTAGGAGCCCGATTAGAATCCCTTGTTAACCTAGGGGATTTAGGTCTCCGTTTTGAGGTTTGGAGTTTCGGTTAGCAGACGTAACTAAAACCCAAAAGCTCCATGTACGCATGTGGTGGGTACTTAGGCCTTAAAGTGCCCAAAAAGGGACCCCTTTTAAGGTCTAAGTACCTACTATATGGGCAAATGGAGTCTTAATGAAAGATCCTAAAGCCTTATATGCGCCCGTGGAAACTAAGACTGCCAGGCGCCCTGCATCAACTTCCCACAGGCTCCGTAGTTCTTACCTGTTTGTGGCTCATATTTAGGATCCCCCAGAGGGTCCAAAGTACCCATATAGTAGAATGTAGGGTTTCAATATTTGGAATTATTATGATTTGGGGAAGTATCCCCCATAACAGTACCTAGGACCCTTTGGGTCCTATAGAAGGTAACCCAAAAAGGAACTACTGTGGAGCCCCTGGGTTTTGAAGAGATTTCGGACCCACCACACTTGCGATACGTATGTGTATTGAAGCACCAATCTTAATCTTTTCGGGGGGTGGGTTCTTGAAGAGAGGGCGCAACGTACTATGATATATTTCTCAGACGTTTGAGCCATACATGGCTTCTGCACCCGAAACTCTTGAGTGTACCATTAAGAATCCATGAATGAAACCATATACTCATAGAGGTGACTTTCAGGCCTATAAGTATATACTATATGAGTACATGTACCCTCAGGGTGTAAGTGTAGACCAATCCTCCCAAAAATGAGGAGCACTTGAAGATTCAGTCGGGTACCATGAAGCCCTGTCGTTGGTCATACGGTTTAGGGTTTAGGGTTTAATTAGGTTACAAACCCGAGGCCATCAAACCCGAAGCTCCTTACTTACCTGGAGGGTCGGGGGACGTAGCAGCTGGTTATTTCTATAGACACACCTCAATTCGGATCCCTCTTAATGGTACTTATATAAAATATGTCTTCTTGTTACCTGCGTACCAAGCCCTAAATCTAAAAATCGTAATCCCAAGCCCTAAACTCTCACCCTGGCTTGGCTTAGGTGGTGCTTGCTTCGGGGGCTCCGCCACGGGAATCCTTGAAGACCTCATCACCTGCCGACAGGATCGAACGAGTGGGTCCGAACACATACAATTGTGAGGGTTTGGCTGTGTAACTAAAGGGTCAGAAAATTATCTTCTATGGAGCTACCGGACTGAATTATTTGGAGGGTCGATGGGACTTTGCATCACTATTTATTTCAGAAAGTTTTGCGTATCACAACCCTACAATAACTGGTACCGAGACCCACATGCAAGTTTCGCACATTCTTGTGTCGTCTCATTATTGTCACATTTCCGCACTCCAACCATAAAGTAGTTTATCCTGAACAGGGTACTGCAGTTTACGGTCTCAGTAGGAGCCCGGGGGAATATAAACTATCAAAGCAAACCACTAAATGTGTTAGGAAAACTGATAAAAGGCAGGGTGGTGTTACTTGTGGATTAAAATTTCCGCAGAACCCACAGTATGGTCTTGGCTCCAGATTTCTCATCAGAAACTTACTCTAACGGCTCCATGTACCCAAATAGTACATTCTCTGGCCTTAATGTACTTAAGGCCCCATAGTAGATCCTTTTGGGGATTACCTTTTAAGATTCTACATATGAACCACAAAAAGGAACTACTACGGGGCCTTAGGGTAGCCCGTATATGGGTACTCTAGGCGCCAAAGCATATACTATTTGGGTACATGGACCCTTGGACTGAAGCTGGAAAATGTAGTAGCTGGAGCAGGTAACCTTTAGCCGAGTTTTGCCGGACGCATGATTCTGGACTCCTTAGTTTAGGATTTAGGGTTCTCGATCATATCTTTTCCTATTTCTCACCGCGCGTAAAAGTCCATCGTATTCGGGGGCCAGGGAAATGAGTCAGCAATACTTGAGACAGCTTCTCTAAACCCTGAACCCTAAGCCCCTATAAACCTAAACCCCTAAACCCTAAAAACACAGAGCCAGCTTTTCCCCCGCGGCTCCTCAACAGGACATCGGGACGCAAATGCAGGATGGTGGGGCCGCAAGCTCAGCAACAGCTTTCTTCGGGCTCCAAAGGCGGGATCAAGGCAGGTTAGGGTTTAGGGGTTCAGGGTGCAGGGTTCAGGGTTTAGGGGTTTCGAGTTTATAAGGTTTAGGTGGGTAATCCCAAATGAGAGTCCTTTTCTAAGGGATCCTGAATCTTTCTTGCCAACCTTCACCCCAACTTCTGAGGCCCCCAAAGTTTGGGGGCTGAAAGCTTGAGAGTGTACCTATAGCCTTAAGTAAGCTACCTTTGCTGAATTCCTTTTTGGGCTTTCCGTATAAACACTTCTTAAAGAGGTAGGCTGTTGGGGTCTGAGAGTTGTGATGCTTAAGCGTGTAACTACAGCGGTCCCCGGTTCACGTATTAGGTTTTGAAATTCTGCAAAACCCCTTGTGGGGCATAATCGTTTAATTTTCCGTAAGGGTCCATGTACCCCAATAGTGTATACATTGGCCTTGAAGCAACCCCTACATAGGTACATTGGGCCCAAAGTATATGCGAAATGGGTTCATGGACCCTCAGGGTTTGTTCTCAAGGGACAATGGCTGCACGAGATGCTACTTCTAATTGGGTGGTTGTCAAAATTATGGTCCCTTTCTGGGTCCCCATTATGATGCCGCACCTATTATTTAGGGCACCCCAAAACGGACCTTAGTTTTGACAGCTACCCACTCCACTCAGCTACTAAGTCATGACTTATAACCTATATGAGGGAACTTGTAACCCCATTTAGCACTAGCCATGCACCTCCAAGTGACTTCTGGGATTGATGGAGGGTTTCGGGTGCAAGGCTTAGCGCTTCAGGGCTGCATGGCTGCATGGCTGCATGCTTCAGCCGGGCTCGGGGCTGGAGGGAACACGTACCGTTTGTGCGTACTAACTTTGCTCGCATGCAACTGCTCTTTCCTAGCTCACAATTGCAAGAGCGACGTCGAATTCAAACCCTGGTACTTACAATATCAAGCCACACTTGGAGCGCGAGCCGTTTAGTGCCATCTCGCAGCAAAAGGCCTGTCGCCTCTGGGCCACCAGGAACCGCAGCAAGGAGGAGCGCGCAAAGATCCGAGCTCTCGTCGCCATTCAGGAATCCTGCGCCAAGCACATCAACCAGATGTTCATCGATCTGGATTGGAGAGGGAAGCTGTGGGTCAGATCTGAGCAAATCCTCTTCTTTGCTGCAAACAAGAGGCCTTACGAAGCCAGCCTTATGCTTAACGATGCACGTGGCGACGAGTCAGGATGGTGGGTAGACCTTGGCGTGATGTCTAGAGTGTTAGGCAAATACACTTTTTGGGATAATATTACCCACTATAAAACTAAAAGTGTACACTTTTGGGGGGCTTATGAACTCAGCTACTAAGATAAGTATAGTTACCCCACTTATAGCCACCCCTAAACCTCCCAGAAGTCACCCATGGAAGCCGGTCCCCGGGGGTTTTAAGACCGAAGCCACGTCAGGAATAGGGTAGTTGTCAAAATTATGGTTTATGATAAAAAATCCTGCATTACCCATAACAAGGAATATACAATAATTCCCATAGTTTAGGATCCTTAAGGTCATGCAGGATTTATATCATCAACAGTATGGTTCCTTTTTGGGTACCCTGCCGTATTATATAAGGGACCCAAAAAGGGACCATAATTTTGACAACCACCCAATAGTCTGCCTCGTATGGGCAAAGCCTTTGAGATGAATAAACCAGGGCTTAGGCTGAGGGCTTAGGGGGAATCAATAGTTTAGGGACCCAAAAAGCATCTAAGCATAAGCATGTCAAGGGGGCATCCCTACCTTGTTATTGGGCTTCATTGTACGGGGATTTATATGGGATATCCCTATCCTTCTTTTTGCTTATGTGCCTTTTGGGCAGCCTATAGTAGGTCTGTCTCAAGGGTTCCGTTAAAGACTCTATAGGCATTGCTACAAGGGCTGCTTGTACGGACGCGGGGCTTACTAAGTAGGTAAGATGTAGACGTGCAAGTACCCGAAACGGGATCTCAATTGGGATTATAATAGTACTGGAATGGCTTAGGCTATCATATTCGGGCTCTTCCTGGGCATCTAAATGTTTTTTTTGAGCGAACACGGACGCAAGACAGTGATTATGGTGACGGGGTGCTCAACGTTTACTGTAGTGGTCTCTGCTGGTGCAGTTCAGACAGAGCCTCTACACTGTTAAGGTGACCTTCTTCGCACCCTTGTTCGACGACCTGATTTTCTGTGGCCGGCTCAGCTCAAGCATGCGCAAACCTACACACTCTCCCGCTCTCTCTCTGTCTCTCTCGCTCTCTCTCTGTCTTCTTTCTCTCTCTCTGTCTCTCTCGCTCTCTCTCTGTCTTCTTTCTCTCCCTCTCTCTCTCTCTCTCTCTCTCTCTCTCGCTCTCTCTATCTCTCTCTGTCTCTCTCTCTCTCTCTCTCTCTCTCTCTCTCTCTCTCTCTTTTCGCTTAAGGTTTTTCTACGTTCAAGGGTTGATTTAAGGATGTACGCAAGGAAATCATGGTAAGGAACTTCAAGGACTCAAGAATAACGCGGAATGTCAGGATACCCAGAGACTCCAAAACCCCTTAACAAAGGAATATACCTTCAATCGTATTAGGGATCCTATTATATTTTAAGATATATTCCTTAATTAAGGGGTGCTGGAGTCTCTGGGTGTACAACATGGTCACGAGGCTGTTGGACCTGGCGGGAAGCCTTGCAGACCCCGTGCTTCAGACCTTACCCTAAGCTGCTGGTATCAGCCCAAAGGGTCCTATGTACCGATATAGTAGAATGTAGGGTATCCATATTAGGAATTACTAACATGACTTAGGGAAGTATCCCTATAGCAGTACAAAGGACCCTTTGGGCAGGTTGTCTTGGTTAAGTTCAATAGGACGTTACCTTTATAAACTAGCTTACGTACTGTTTAACGAGAGAACATGACCCTAAAAACAGTGTTTCTTGGTTGTAAGTACTGTGGCCAGTCTACAGAGAGTGTCATGTCTTCGTAGCTGCAGCGTTAGGGGGTCGGTCAGGCTCTCGTCCGTTCACACACGTTTCACGTGACAACACGCTCTTTAAATGCATCCATGGAACAGTGCACTGTTTCCTGCTCGCCGCTTGTGCAAAGGCGGGCCTTGTGTGCTGATCCGCAAACCGTAACTGTACCTGAGACTTGGGCTCAGTGATTCTTCCACATTCCTCTGTCATATGACCGCTCATGTGTACTTATGCCCAAGACTAGATTCTTCCTGTGGCTTCTCTGCCCTCGCCCGAGCCGTCTGCTCCGAACGCGAAGCCCCGAGCCCCATGAAATCTTTACCCTCAGAAATCTCCATTTTCCGGAAATGTACGTACAGAGTCCTTATGAAGCTTGTAAACACAGAAAAGCCCTAAACCACCTAGCCCCTGGATCCTTAACCCCCTAACCCCTAAACGTTAAGAGACTGGAGGCCGATACACTCGAGGAGTGATCATGTTCCAGACGCAGAACTTCAGCTCAGGCATGTACTGGGTTCTGCAGCACCATACCCTATTACTGTATTCTTACTTTGTTTTTTTGACCTGTTCCTGAAAGGAGCCGCCATGAAATACAACCGCCTATCTGCTGTTCCTTCCTGGTTGCTTCAAAGCGCAGTGGATCGTTCTTTTGGCGGTTCTGCAGGGTCTCTACTAGAGGGGCTTGTATACTGCTCTAAAATTCTACTCCTTATACATAGTTCCCCAGTATAGCTATCTAAGACTGTGCTTACTTATGCAGTATAGTAGAGTATACCCCAATTCGGGCTCCTCATTACATCTTTTCATCGTTATTATTGCAAAGAATAGTAGAATATACCTCAGCACCCTATACCAAATATTGAGTTGAGACCATTGAACCTGCAATAGAGCCTTACAAGTTGAGTTTGAACCTGCAGATTCCACAACTTGAGATCTGCATCCTACTCGGGAATAGGGTTTATAGGGTTCTACATGGGTTTAAACCAGAGACTCCACGACCCCTCAATTAAGGAAGAAATCCTAATATGTTTGAGGTATATTCTCTAATTCAGGGGCTTTGGAGTCTCTGGGAGCTATCCTAAAGAAGGCTTGGGCTTTGTGGGAAATATTGGCACTGGTGGTGCGGGGGGTTTGGGGTTAGCAAGAACCAAGCATCTTAGACCCTTCATTCCGATAAGAGAGTCGCTTATGGGTGCCTTTCTTTCAAGCACGGCACGGCTACACAAGCCAGGTGGGAGGGCGATCTAAATCTATACTCTTACCCAGTAGTAGAGTAAGTGACCCTGGGTAGCGAGGTCCCTTAGTAGACTGTGCCAGAAAGCTGCAAAGCCCTTTATGAACTTAGCCCTAAGGCTCCAAGGACTCAGATTAAACGGAAAGGCTTTTAGGGCCAAATACCATACTAGATGGGGCTTTTGCGCAGTTTTGAGCCTTAGCGTATTGAGAGTTGAGCAACTTGCATCTTCTACTATATTATATAGTTATTCAACTCCAGGAATATCTTAAAGAACACACCACTCAGCGATAGCTACGATCGAGCTACGTGGGCACTCACCAAGGTCGACTCGAAACGAGTCTTCAAGCTGTCCATTGATTTCTAGATACTGGATTCTGTCTGTAACCATGATGTAAAGCTTGCAAAAATCAAGATTTTGGGCTGGAATCCCCAATGAAATAGGCGTTAGCAGAACGGGCTAGAGACTCTCGGGACCCACACCCCAAGGGTCCAAAGGTTCTGATCATCAGGTTCTCGGTTAGGATTTTGGAGAGTATATGGTTTAGAGTTTAGGGTTTAGGGTTTAGGGTTTAGGGAATATCAGGTACTTGCACCCTTGGGACAGCCCTAGCAGCTGCGGAACCTTTGCGCCATCGACGATCTCTCTGCTAAACCCTAAACCCACTAAAGCCTAAACCCTAAACCCCCGTCAACCTTAAACTCCACACCCCTAAACTCTAAACCCCCTAAACCCTAAACCCTAAACTCTAAACCCCCCGAAAGACTCCAAACCCCAAACCCAACGCAAACGCGGCAGGCGAGTACAAGTTCTCCGTGCAGGCGGCGCTTTCGGACATCCGCCGCCGTTTTCTTCGTGAGCTTGTCTTATATCCCCAGAGACTCCAAAACTCCTTAATTAAGGAATAGACCTTAAGTTATAGTAGGATCCCGAATATTATTTCAGGAGTATTCCTTAATTGAGGGGTTTTGGAGTCTCTGGGTTCTAAGGGTCCAAAGAGTTTAGGGTGTAGGATCCAGGGATAGGTTCAGGGTTTACCAAGAGGGTCCAAAGATACTGCCATTTATGGAACTCGGTCGCGAAAGACCATCCTTTTTATGGTGTTGGGGACCCAAGTCTAAAATGGTAAGGTTGATGACATAAATCCTGCAATACCTTATTGACCCTAAACAATAGGGGTTATGGTATATTCCTTATTATGGGCAATGCAGGATTTATATCAACAGCCGTAGTATATACGGACCCTCTGCCTTCTAAGGCCTTCTATGAAAGCGATGCACCGTGTATATGTTCCTTAGAGACCCTGAACAACCTTACATCCAGGTTCAGGGGCAGGATCCAGGTAGGCTTAATGTAGGAGCCTGATTAAGAGACATTGGGCCTTTATTTGGGGTTCTTTCGGGGTTATAGTTCTTAATCAGGTTCCTACATTATCCACTTGCACTGAGAACTCCAGCTGGGAGTTTCCGAAAATAGAAGGCCCTAATATGGTGCCCTGAATAGTAGGATCCTTATTATAAGGACCCGAAACTAAGGAACCCCTAATTTTCGGAAAAACTCCCAGCTGGCGCTAGTTTAAGCCCTAGGTTTCGGGTTCGGACCTTGGGGCGGTGCCTTTGTGAACTTTTTGGAAAGCCCTTAGAGGCCGGAATAAATCGCACTAGGTCTTGGGCTTCTTAGGAGTATGTGTATGCACGTATAGTGAGGAATCTAGGGGTTAATATTGGTATTTACTTGTCTGAAGCTCGGGATCAGCCTAAAGCCAAATGCCGGAAAACTTCTGTCCTTGGAGCCCTAAACCCTAAACCCTAAACCCTAAACCTTAAACCCTAAACCCTAAACCCTAAACCTTAAACCCTAAACCCTAAACCCTAGAGCCTTTGCGAACCGCAAACTCCCAGGCCCTAGAGACGAGCTGGCCGGGTTTGGGAATCAGGGTCTGCTTTTTCAATCAAGCCTGACGTTGCAGTTGGTTAAAATAGCCTAGTATTTTGGCCCCTGGGACCCTCGGGGATAGTGTCGTCCTAAACTTGACCCTTAAGCCTTAACCTTAACTTAAACCCCGTAAGAACCCTTGTAAGAACCCTCTAAGGACCTAACTATCAGGTCCTTCAGACCCTTAGATGTCGCACGGCTGATGATGTAAATCATGCATTACCTTAAGGACCCTAAACTATGGGCATTATTGTATATCCCTTCTATTGGCAATGCAGGGTTTATCTCATCAAGCGTATCAGGCTACGTCCTATGATGGTCGGCAAGCCAGCGAGGCGGATATTTCTGCTGACTTATTCAGGGTTTCACAGGGTTGCAGGCGTTTAGAGTATCTTAGCCTAAGGGTCCATGTGTCCATGTATCCAAATAGTATGTACTGCGACCGCAAAGTACCTATATAGCGAGTACTCTAAGACCAAAGTATATACTAGTTTGGCACATGGACTGTTACTTATATATGTGTATATATACATACATACATATATAGAGCTTCATGAACATTGCCCTAAACCCCTGACCCCTAAATCCCCAAACCCTAGACGCCTAGACACCTAAACCCTAAACCGTTGCCTTATAACGAACCACTTCGTCAAGGATCTGTTATGGGTAAGATTCGGTAAAAATCCTAAACCTCAGGGGTGCTTAGAACTACATTTTTAATCTTTGCTTATCATAATCCCTAAGAAGCAGCTAAGATTGCATTTGTTGCTAGGGGTCTAAGTGCTAAGTTCAGTATAGAACGATAGGAAGGCTTCAAGGTGCAGGATCAGGGGTCATTTTTCCAGATAGGGATCGCTAAGCCGTCAGCGTTAGCACTACCTATTTCTTGGGTTCCACCATAGGCCCCCCGGAATAATCTAGCAAGTAGATCCCCTAATTTGGGGCCCGGGCCCTATACTAGTAAGGGTACTTTATAGGAACCCCCCAATCTACTTTTTGGATCCTTTCAGGGGTCTGGGATGTTGTGTTTATGGTGAATTTGGTAGAGTATAGCCCCAAACCCCTGTGCTTAGGCGTAGTGCCAAGGTCCCTATATTCGTGGTGTAAGGTCCACGGTTTAGGGTTTAGGGTTTAGGGGAAGTTTACAGTAACTCGCTCGGGCTTCGCATCTGTTTTGGCTATGAAGGCCATAAGAAGCCTCAAGCGTTCTAGGCACCATATCGGGCTTGGAAACCTTGGCATTCTTCTGGTTAGCTCTTAGGACTTTAAGTCTTCATGGTTTCTGTATGAACCATAATAAGGAGGCTGAAAATTTGACTTTTAGGAGGGGTTCAGAAGTCAGCCAAGAAACGGAATCTTAGGGGTACTTAGAAGTAATTTTTAATTTTTGGTTACTATAATCCCTAAGAAACAGCTAAAATTATGACTTTTGGGAGGGTTCTAAGTTCAGTATAGGAATTCCCAAACTAGAAATCCAAAGCACTGAAACCTGGCCTTCCGCGCTAATTAACTACTATTTGCTTAAGAACCCCCCCAAAAATAAAAAAATATGTTCCTTATATAGGGATAGTATAGGGATTATTATTTTTATTTTTGTTGGTGTTTCTTAAGCAAATAGTAGTTAAGCTCTGCTTCCCTGAGGGTTCCTTTACCCTCAACCCAGGGTTCTGGGTTTACTTGGAGGTTCATGGGTAGTTATAAGGTTTAGGGTTTAGGGTTTAGGGTTTAGGGTTTAGGGTTTAGGGTTTAGGGATAAGTGGGGTTAAAAAGTAGGATGATTATCGGTGTAACCCATGTTGTGGGACTGATAACCCCACTTATAACTACCCGTGAACCTCCAAGTATGGTTAATGGGGTTCCCGTATGGAGTTTAAAGGGTCATCCTCAGTCAACATCCCAGGGGTTTAAGCTGAGGGGTTGAGGGTGTAGTTTGCCCTGGAACACGGAACCTGCCATACGTTGTGGGTGCCATGCACAGTGTTCCACGCGTATGATTTTTAATTTCGATCTCTGTATGGAAAGTGTTTTGCTTCCATCGAAGTACGACTCACATGTTCCAGTACATAAACTCTATTTCTGAGTAAATGAAGAGGCATTGAGCTCTCTAACCCTAAACGCAGAGGTGCTCGAAAGCATGCATTTGCCCTCAGGGGTAGTGTTGCTACCACCAAAATCAAACCGCTTGCCACCCCAAAATGGTTCCGAAGCAAATCCTTACCAGGGCCTTTCAAAAATGCGTAGAACGATTCCACTCTCGGGGGGCTGGGTATTCATTAGACCCGCAGGATGTCTACATTGAGATGACCGACGTGCAAGTGCCCAAGATCGCAGGAGTCTCAGTCTCCTCCTCTAGGGTGTTTTTCATTTCGGGTTTGGTGGTCTTTGTTCGTTTTGTAGGTGCCTTGTGGTTCTTCCGGCACCATCTGGGAGTTTCCGATAATTAGGGGTACCTTATTTTGGGGTCCTTATATTATGGATCCTACTACGTAGGGCACTATATTAGGGTCCCCTATTTTCGGAAACTCCCATCTAAGAGTTGGAACCTGAGAGCAGGATCAAACAACGGTTTCAGTGCTTTAGGGCCCAGGCCTGTGTGTTGTAGGCTTGGGATCTCGGGTCTATCGAAAGTTCGGAAATCTCCAGAACCCAGACCTTCCAAAATCCCTTAATTAAGGAATATACCTTAAATCATATTATGGATCCTATTATAATTTAAGGTATATTCCTTAGTTAAAGGATTTTGGAAGGTCTGGGAAATGCAAGGGTGTCCCACCACGTATGTTTTGAGGTAAGCGAGTGTGTGGTTCAACAGTTTCTTGCCGTTCTTCTGGTTGGCTCTTAGGACTTTAACTTTTTGGGTTTCTATATGAACCATATAAGGGGGCCATAAGTTTGACTTTTAGGAGGGGTTCAGAAGTCAGCCATAGTTTCATCCTGTAGGGTGCTGGTTCCGGGCGGTTTCGCAGGTCGAGGTATAGGTGTAGGGTTGGGGAAGTTGTGGGTCCAGCATTCCGCTGCATACTGCGAACGGTGATTCCACGGATTGCTACAGTCTTGAGTCAAGATGGTTCTTATACTTATTGGCCAAACTCAACTTTTCAACTTTTAGGGCTCTTATAAGATTGTCGATTCTGGAAGTTTCAGCTTTCATTTCCTTGGGTTTTGGGTCAGTGTGTATAAGGGTTATCCCAGACTTGCAACTCGTTCGTTGCCATATCTAGAACCTTACGGGTCCAAGTACCTAATAATCATATACTCCCCCTAATATTAACCTGAATATCTACTATCCGTAACCGAAGTACTTTATAATTGGGTCCTTTGGACCCTTAGGGGAAGTGTTGGGGAGGGTGGGGCCATCGGGATGCCTTTTTAGGTTTGGGTTTTTGGGGCTCGGGGCGGTTTAGGGTTTAGGGTTTAGGGGGTTTAGGGTTTAGGCTTAGGGTTTGATGCGTTTTCTTGGGGGAGGGAAGCGCAGCTTATCAATTCTCGTGTTGATCGTCGGTGGGTTTGGTGTTCACTAAGACCTCCGTTGCTAATTGCACCATGTAAGCCGTAACCCGAAATGTCCGAGCGCCCAAGGACTCCGATTTTCTGTGCCCAAAACCATTCTGAGCATGAATTATGCGACCTAGCACGTTAATATTTGGATGCCCGAAACCATTCTGAGTGTTGTTTTTTCGAACCAACACTTTAAGATTTGGACCCTCCGACCCTTATTGAACCACTCACCATACCTCAACTCAACCCCGAAACCCAGACTAAACCCCAGCCCTAACATCCACACAACTTAACGAAAATCTTAGAGCCGCCTCATTCGCCAGTTGCTGACCGTCGCGAACGCCCAAGCCAAGTATCCAATCTCCTTTCCTATTCAGATTTCCGGCACGGAGGCGGGATCCTGCAGGATGTTGGGTTGAGGGTTGGGTTTGCATGAGGTTTAATGTAGGAGCCTGATTAAGAAATCCTGCGCCTATACCTCCAATATAGTAGGATTCATATAAGGAACCCTAATAAAGGCCCAAGGTTTCTTAATCAGGTTCCTACAGTATCTAGGGCTGAGGATTGGGTTTGCGGTTCAATTATTGGGGCTTCGGGTTACGGTTTTAGGGTTTGGTTTGAAGTTTTGGCTTCATGCGTTTATTGGGAGCTGGATTTCGGATATCTTTCGTAAACAATCAAGCACCGACGACTGGCCAAAACCCTAAACCCTAAAACCCTAAGCCCTAGAGCAGACATCGTTTCGACCAGTCTGAGGGTTCTGCATTCATAGAAGCCTGTGGCTTGTTCAGGGGCTAGACCCAGACCTTCCAAAATCCCTTAGTTAAGGAATATACCTTAAATCGTATTATGGATCCTATTATAATTTAAGGTACATTCCTTAATTAAAGGATTTTGGAAGGTCTGGGGACCTATCCGAGGGGGCCCGAAAGTCCACAAATTTCTGGTCCAGGGTTTAGAGTTTACGGGGCCTCTTCAGGTAGCAAAGGTGATGAAATCAGGACTATCGGATGGAAGGTGGGTGCTGTGGTGTTTCGATACTTGAGCCCTGAGAGTGAGTGGCAGCCCTCATGTCAGGCTTCAAGGTATGGGCCCAAAGGGTCCAAAGTACCTGTATGGTAGAATGTATAGGGTTTCCATATTAGGAATTCCTATTATGATTTGGGAAAGTATCCCCCATAACAGTAGCTAGGACCCTTTGGGAGGTTAGGAATCAGTGTCGGAAGTTCGGATGTGAAGCTGATGGGTCCTGAGCTTGAGCGATGAGGTTGGGAGCGTTCAGGGCTGCGGGTCTAGTCTAGATTCGTTGTTTTAGGGTTTCGCTATACGGAAAAACGGACGGATAAGACATATTCATCAATCTCCAGGAACTCGGGTACCGAGATACTGGCCTACCCTTCCTATCCCTTCCTTGAAGGCTGTGTATGCCTTTTAGGTCCCACTGACTACACGGGTAATTATATAGCATTTTAGCGGAAATCTCAGCCTTCAGCACTTCGTGTCTAAGGTTCCGGGGTTTGGGGGTTTGGCGTTGAGAGTTTAGGGGTTCCTTGGAGGGTCGGGGGACTTAGGAAGTAGGTAATAAGCAGAGTTATAAGTACCCTAAAAGGGATCCTAGTTGGGGTTTATGGTACTTTATAAGTCTCCATAGTAACTAGTTTCTGAGTCCCCCGACGCTCCAAGTAGGGGAACTCTGAACGGCAAGCCTACATTCTTTGAGCACCCCTGGACCCTGTTAAATTACCTAAATCCCCAGAAAATCCAAAAGCCTAAACCCGTTGACATCAGGAGAACACCAACATCGCGAGGCGGTTGCAGGCTCGTGCTGGCTGAGGTTTAGCGTGAATGTCTGCAGGTCTCGAAGGTCTTTTTCTGCTGGGAGGGAGATTGTGGGACGGGGGTTTGGGTGGGGTTCTTCAGGGTTTTGCGAGTGATGGCTTGGTCCCTCGATTGTCGGTTTTAGTAGCCAAAGTCTTATTCAAATGCCAAACAGATCCAACAATGCTAAGTTCATGTCTTTGTCATCTTTGTCATATAGGTAGGTAACATTCTGCATTTTTATGGGCACTTACAGCCACGAAGCAAAAGAAATTAGCAATATCAGTACTATCCCACGCATGGACAAGATTCTGACTAGATGTTTGGTCCCCAAACCTTACCCTTAAGCTTTGCTGCCACAGAGCCGTAAGCTTGAAGTTAGAATCTTGCTTGCGCAGATTTCCGCCGAACCACGGGAATATTCTTGGACGGTCGGGACCCCATTCTTTTGGTTCATGGCTTCTACTCCTCGTATTCAGAATTCTAGGTTTGATGGTTTACTATACAAGCCTGCATAATCAGCAAAGTTGTCAATAAATCCTATGCTACTGGATAAGGTCCCTACATCTTGCCCTTGACCGCAAGCGCTTTCAAATTAAAGCTTTTCAACTCCGTGAAGTGTCGCAAAGCTTTTGAGATCCCCCAACCCGACACCCTTTTTGTTTTTGGGGTGTAGGGTTTGGGGCTTTAGGGTGTAACCCCTAAACCCTAAACAGTGTAAACTTTGAGGTTTAGGGCCCTAAACTCCCAAGTAAACTAGAAATGTCACGGCGTTCACGAGCCTCAGCCTCGTTTCAAGCGACGCGTCCAGACTGGCACATCTGCTCCCCCCTCCCCCCGGGCCCCTCCCCCCGCTACATGCGGTTTCGGAGGAGAATCTTTTTTGGCATTTGGTTTTAGTGTCTACAACGATGCAGAAAAAACATAGCCTGTAGCAATCCTGAAGCGCGACGTCTGCGTCGTGGGTCTTTGCGTTTTCCGGAGGGTTGCAGAGACGCCCAATCCGCAATTGCTTCGCAGAGTTTGCTGGGGTTTTAGGCTAACCTAAAGGTCCACAGCAGCTACACAACTGCTAGGTGCCGTGACGCAGGTACGTGGGCATGGACAGTGGTTGCTGTAGGTTTGGGTTCACCGTTTGGGCTTGTGCACTTGGCAAGGCAGCTGAGTGGGCAACTTTCGACCTTCTTGCATTGCCATACTCGGGTCTCCCCAGCCAAAACTCAACAGTTAGCGGTTCTGGTTGATAGGGGCACTAGGGAACACCTAGTCCCTCAGCCACCACTGATCACCACTGGCTGTTGATTTTTGGGTTTGTGTGTTACATCGACAAGGGTTTTTGACGAACTTGAAGTCTCGTCGTTTCACACAGAACATAAAATCAGGTAGAACATCTCACACACATATATATATATATACAGATAGCAACAATCGGAAGATGTATACATGCATACGTATGTATATGCACAGGTTAAGCTCTGTGTGGCAGGAGTTGTAGAATCGGCATAAGTGTTATGTGGGTAGGTCTTTATTTGGGTACAGTCGCCGCACGCCAATGCACAGGAACTACCAACGCCATCGGATGAGTAGTTCAGAGGACCTGCAGCCACCAGAGTGATTTTACACGCGGATTCAACCAGGAAGGGAATGCCACGTAGATGCACCATCTAAAATCGTGTGTATAGGGAGTTTAGGGTCGTGATGGAACCTGTACATGTGCATACCGACTCAGATGTATGTCCGTACACATACACACGTACGAGAAGATCCTGACGGCCCGATCCTGTCATGAGCTTACCCATATATCCACAGTTTACATGTTCGTTCTAGATGCACATGTATATTACATCATGTATTCATTTAGTGATGAGTAAGTAAGCAAGTTAATTAGTTAGTTAGTTCATTCATTCATGATTCCATTCCTCTATGTATTCATTTTTTATTAAATCATTCATTCGTTCGTTCATGAGTTCACTCGTTCGTTCATTCATTCAATCATTTTTTTCATTCATTCATGTGCTCAACAATGCATTCAATCATTCATTCATTCGTTCATTCGTGCGTTCGTTCATGCATTATTTCACTGGTTCATTCATTCATGCATTCATTCATTCATACATTCATTCAAGCATTCGTGCATTCATTCACTCATTCACTCTCCCATTCATTGAGTCGTTCGTTCTTTGTTTCATTCATTCATTCATTCATTCATTCGTTCGTTCGTTCGTTCCTTCATTCATTCATTCATTCATTCATTCATTCATTCATTCATTATTTCATTCATTCATTCATCCATCCATCCATCCATTCATCCATCCATCCATCCATCCATTCATTCATTCATTCATTCACTCTTCCATTCATTCTTTTACTCATTCATTAGTTCATTCATTGAATGGCGCTTTCATTCCTTCATTCACTGACTCAATCATTCGTTCGTTCATTCATGTGTTCTTTCATTCTTTTAGCCGTGGAAAACAGACGATGAAGCAAGTTGGTTTGATGTGTATATGTTTATATGTTTACACACCTATGTATGTAAATAAATAAGCAGAACACCTTTACCTACACATATATATATATATATGTATGTATATGTATATGTATATGTGTAAACTTATGTAATATACATATGTACAGGGTATAGGGTCGAGCTCTCCTGAGGTCCTGGCATACTATCCCAACCCGGACTATGACCCGGATTTGGCAGAGGACTCCCACGGTTTAGGGTTTAGGGTTTAGGGTTTAGGGTTCTTTTGGTCTTTGATTGTTTCGACGGCACTTTGGTTATTCGGACCCTCAACAAAAAGCCATAGTCGGATCAAGTGTATGGCCTCTATCGTACTCCACAGTTTAAACATATATATATATATATATATACATGATTAGTTGCATGCATACACGTACGCACACATATGGTACTCAGTAGTCGGTTAGCAGACCGTCAATCATTGGTACGTTATTAACTTGCGGCCGATATAACTCTGGTATGAAGGAGGGTTTTAATTTTTGAATATTGGTGAGTGTATAAATGCGGTGGGTGTCATGGTGGGTATACTTGTAATTGCAGTGCAGCATATGAATGCCGTACGGCATGGCATATCTTTAGAAGTGAAAATCTGCGGCCCTGACACCAACAGAACCCTTACAGGAGCCACTCAGTAAGGAGCCCAGACGACAATAATCCGTGCACTGTCCGATATTGTCTCAGAGTTGAGGGGTTTCGGGTTGAGGGTTCGGTCCGTAGGGTTTAACCCTAAACCCTAAACCCTAAACCCTGCTGGTGTTTGGAGCCCAGGGTCCAGGCGCGTTTGGGGCTAAGCGATTCCTTCAGCATCCAGGTAGCGCATAGTCATATACACCGACGAAGGCGTACCTACATTAGTCAAGAAAAGAACCCAACTATCAGCATTACACCCTCAAGGTTTCTTACCAATGCAAGCTCCTTTGTAGATGTCAGCCCTAAACCATCACACATAAACTCCAGGCCCTCAGCCGCATGCCCCAAACCACTGCCCAATGCCTTGCCGCAAGGCTCTTTGGGTTCTGGGAAGTTGTTCTTAGATCCCCAACACCCAACGTTTATCTTTTTGGGTTCTTATAGTATAGTAGGAATCGGAAAGTTTGACCTTGTATGTCTGTGGCTTATTGGGGTGGTAAGTGTTGCGAATGCGGAAGGGGAGGCTATGCTTGTTATGCGCTGGGACCGTTTAGTGTGTGTGTTTCTGCGCTGGGACCGTTTAGTGTGTGTTTCAAGTGCATGCAACTGTAGGTTGTGATCAGATACAAGACCCTGAACCCTAAACCCTAAACCTAAGCCGCAGTTCAGAACCTCAAACTCGACACCTACAACCCTAAACCCAGACCCTACGTAGCAGCTATCACTATCGACGCTCTAGACCATTCTAGACCCCAACCCCTAAGGGTACATCACACGTCTTGGAGAAAAAACAAAACGCCGAAACGGAATTTCTAGGGCTTCAATCCTTCAGAAGCTTCCGACAGTCAGGAGCATTCAGCTTGTAAGGTTCAAACCTGAGGAACCACAAGCAGAACAGCAACAAGCAAGAAGCCTAGAAATCCTTAAGTCTCTTGCAGGCTTTAGGATTCTGACGTAGGGTTTAGATTTATGGGTTGACGGTTGTGACGGTTTGGGTTGTACGTGTGTGCCCAAACCACCCCACACCGACAGATCTTTGAACCTCATGAGCCTTGGCCGAGACTCTGATGAATCAACCCCCTCCCCTTTAAGGGCCTATAACAAGACTTAGATCCACCATGCCCGACCTTGAAACTTTTCGGTGATTATAGTTTTGAATGGACCGGTAAGTTCAAGTTCAAAGTTCTATTCTTGTGGCTTAGTGGGGGAGTAAGAAGAGGAATCCCACCACAACCTCTTGAAGACAGGTGCTCGTATTAACATCTTTAGATCTGAAGTAGAATCTCGAATACTTGATTGCTTACCGATGTATAGGGCTCCTCCTTGCACCTATGTTCTTTTTAATATACCACCCTAAACCCTAGACGCCAAGTCCCAAACCCCTCCCCCAAACCTAAGTTGTAATCTGTAATATCTAAACCTTAAACCGTAAACTCTAAACTACAATCTGTTCATACAACTGTGTGTATATTCATGTATATATATATATATATATATATATATGCATATATATATACATATATATATATATATATATATGTATATATATATATATATATACATATATATATATATATATGCATATATATATATATATATATATGCATATATATAGATGTATATATATATATATATACGTAAGCCCTAAAGCGGTTTTTTTGCAGGAGCTGCTCAACGATCCGAACAACCCATACACCGTCGATCAGTACAAGTACCTTGGGACTTTAGGGTTTAGGGGTTCTGGTGCTTCAGCGTTTGGGGGACTAGGGTTTAGGGGTTCTGGTGCTTCAGCGTTTGGGGGACTAGGGTTTAGGGGTTCGAGTGCTTTAGCGTTTGGGGGACTAGGGTTTAGGGGTTCGAGTGCTTTAGCGTTTGGGGGATTAGGGTTTAGGGGTTCTAGTGCTTTAGCGTTTGGGGGTCTAGGGTTTAGACTGTAATCAAACAGAGACTATATTTTGGTCTTAAAGCACCTATACAGGAGCTATTGCAACGCGCAAGTATACAGTACATGAATACACTGACGCTAGGGTTTGGGCTGGGCTTCTTCAACCCTAACCCATAAAAGTTAAGCCTTCAACCCTGAATCAGAGTGGTTCCTAAGTAATTAATTAGGTTGTAAGTTGAGTGGTAACACACGTACACGAGAACGGATCCCACCTGGCGCTGCAATACTTAGCTCTATGGAGCTTGTGGATGCATCTCGTTCAGGATGGTCGTTTTCTTCTGGGTCGTTCAAGTTTATGCGTCCTTTGACAAAGGGTGTCCATACAAGCAGGTTATGACTTTTACCTTCCAGGAAGGGTAGAGGTATCTGAGCGGTTCGCGCTTGCGGCTTCGGAACAGTCGCCCTCCCTGGAGGTTCAGAATACCCAGAGACTCCAAAACCCCTTAATTAAGGAATATACCTTAAATTATAATAGGATCCCTACTATAATTTAAGGTATATTCCGTAATTACGGGCTTTTGGAGTCTCTGGGTACTCGTAATGCCCAAGTCATACCTGCGCCTGTAACCCAAGCTGAACCTGGTAGCTATACGTAGGAGGTCCATACTCGAGTTTTTCAAAGGGCAAAAGGAGGGGCCCTTAATGGGGACCCCTACCCTATAATGGGCTATATAGTGGGTATATAATGGCTATATTAAGGGTTTCTACCTAGGGGTCCTTATTAAGGGTCCTTCCTTTTACCCTTTGAGTTTCAGTACGCTCCCCATTATGGGTCACAGTTCAAGGTGTAGGGTGGGGAGTGAGGTATGTCAAAGTCTTCGAAGCTCTAAAGCCAAGGTATGTGGACCAGTCGGATCGTTTCGTCCCGATCTGAGTTTGGGCAGGGTAGTCCGAGTCCTCCTCTTGAGAATGTCATCCACCACCCGACTTCTGATCATTTCTGAAGCAATAACTATCGGATCATGGTCTCGAGGAAGATTTGAGTACGATGAGATGGCTAGTGAAAGGGAGTGACCTTCAACCTGACCCTAAACCCAAAGCCAACTTTTCAATTGTTCAGGCCTCGTTCCTGTACCTTGGAGTATGAACCCTATTCAGTCAAGCCTTCGTTTTTGGGTTGTATTGGCCTCATGCCACTTGCTTGTGATCCGCACCGAAGACGTCCTCCGACAGGATGTTGTAAGGTTACTTATAACACGTACATCTGTTGAGTTCCCTCTGGACCCGAAAGTTCGCATGGTACTTTTCTCCTGTTTTGTTTGAGGTAAACCTCTACGATAGCCCCAAGGCTCCAGCTGCCTATCTAGTACATGCTTAGACCTTAAAGGACGAGTTCTATTGGCAACTGGAAAATTGAATGGTCCACGGGTGGCACAGCTGGGTTTAACATGGTTGAAAGTGTATACGCATACCGCTTGTTTTTACAGCTTCGTCATCGACGTGGACGTCCGACGTAGACCTCAAACTGTAGCTTGCCTGGGCTTGCTGTTGAGGCTTTGGTGGCTTTAGGAACCGGCAAGCAGGTTTCCAGGACTTCTGTAGTTGAAGCGTTCTGTGGCAGGGCGCGAACATTGGGTTCAGAGAAAATAGTCTTTGGCTGTGCTATAGCTACGGTGTAGCGGTAGCATTCAGGGATTCATGGCTGTAGACTCTGTAGACCGCGACGTCAGTTGATCTCGGAGAGTGTGCATGCGACAAAGCCTGCAACCCACTCTAAGCCCTAAACCGTGTCCAGAATGTGAAGTTGAGCCGATGACATGTTGAAAGGCGTTGGCCTAATAACTCTCCCATGGAACCCTTCTCGAACCCTTGTAGCAACTGTAGTTATTCGGTATGTTGTAACCTATATAATATTTTACATCTCCAACCCCAGGACACTCGGGATCAACGTCTCTTCCGGACAGATCCGTTTGGGACTTGGCTGGGGTAAGATCGAGCTTATAGGGGTTGGGTATTGGTACTTAGTTTCATAGGGGTGTGCGCTGGGTTGTGCAGTGGCTTTGCCTGCTGTATAAACGGGGCTTATTTACTACTTGGAGGGTCGGGGGACTTAGTAACTAGTTATTTCGGAGACTTATAAGTACCATAACCCCAATTAGGATCCCTTTTAGGGTAGCTATAAGTCTACTTATTATCTACTTACTAAGTCCCCCGACCCTCCAAGTAAGGTTCATGATGTATCAGGGCAGGAAGGTTAAACTCGATTTTATGGCTTAGCTTTGTTTCTGTGGGCGGGCTCTCTGTAAGTGTCAGAAGGGCGCGACATGAAATAAGGTGTCCATGCGGGTCTTGGTGATGTTCGCGACATTGGTGAGCTTAACGTGTGCGTGTAATTATTGCCATGCTGGTAGCAAAGTTCGAGTCATTGTGTTGCTTGACAGGGCTTTTCCAATCAACCCTCATAAGGGTTCACGTGGGTTGATGGGAGTTTCTGAGGTATTGAAGGTTTAGGGAAGCCGCAAACCCTAAGCCCTTAATCCCAAAGCCTAAGACCATACCATGGAATTGTTTTCTTGCGGTTTGCGGCCTTATGTTGAGCTGTAGTCGGGTGGCAGTGCCAGAACTATAGTTCTCACACCCATGTAAAGCTATGGGTCATACCCCAAACCGCTGAACCTCTCAACTTTGAACCCTTAACCCCTGAACCAGAAACCGCGAAGAGCTTGAACGATCTTCACCATTCGGAGGCCTCAACAGGTAGGATGAAGGTAGGTAGGATCAAGGATCCCTTATATAAGGACTCTTATTTGTGAATATCCCACCTACCTTCATCCCACCTCTTGAGGCCTCCGAACAATAAGCATAATCTTGCGGATGGAACGATGGCACAGATGCGATTCGGAAGTTTTCCTGTTCTGGAGACTCGAGGTTTCCAGAGAATGGGCGGTACCTTGTTTAGGGGCCTTTAATACGTAGGATTCAATTTACATTGCAGGCACGCTAGAATGGCTCGATACTTGGAGGGTCGCGGAAAAAAAGAAAACTCATCAGTGCCCTGAAAGGGATCCCAATCAGGGTTCTGATACCTAAAAGTTCCAAAACAAATCCGGCTACTTACGAATTCCCCGACCCTCCAAGTATCCAAGGGGAAAAGGAGGGACCCTTAATAAAGACCCGTAGGCAATATACCCTTAATTATATCCATTATATACCCATTCTATAGCCCATTATAGGGTAGGGGTCCCCATTAAGGGTCTCTCCTTTTCCCCTTTGTAAGAACCGTCCGGGTTTGGGGCTTTAGGGTTTTAGCGCCTTGGGGTTCGCGTTTCTCCGAACTCCAAAACAAGGGGTCTAGTTTGCCCGAGGCTCCATGTACCTATTAACTACATAACCAACTGAACACGTATATACATATACATGTGTATATATATATATATATACCTATGTATATATATATATATATAGCACATGCGTAAGTAGGCCTGAAAGTACCTATATAGGAACCCCTATTCAGGCCTAAGTCGATGCTACATAGGCACATGGAGACTTAGGGAGCATGCATCCTCCGAGCCCTTGGGTGGCTGGAAGCACAGCCGTTATCTCAACCCATAGCTATCCCTTATGAAGCCCTCCCTGTACAGACCTTAACTTCGGGTTGAGGGTGTAGGCCAAGTCCCCAAACCCTTAAAACACGCGCACACGCAGACACACGCACTCTCTCTAAACAACATGCGGAGAATGGGACAATCCACAAGGGCCAAACATGATAGACCTGAAACTTGGGGTGTAGGGTTTTGGCCCAAACCCTGAGCCCTTACCACACACATGCCTTTAAGCAAAGTTGCACAGGTCCTTGCCAAACATCATCATTCAGCCAAATGTCCTGCAGCCTTCCACGAAGTACAAGTCCGGAGCTCAGCACTAACAGTTCACTAGCATAGTATGGTAGTTTTGCTACGGATGGTTGTTACCTTAGGGCCCAAAATAATTACCGATACTATGTTTGTTTATTCTTTTTTGGAGGGGGGGTTCTTACCATAATTATTGTATAATGGGTGTTCCCGTAAAGGGTCCATTTATTGCTTCGGGGATCCTGGAAGAGGTCTCTTGAGCAACCACAAGGTTGCTGTAAGGATGCGCTAGGGGCTTATGTAGGGCTTATAGGTCCTGTGTACCCTAACAGTCCTAAGAAATTGGGGAACCTCAAAATTGAGGGTTTCTGAGACCCCAAAGAGACCCAAGGACTCTCCCTAGGACATTCCGGACCCTCCTAAGGAGATACCTGGACCCCTAGGCTAGGAATACTACTTTGGCCTGAAGATACTTTTCTATGGGTGGTTGTCAAAATCAGAGCCCCTTTTGGGGTACCCTAGATAATAAGTGCCGTATTATAATAGGGTTCCAAAATTACTTACTTAGCCTATTGGAGAACTTTAAACTTTTTGGCTTTACATATTTGGTCTAGCTTAAAAAGTTTGAACTTTGTTTGGGCCTGGTTATTGGAGAAGAGAGAAAAAGGACCATGATTTTGACAACCGCCCCTATAAAGGACCCGTCGGACTTTTGGAACCGCAGGAACTCTAAGGTTCAGGGCTCCGGGTTTCGGGATTTCGGGTTTAGGGCTTAAGGGTTTGAAGGTTTAGGGTTTAAGGGTTTGAAGGTTTAGGGTTCGAAGGTTTAGGGTTTAGGGTTTGAAGGTTTAGGGTTTAGGGTTTGAAGGTTTAAGGTTTAAGAGTTTGAAGGTTTAGGGTTTAGGGTTTAGGGTTTAGGGGCGCTAAGGGTATATTGCTTCGGATATCTCAAGAACTGGAGACCACAGTACCGTTCGCATAGACGCTATGGTCTGTACACGGTCGGCAAGAAACCAGGAAGAAGCGGGCAGTTCAAATCTACACGAGGATTGACTTGTACTAGTGCATGCTGCAAGTCGTGTCGGTGTGCTTATTAGGCAGGCCGCCGTGCATATTGCTTTGTCAGTGCATTTACCCAGGATACTGCGCCCACTCAGTAACAGTTGTATGTAGAGTATATTCAAGGGATATATAAGGCGCCCTATTATAAATTGTTACTGACTGCATGGGGGCAGTACCCAACATGTACTCAGTCAAGCAGAATCACACTCAGCCAGGAGAGGGCAGGTTTGGAAATTCGGTTGAAACTTCTGATGCCCTAAGGGTGCCCAAGTAATGTAGGGGCCTCAATAACTATCTATGCTACTTGGGGGGGGTCCTTCTTGTAGTTATAGTATAGTAGACCCCAAAAACCTGCTCCAGTTATTCAGGCAACTATATTGCCCAATAATCGTGTACTCTCCCGAATACTAACATACACAGCTACGATCCTACTCCCAAGTCCTTACTTGTAATGCTATTTGGACCCTCAGGGATACTTGGAGTCCAGGCCTGTCCCCACTGCGAGTCATCTATTCAGCACCTTCAAACCCGGAAGACAGAGGCTTCGAGCATGCATGGACGTACAGTAGAAGCCCAAAAGTTGGAAACCCAATAGCCTCGATCCTTAAGAGTCATGTATAGGGAATCCCAGCACTATTTGGCCTTAAACAGGTTTCCAACTCTATGGGGTTTACTGTAATTTGTCCACCACAGCATCAAGGCCACGTCACCAAAGAGACTAAGACACCCTCTACCCTCTAATTACACCCAATCCGCTCCGCAAGATAAACACCTTAAACTTTGATCCCCGCACCCTCATTATTTATAACTCCCGAAACCCTGTTCCAACTCAAATCCTGCGCCCCAAATGCCAAACCTTAATCCCCTAATCCCGTCCTTTTAGCCCCTAGTCCCTACGTATACGCTCAAGATGAGACGCTGCCCGCTGTTCGTGGAGCTCGTATGGCTGGTAATATGTTCCTTAGGGAAGTTATCTAGAGGCTCACACCCTAGCCCTTTTTTGATACCCCAAAACAGGGGTAGGGTATGAGCCAGGTATCGTACAATAGCTGCTAAAAACCTAGTCTAATTATCAAAGCCCCTCCCAAACACTAACCAACCAAAGTACTATCGTAAAGCCCGCCACCTGATTATCAGGTCCTTTCAGACCTGTACAAGCCTTCTCATGTAACCCGTTATAGAATCCTGTTAGAACGCTTATGCCAGAAACCTTTTTGCTCATAGAACCCCCGTATTACAAATCTTGTAAGTATACAGTAGGTAGTGAGGAAACCCATTCTAACTATTACGGCGTCTTGATGACCTGAAATCCCAAGGCTTAAAATTAGAAGCCTTATGGTAACCTTGTAAGGAACCCCTATAGATCACTTTTTGAAGGAGCCCTATGTGGGAGTTTCCGAAAATTGGGGTACCCTATTCGGGGGGTCCTTATAATAAGGATCCCACTAATTAGGGTACTGTATTAGGGTCTCCCTATTTTCGGAAACTCCCATATAAGGACATCATAGCAGGGAGCCCCAAAAAGGAAGGTTTATAGGGCTCAAGCCCTGAACCCTAACTTTTAGGGCTTTACGTTTTTTTGAAGGAGCCCTATGTATTACCTACCCAGTAGCCAGGTTCCGGCTCAACATCCATCTGACGAATGCCTTGACCTCAGATTAGGGTTTGTGGTTTTTAGTTTTTAGGGTTTAGGGTGTAGGGATAGGATTTAGGCTTTCAGATTCGGGTTTAGGGCGCAGGGGTTCAGGAGTTAGGGTTTCAGATTTTCTGCATCCCTCACCGGAGGAAGGAAGGGTTCGGGGCCTGTCCTTCCTCTACTCTCAGTATGATAAAGAGCATGCCCGAGAGCATCTACCCCTCCAAGACAAAACAATCCGCAGGGCCCTGTGCTCAAGTAGCAGCTCATACCCTGAGTCCTGAACCCCTGCTTGGAGGGTCGGGGGACTTAGTAAGTAGGTAATAAGTAGGTAACAGCGCCTGGTACGTGACCGGCGTTTTGTGGCGTAGCTGAAACAGGCAATGTGCTAAAACCTAGAGCAAACGTGTATTATGACTAAAAAGTTGTGCTAGGAAAGGCGGAGAATCCCTGTGACAGGTCGATCGTTTTAGCGAAAAAGGTGATGGCGCTGCAGTAAAAGCCACTTTTGCGAGCACCGCGCTGCGCAAACTTGGTCTGAGTGGACGTTAACATGGTTGACCCGTGGATGCTCTGCGTCAATGAGATCTGGTCTGAGTGGACGTTAACATGGTTGACCTATGGATGCTCTGCGTCAATAACATGGACCACCCATGGATGGTTTGGGCGACGTGGGTTGTAGCAAGTGCCGAACACACCGGAATTACCGGTGTGTTGGGCATATGACCCTAAGGAAACATGGCTTCGATCAGAACTAGAGCTTGGGCCTGCCTGCGACAGAAGTGCGCGGTTCTGGGACTTACAGGTCGGGGCTGGCCGGAATTAGCCCCCCCCACCCCCCCCCCCCCCACCCCAGAAAAGTGAGAGGACGTACAGGACGCACACCAGGCGCTGTCACCAATAAGTAGAGTTATAAGTATCCTAAAAGGGATCCTAATTGGGGTTATGGTACTTATAAGTCTCTAAAATAACTAATTACTAAGTCCCCCGACCCTCCAAGTAGGGCCCTAACCCCAAAGCCCTGAACCCAAGGGGTTGCCTGACTGTCCCAGGTCCAAGTTCTACTTGGGGCGCCAGAGGGCTTAGGGTTTCGACATTTAGGGTTTTAGAAAGTTTGGGTTTGGCAGGGTGCTGTCCAGGAGAAATCCATTAACCGTGGTCATGGCTCTGTGCATGCACATGATTCCGTATGTGTATATATATATATATATATATATATTTATACATACATATATGTAAAGAGAGAGTGGTATATATATATATATACACACAGGAAAGATGTGCCTTATATTACACTTATGTATACATGTATGTATACACAGTCCACACCGATTGCGCTAGCATTGCACAGAAATCTGTCGAAGCGCTACTGGGTCCTTGAGTGAACTGAATAGAAATTTCTACTTCCATGATCCTCGCAAGCCAGATAGGCCCGTGATGCTAAATTTGACATAATACGGCTGATGATACAAATCCTGCATTACCTTAAGGACCCTAAACTATGGGAAATATATGTTATATTCCTTATTATGGGTCATGCAGGGTTTATAACATCAACCGTATCGTACTTGTCGCCTCTAGTCTCCCGGAACAGTCTGTGGGAGTCCTCAAAACGTGAGGCCGAGGGATGCTTGGAGGGTCAGGGGACTTAGTAAGTAGATAATAAATTAACCCCAATTAAGATCCCGTTTAGGGTACTTATAAGTCTACTTACTACCTACTTACTAAGTCCCCCGACCCTCCAAGTGAGGACGTCTCACGTAACGTCAAAGTCAAGTTGACGTTATGTGCTCAAACTCCGAATCCATGCACCCTTGCACAATGCAGCGGGTAAGATTCGAAGGAGCAGTGCCTATGAGTTATAAAATGTCTGCATGGTTGAACTCTACACACTGAGCCCTAGTATTCCTTGTAAAGTTCATACTTCCTCGGCATCACACGGGTGGTTTTGTGACATAATGCCTTGCAAAGTTTTTGGTGTAGGCTATAGGGTCTGGGCTGGTCGGTATCTGTAACTGCGTTGAGCACCAGTTTGATACACGCGATCAGGACTATTCAACTATCACTGGGTTTGCAGCTGAAGTTCAGAAATCACGGCATGCTTGGAATGAATCTTGGATGGATTGCCCGCAACGTAAGTTGGAGATACAGAGATTATCCTTATGCGAGTTGCTCGTGTCACCGAAATCTGAGAGCCCCAACGGCAACACTTACAACTTTACTGTTTGGCAGTTTAGTTTGATGTTGTGCAACTTTCAGCGTGCGGAATGCACGTTTCAATGTTCTTGCTTTGCATGCTAGCGCTGGCGCACAAGCCAACTTTTCTACAACATCCCATCTTGTGTGCGCGAGCTTTCGGTGAGAGCTAGCATTTGCGCAAGTAAATACACCTTCAACTTGAGCATTGATCTTTCGGATGTCTGAGCCGGAAAGCTTGAACCGCTGGCTGACGCACCGTAGTGCTTAGGCTCACCACAGTGATCTGGGTCCGTTGGTTGTCTTGTCGCGAGGACCCCTGGCAGTCAAGCGCACGCACGCCGAATGATGTGGTAACTTTTTTGGGGGCATGTTAAGGCTGCATCCCCCAGCGTGTCTGCAAAAGGGCTCAGATATTGGACCCACATTTCGGGAGACGGCAGGATGTTGTTTGGGTATGAATCGAGTGGACGAAACAGCCGTGCCCGTTTTGACACCAGGCTAGTTCTGTTCGAGTAAAAATCCTATTCCCAGACAAACTCTTCTAAACTGTTGCCTCAGACGGCTTTGAACTCCAAGTGATCTTTAATTACCCTTGTTCAGCGACGCCGAGGTCACGGGCTATTCAGACATTGTGATCGAAACGGCCGGGCTGCCTCCCAGGAGTGGTCGTTTGGAGGTCCGACTCGGGCTGCAGATTTCGGGTCCCTGTCTTCCGCCTTGAAGCCTAAACTTGAGTTAATCTGCACCATATTTCAAACCTGAACCCCTCAAACCGACTTTCTTTCAACATGGAAGATTATAGGGGTTGGTCAGCTTTGGGTCTGGTTAAATACGGTTAAATATTAAGGTCGATGTGCGCAGATTTGGCTCCATCGATTGCCACTGTTCTGAATAGTTCTGAAATTCAGGTGCCCTTGGCTGAGATTTGGGGGTGTTATAACATGCAGTGCAGCTCCGAACCCAACACAATGATATTGTCTGACCTGCGCAGCCCTGATGTTGACCTTTTACCCCCCGGCTCCAGAGCCGTAAATGTACAGCATGTTTAGTGGTTAGGGATTTCTCGGGCGTTAGTTCTCAATCCTTTGTTTCCTTGCAAGTGCGGTATACTGTTCTCCTTGTTAGAACAACCCTGATTTCAGTCTTGAGGCTCTTTGTAGGGTAGCGGGTACGGGTGCTAGTTCCGCGTTGCACGAAAGGTCACGCCGGTGAACGCGACGATGGACACGTGTGGTCCTTAGTCGAAGGTTCCAAAGACAGGTTGCTGAAGACCCGAAGCTGTATGTTGAAGTAGTTGACGGGTAGGACTCAATTGGACAATTGAAAGCTGCTGACAGCCTAAAGGTTTAAGGGTTTACATATAAGCACCAGAAACCATTCAGAGTAGGCCCAAGCCTTGCTGATGGTTTGCCGTAGCTTATATAAGCTTCCTCAGGTAATGCAGAAGTGTCAAGCACTAGTAGTTTATAGGGTTCGGGGTAAGTAGTAGTTCCATCCGTTGTTCCATATTTTTTACTGCGTCTGTACGACCCTTTTAGTGCAGGAATTCTCAGGTGCACGGACTAGGTTTGGGATGTCTCTATGGCGGTTATAATGGCTAAAATGTTGTCCAAGATCCGGCATAAATCCTTCAAGAGGCCCCGGTAAAGGGTATTAGCTTCTTCCCAGGCAGCCCCTCACCCGGAAATCCTGACAAGCTTATCTCAGTTAAATCCCCTTGGCTCTGGTTTCTTTCATCCGCTGCAAATGCACATACTTGCGGTTGAAGCAGGACGTGGAAGATCTGTGATGCAGTTTATGTAGTTACCTGTCAGTTCCGCAAAGTATCATGCTAAGGCTTTCTAGATTGTTGCCATGGTGCACAGGGTCCTGAAATAGACTGAGGCACGCTTCGTGAGAAGTTGGTCTCTGGAATATTCTGTTTAAGCCTTGAGCCAGCATATCCGGAAGCATGGAGCATATGCATAGCCCCGCCATCACATAGAAGCGCAGAGCCCTCATGAAGTCAATATCAAACAGTCTCGGAATGGCTGCTGGAGAGTTATTGCCTAAAGCCCAAGGGCAGGACGCCTCCCCAAACTCCATTCCAAAAGCCTCAAGTCCCCTCCCTCTGATCCAAGAGCAGTAAGATCCTGAACCCTAGCCCTCGCAAAAAAACAGATCATCAGGTGGCTGGTGAGACTACCAGGGTATGCCAACCTACCAAGACATATGTGAGTCCCGTTCCCAGTTTAAGGCTCTTTTGTAGGTCTCGCGGATCACTACAAATTTGGTGCAGCGTCTGCCAAAACCATCTGGAAATAGCCGTGGCCATGCAATACAGCATCAGCACTCCGACAGACAAGGCTCGTTCGGGGCGTCGCACCGACGTTGTGCGCCTGCTCCAGATCGGAGATCATTGAGCATCATATTCAACGCCAGGACGATCAACTCCCACCGAGGAAGGGGTGTATACCGCCGGATGACCAGAGCTCACTTGATGGAGAAGTACCATAAAGACGAGGCGGTGGTTGACGAGATCATCGAGAAGGACGAGGAAGGCCTTGTCGAGTAGAACCCGGATTGCAAGGACATGAATCTGTACTACTGCTGGGACAGCAAAGCGAAGATCCGGGATGGCCAAGTCATGAATGTGAGTCACCACGGGCTGTTGCAACCAAAGCTCTCTGAGGCTTCAAGCCATGCGCCGAGCAGATCCCGCAAGGTACAACAAACAGCCAACATACGCGCTGGATAAAGCAACGTACCTGAAACTCTTTTGGGGCTATGCCTCCACTATAGGGTGAGTTCATAATAGTGCGCCTTTCCTATACGCAAGTACCGACTTCGGGTCAGAAAGGTAAGCCCAAGCTCTCAATCATGACCCAACCTTCTTATTGACCTTTTGTAGCGACCCTGATAGCCGTCGTGGATGGCTAGAGATCCTGATACAACCCTATGGAGCCAGACCACAAACAATTAACTGTCTTCATGTCTTGGTGCACAAACAGAATAATCCAGAAAAAAGCAAGAGCCCTACGTGACGCCGATTTCAACCCTGATACAACCCTTAACCTAAACTCCCTAAACCTTCTAGCCTCGACCATACAAGGCAGACCCTAAACCCGTACTATGACCGAATTAATTGCCAATACTATGTTGGTGGTTCCGTGTTGTAATTGTAGTATAGTGGGCCCCAAAACTTTATCCCACTTATTAAGGCTCCTACATTACACCCTGACCCTAAAGCCTAAACTGTAACAAAGGCCCCGGGTGCTGAGCGCACCGAATTGGGTGGCGACAGACCTGCCTTTGACCTACAACTTTGGCCCCTCGTCGACTTTCTGTTGTGCTGTATTTAGTATCGGGTTCAGGGTTTTGTTAGGGTTAAAGTTTAGGGCATAGGGTTGTATTCCTTGGGCTTTTAACATTGACAAATAATGGTTTTATGCATGATGATGGGGGAAGATGATCTTCTTTCGATGGCGAGCTCCATGAACATTCGTCACTATGGCTTGCAAACCCAAAGCCCTAAAGTTAGCCGCCTTTTGGGATTTGGTTTTTTTTAGCATCATGCTTCAGGGACCCCGGTCGGTTCTGTGCCCCAGAGACGCGGCCGGCAACAGAAACTCAGTTCCAGCTTGTCGAAGTCTGCACGCCTGGAGGGCCGGGAGAGTTTTAGTAAGCAGTTACTTAGATCCCCAATACCCAACCTTCAAACTTTTTGGGTTCTTATAGCTTAGTAGGAACCGGAAAGTTTAACCTTTCATTTCTGTGGCTTCTTGGGTAAGTAAGGTTACTGTATGGACTTCTTAGTCTCATAAGCAAAATTAGGATCCTTTTCCCAAAGGCTCCATGTACCTTTATAGTAGATACTTAAGCCTTAAAGAGGTCTCTATACAGGCACTTTAAGGCCTTGTACCTACTATGTGGGTACATGGAGCCTTAGGGTTTTAGGGTACCTATAAGTCTACGTATTATCTACATACAGGATGCCCGGAAGTACCCTTATTCCCTTTTTGTAGTCCACAAAGGTGCCCAATACCAACAAGGGAGGCCTTTTTCTTCCTAGGTTACTGGGCATCCTAGGAGGAGATTGAGGCCGAGCTTTTGTTTCAACGACGCTCAAGCTCAAAATGGGAGTTTGCGAAAGTTGTGGGTCCTTATAGTAAGTATCCTACTATTTAGGGTATGAAGAAGAGTCCCCTATTTTCGGAAACTCCCACATAAGCTTTACGTAGCCCATAGAAACCGAGTCGTGCGATTCCCCGCACGAAGCCTCGAGTCAGTTTGCGTTCAAAAGCTTGTCGCAGCCCACCCTAAACCCTACATGACCCGAAATGTGTAATCTAAACCCAAAAACTCCAGTCCCTGTTTGGATGGTTGACAATTTTAGGTCCCCTTTCTGGGTACCCTAAACATTAGGTGCCGTTCAATATCAGGGACCCAGAAAGGGATCATATTTTTGACAACCACCCATCTACAAACCCCAAAGGTTACATCAAGTTCGTGGAGGGCAACCCACTCGATTCGATGTTCAACACCGATCGGCAGCAGGTCTCATCCAAGGCACCCCCTGCTGCCTCGTGTTCCTCAGGGTTTAGGGTTAAGCTAGGGTTTAGGGTTTAGGGTAAGGGTTTAAGGGGTTTACTGTTTCGGGTTATAGTGAACCCCAGAAAGTTGGAACATGGGTTTAGGACGATTAGTGCTAGGAGTTGCTATACTTTACCTTCAGGGAATGAGGATAATGATGTTCCAACTTCCTGGCTTCTACTGTAAGGGGTTTAGGGTTTAAAGGTTGCAGTGGTAGGGTTTTCGGTGGCGATTAGATGGATGCTTGGTTTGAGGGTAGTAGCTTCAGTTTAGCAATTAGGCGACTGAGAGTGCATGCGAAGTACGACGGAGGCTTAAACTGCCCATACAAAGCCGTGCAAAAGTATATGGAACGCTATATCACCCTGCATCCAGGGTTTTTTGGCGGTTTATCGAAGCTTTGGTCGCAGGCGTTTTTGCATCTAGAACTGTGACTTAGTCGTCGAACTAGGGTTCAGGGTTTAGGGAGCCCTATTTGGTTTCGGGTTCAGGGTTTAGGAGTATAACTCCGCGATGGTGGTCTTGGGTTCACGCCTACATTAGCTTGAGGACCCAAAACTATGGGAATTATGGTATAGTCCTTGTTCTGGGTAATGCAGGATTTATATCATCAACCGTATGAAGGTTGCGGCGTAACCTTTAGATCTATAGACCCTAAGCCCTATACCGTTAAGCCCTAAACTTATCGGCTGTAATAAACTCAACTTTTCATCTTTTGGGGTTCTTATAAGGTAGACGATCCTGAAAGTTTCAACTCTGATTTCCTTGGGTTTTGGGCCAGTGAGTAAACCCTAAACCCCTAAACCCTGAACCTGTACCGTCCTCTATAGACCGTAAGCCGAAAATCCCTAACCCTGGACCGTAATACTGTATGCAGGGGTGAGTTCAGAACGCATAAAGAACCCCTAAACCCCTAAACACTTAAACCCTCAAACCCCCAAATCCTTAAACCCTTAAACCCTTAAACCCAAAACCTCTAAACCCCAAACCCGAAATCCTAGACTCTGAACCATCAACCGTAAGCCCTTCAACCCGTAAACCCCAACCAGTAGACCCCTAAGCCCCAAGCCGTACATATCTGAACCCCTCAACCCGCAAACCCTGAACATCGGAACTCCTAAACAATAGACCCCCAAAGGCCCTAAGCCGGAACTCCTAGACATGTGAACCCGTAAAGCCTAAACCCCTCACATAGGGGGCCTGTCTTTACAGCCATGGCCTACACATGATATGGCCATAGCGCACTACAGTTAGTACCCTTTCAGATACGTCAGACCCTTCCATGCTGTCAGAGGTTCTGAACAGTTGCCTATCCTGGTTTGGGTTCCTCATTATAGTATAATGGGACTCAAAACCTACTCCAATATTAAGGCCCCTACATTTACCCACTAAACCCGAAACGACCCTTCGTTTGCCGTGTGGACAGGAGCTTCCACGACTCGTTTTGGGCGAAGCCAGCCCAAGCCCCAGAAAGGTTCAGGGTTTAAGGTTCGGGTTTGCCGGCTTTAGCGTTTTAGTCTAGGGCATCGGGTTTGTGGGTTCTAGGGTTTAGGGTTTGTGGGCTGTAGCGTTTTGGTTTAGGGTAAAGTCTAGGGCTTGTGGGTTCTAAGGTTTGGGGGTTGTGAGCTTTACGGTTTGAGGTTTGTAGGCTGAGGGTGTTTACTAAGGCTTTTGGTTGGTACAGTAGAAACCAGCAAGTTGGAACGGCGCGCTCGCCCAGCCATGAAGCCTAGTGCAGTTTTGTGGCACTCTGTTTTGGGTCAAGCTATCTACTAGAAAAGATCCTACAACATGAAAAGAAGGAACCAACAAAGGTACTACTGTTGATGGACAAAATCCTGCATTACCCATTATAAGGAATTTTTCCACAGTATCTCACGTCCATGCTCCAAGCCATCTCAAATCTGCAGCCTCTGTTCCTGCTTCAGCCTGCACTTCAGGGTTTAGGGTTTAGGGCTTAGAGTTTAGGGTTTAGAGTTTAGGGTTTAGAGTTTAGGGTTTAGGGTTTAGGGTTTAGGGGTTTAGGGTTGGGGGGTTTAGGGTTTATGGGTTTAGGGTTCAGGGTTTAGGGTTTTTTAGGCTTATGGGGTTTAGGGTTCAAGAAGAACCCCTAAGCCCGGATCCCTCTGTTCTGTCATTAGGCACTAACTACACGGTGCACCTCTTCGTGGAGGTCTACACGCCCTATGGAGCGGTGCGCGGGCCAAGCTAGCTGCTCTAGAGATTTCACCCTGCATTGGGTTCGAATGTCAAACCCTGTGGTTAGGTTTGGGCTAAACCTTAAACCGTAAACCAAACCCTAGACACTAACTTTAAACCCCAAACCGCTATAAACCCTAAACCCTAAGCCCCTACAAACCGTACCCCCCCTATACGCCCTAAAGCCTTAAGGGTGTGTGGCTTTGGCTTTGGAGGCCGCAGGCTCTTGGAACCGGGACAGACTGAGAAACTGTAGAGGTGTGCATCTGGGTTGCATTTAGGGCTTAGGGCTTTTGGGGTTTAGGGTTGTTCCGGTTGAGGGTTTAGGTTTTTTGGCTTGGGTTTAGGGCTTAGGGCTTTTAGGGTTTTTGCGGTTGGGGGGTTTAGTTTTTTTGGCTTAAGCTTAGGGCTTAGGGCTTTTAGGGTTCAGAGTTTTTCCGGTTGGAAGTCTAGGGCTTAGGGCGGTTAGGGTTTAGAGTTTTCCGGTTTGGGGTGTAGGTTTATGTTCTTGAAGGTTTAAGGTTTTAGAGCTTAGAGTATAACTAAAACGGTTGAGGGGTTTAGGTGTTGAGGGTTTACTTTTTGAGCACTGTTAGTTTGTGTTTACTGGGTTTGTTGGTTTGTTTGTTTTTATATGTTTTTTGTGGCTGTATGGCAAGACTTGAGGGCTTGGATGTCGTCAGCGCATGCTGTGCCTAGACCTTAAAGACCGGTCCAAAATCATAAAGGACTCTAAAGCCGTAACGCCCTAAATCCCAACAGTATCACTTTTGCGGCGGATCTTCGGGGACTGAGCTCCTGGAGTTTTCTGAAGAAGCTCCATAACATGAGTATCCTTGGACCCTAAATTACTTATATAAGAGCTACTTACGGCTAGTTTAAGGTCTAAGTAATTATGTGCTTTATGATTCTATGGACCCTTGGAGTGTGTAAGAGCTGAATGTGTAATCCATGGTCACGGTACCTTCAAGACTACACGCACCGTTTCCCCACATCTTCATGAGCAGGGTCCCACTACTCAAAGACTAGGATGACGCATTAGTACCCTTATTCCCTTCTTGTAGTCCTAGGTTCCTTACAAAGGAGCCCTTTCTATTCCTAGGTTACTGGGCATCCTAGAAGAGATTCAACCCAAAACTTCATAGACGCCCTTGAGTCTGACTTAAGTTTCCACAAGCTGCCTTCGAAGAGCCGTAAGGATGGTTGTCAAAATTATGGTCCCTTTTTGGGTCTCTTTTATAATACGGCACCTATTATTTTAGGTTACCCAACAAGGGACCATAATTTTGACAACTAGCCGTAAATCCAAAGGCCCTTGTTTGAGCCCGTGGATCCGGAACCGATCGCCCTAAACGGGAGTTTCCGAAACTTAGGGGTACAGAATTTTGGCTTAGATCCCCAATGCCCAACGTTTAAGCTTTTTGGGCTATTATAGTTGAGTAGGAACCGGAAATTGCAACCTCGCATTTTTGTGGCCTAGTAGGGGAGTAAGTTGGGCTCGGAAACTCCTAAATACTTCCAGCCTGTGCCGCAGTTCTCCCGTGCGGAAGTGGCGGTGCAAAGCCGACAGCTCAGGATTTTTAAGCTGTGGTCTTGCTTGAAAGTTCAGGTCCAATGGATGGGTGGTTGTCGAAAAAATAGGGTCCCTTTTTGGGTCCATATTATAATACGGCACCTAATATTTAGGGCACCCCAAAAAGGGACCCTGATGTTGACAACTACCCATACAGAAGTCTGAATAGTTACCAAGATCATTCCACAGGGCTCCTACAGTTGATGATATAAATCCTGCATTACCTTCAGGGCCCTTAAACTATGGGAATTATGGTAGATTCCCTATTATTGGTCATGCAGGATTCATATCATCAACCGTAATTCATGTAATTGTCCAATAACGACTCATGGCCTCAACTTGTGTACATACCCTGACTATGCGAGCAAGGTGCCTTCAAGTTCAATAGCTGGAGCCATAACATATAATGACAAGCCACACGCGCCCCCTTAAGGAAGAAGCGCAAGCCCCGGTAATCCTTGTGTGTGACCCTGCTTAAATTAGTACCCCTAAACGCTAGGCCGTTAGAACCTTTCGGCAGCCCGGGATGTAGGGTATTCTCAGGTATTCTGCCTATAGGCTCATACCCTACCTCTGTGTTAAGGTACCTACTTTTCTGGAGATCCTCACCATAAAACTAGGTACCCCAAAAAAAGGGGTAGGGTATGACCCTCCAGTTAAATTTCCAAAAGCCAATGCTGGACGCGATTCTCAAGGAAGCCCCTTGCAGTACAGTTGGTGGTCGAAGAACTGCCAAGACTACTGCAGGATCGTCCTCTCCGAGCTGGAACTTCGCACTGACGGCATGGGCTTGTGGTTATGAAGAGCTCAACCGGTGAGCCGAAGAGAAATTGAAGCAACCGATGAGAATGTGAATCACTTGCTGCTCTGCAATGCCTCGAGAGAGAGCAGATGTCCAGTGAAATCGCCGCGGAGGATCAGCATCGAGATGGAGGAAGGCCAGGCGGCCCTATCCGGGCCTTGCTGCTGTCAATGGGCCACGGTCACCCGCTTCTTGACTCTGCCTGCTGAGAGGATGGCTTCCGGGTTTAGGGCTCATGACTGGTCCTTGCTTTGGGCTATAGTAAACCCCTTGGGTTCCCCTATACATGACACTTAAGTAGGATTGAGGCTGTTGGGTTTCCAACTTTTGAACTTGTGGGCCGAATTGTATGTATTTGGCATCCTACGGTTGAAGATATGAATCCTGCATTACCCAGAACAAAGACTATACCATAATTTCTATAGTTTCGCCCTAAACCCTAAACCCTAGTGGGTTTAGGGTTTAGGGTTTAGGGTTTTTGGTAAAAAAAACCCTAGTGGGTTGAAGTCTGAGGCTTCTAGTGCCTGTGCGGCCCAGCACTTGCAGCTGTGAAAGCCCGGGCTGGGGAGTTGAGCAAGGTTTACTTAAAGGGTCATGGGACTTAGTTTAACTAGGGTTATAATTAGGGTAACTATACTTATAACTATTTATAACCCCAATAAGGGTACTTATAACCCTAATTACTAAGTCCCATGATCCTCCAAGTAGGGTTTAGGGCTTCTAGGCTTTTCGGATTTAGGGCTTCTAGGCTTTTGGGGTTTAGGGCTTCTAGGCTTTTGGGGTTTAGGGCTTCTAGGCTGTTGGGATTTAGGGCTTCTAGGCTTTTGGGGTTTAGGGCTTCTAGGCTTTTGGGGTTTAGGGCTTCTAGGCTTTTGGGGTTTAGGGTTTAGGGTTGGGGTTTAGGTTAGGGTGTTGGGGGGGTTGCTGGGTTTAGGGTTGGCTCAGTATGTACTTACTAAGTTCCCGCGACCCTCCAAGCACCCCTCTTCAAGCGGAATACTTGGAGGGTCGGGGGACCTAGTAAGTAGCTAATAAGTAGAGTTATAAGTACCCTAAAAGGGATCCTTAATGGGGTTATGGCACTTATAAGTCTCTAAAACAACTAGTTACTAAGTCCCTCGTTTCTTCCAGTAGGCACCTAGAGACCACCAACCCACAAGGATCTCGAAATCCCGTCATTTACCTTAGATAATGAACCGGGGAACTTTAAACTTTTTGGCCTTATATATTAGCTCTATCTTTGAAGTTTGAACTTTTTGGGGCCCGCCTGTTGAAGAAGAGAGTTGCGGAATCCCCCAAAGTTTTCATGTTACCACTGTAGGCTGCCTGCGTTTGTGCGGTATGTTGGGGTCTGAATCAGGCGGGTCCAAGATATCTAACTGAACCCAAACCCGTAATTTCAGGGCTTAGGCTGTTAGATTTTAGAGCTGGGGTTTGTCGTCATTGCGACCAGCGTAGCCGTATGATGTAGCAGGCTCAATAACCTCGTCTACGTACCCAGTGGGTACTTGGAAGGATAGGGTTACGACGTCGTCCACGGCCTTTCCATCCCAGTCGGATCCTAGTACCTACACACTAGGAAAAAGAAGTACTAGGGTTTCTCATTAACCCCAAACCCCCACAGCTTTTAATCCCAGGGTCCCAGACCCTTGAGTTCCCCCCCATTGAGACACTTCGGACCCTTTCGGAATCGTTTCCAGGTCTTCCAGTCGAAAACTTGTCGCAAGCCGTCATCGACGGTGCTCAGCCCAGTTGCTACTGGTAGTACTAAGGTTCGGGGGACCTCCTGAACACTAGTTTGCAGTTAAGGTTGGGCTTAAACTTTATGGGCTGAATGAAACACTAACAGTCCCGAGCTCTGAGCCCCAATTCCTTCCACCTAGTAGTAGAGTAGGTAACCTTTCACCTTTGTTTGGCTAGTATAGTGCCTGTATAATCCCAATGTATCAAAAAAGGTTAACCTTGAGTTCGCCATGCTACCCGACAAGTAGGTCCAGCTCACCCCATGAGGTCTTAGGGGCATTGGTTTTTGCAGGGTTTAGAGATGAGGGTCAGAAGGAAAACCTGGTTCCTTTGCCCTCGGCAGCGTCGGATTTCACACCCAAATCCATGTGCTCATATGGTGTAAGAATTATAAGAAAGGGGCCTCAGCATCAACGAATACAATTCTTCGGGACTCCTCCTTCTAACTATATCAACAGGAACATATACCACCCCAAACTATTCAGTTTGCTGCGGCCTTACATTTTGGTTTTATTGAATTCGTTTTTGGATCTGCTTCCATTACTTGGCCCCCTGATCTTCTGAAACTCTCAAATACTTGAGCTGATGGAACCCTTTTCCAAGTCTGCTAGAGCCAAACCCCAAGGCTCCATGTCACGATGATTTCTTATAAACGTACTTTCAGGCCCAAGTATGTACTATACAAGGTAAAGTATATACAGCGGACCCTTACATGCTTAAGCCCTGCACCCTGTGTTAGTAATGAAGCACTTGGACCCTGGCACTCAAAGACCAAAATGTCAACTTTGGCACCAAAGCCCTAAACCCTCACTGGAAGTCCCAAATCCTCCTGACTAACACAAAAAGTGTGGTTTCACATCTGAAATTATTGGATAATAGGACCCTTGGATTGGTCTGCCTCGCAGGGCTCGACAATGCGCAAAACGCAGATGCGTCGAGAAGCGGCCCCGGAATCGCACGACTCAAGCCGTTACCTGGGGGGTCAGAGGACTTACTAAGTATACTCAGCAACAATAGACATGTAAGTACCCTAAAGGGTATGCTCATTGGGGTCATGATACCTACAAGTCTGTAACATGACTAGTTACGAAGTCACCCAACCCTCCAAGGAACCTTGCCCCAGAATTTGCGAAGGCTCCAGGGTTCATACTCAAGGGCTCGGCGCAATTGACATGGTACATACTATAGCAAGCAAGGGGCGTGTCTCCAGTTGTATCGACTTCAGCTGTCCATAAGCCCAAGAACGGTTAAGAAGTTTAGGGCCTATAGGGTTCAGGAACTCATTGTATCATAGTTCTACGATGTTCTGCGTATATGGGTGGTGTTTCCGACAATAGAGACCCGAATATAGTACCCTGAATAGTAGGATCCTTATAAGGACCCCAAAATCAGGTACCCCTTCTTTTCGGAAACTCCCATATGTTCCCATTAATTAATGGACCTAGTAGGATTTCTTGGTGCTTGTTGGGTTCAGGGCCGGTGCGGGCTTTAGGATGCCGAGCTTCGGCGTAGATGTCTTGCAGGTTGAGGGGTTACCCAGAGCCTCCAAAGCCCCTTTATTAAGGAATATACCTTAAAATCATATTAGGGATCCTATTTTAAAATTAATGTATATTCCTTAATTACCGTGTTTTGGAGGCTCTGAGTAGGGTTTAGGGTGTCTAGGGCTTCGAGGTTTAAAGTTTTGGAGTTCCGGGTATGTGTCTTCATCATGCACATCATATTATAGCGTACCTACAGCAAAGAAGGGCTTTCTCTGTCACCAGTATCGGTATCGCTGTAGTACAGCAGCTTTCAGTCAAGGGCGGAGCCTACTTGGAGGGTTCAAACGCACTTGTCGCACAGAGTTGCGAGTAGCAACATGATCCCAATTAGGATCCCCGTCAAGCTACTTATGAGTCTACTTGCTATTACCCACGTACTAGGTCCCCCGACCCTCCAAGTAGACCCGTGAGCCCGAAGCCAAAGTCCTAAAGCCGTGCCCTAAACCTCAATCCTAGTCCTACGCGGTATATATCCAGGCCCTAAGCGCTAAACCTCGGTCCTACAGTCTGTACATCCTAAATCCTAAAGCCCGAACCCTACACTCGTAAATGCTACTGCTACCCCTTAAGTCACCTGCTTGTGCGAGGGCCGCTCATGTCATGTCACAGCTTGTGAACCTAACTCTCAAGGCTCTACAGGGATTTAGGCTTGAGGGTTCAGGGTTTGCATTTTCGGGATTATTTGGGATACAACTCTGTGGTTTAGTATAACCCTAAAACCGTAAAACCCGAATTCATTCATGTCGAGAATTGTTCACGCTTCCGGTCGTGGATGTGGACGACGGCGAACCCGAGTTTGAGTACCCTCGTTGGTGGACTATGGCCCACACCAAAGAGGTCTACGACCGAGAGAAAGCCCTACTGAGGACGTGGACGAAGGCCAGTCCGTTGGCTTCCGGAGTCCCCAGGGTTCTGGGGGACCTACCGTGACCAAAGACTTGCCCACATCTGGCTGATCGTGAATGGGAAGAGCATCTTTCCTGTGCAGGACAAGGTTGAGTCGTAGCCACATCTTTGCCACCCTGCCCCTTCGAGACTGGCCCGACAACCCCTGAAGTCCTAAACGGAAAAACCCCAGCCCATTGCCCTAAAATCACTGATCGCCGAGATTTGGTGAACGACCTGGACTACATCCTGTCTCTCGATCCGTCCGCGGCTCAATAAAACCCTGGGCTAGGTACTCAGGCCCGAGACCCCTCACTCCCTTAGAGAACCCTAAAGGAACCCTTTAAGATGAACCCTAGTCTACCTTTTTCGACAGTGAGTGGTTTCGGTGGTTCTTCGGCCATTTATCTGATATATTGGTGGCTGACTACACGGTATTGTGAGGCTTTTCCGCTCAGACAATACCATCTTAGTACTTAGTAGTTCAGTAGGTGGCCTTTGACGATTGCTTGGGGTGCTAACATGATTGTATATTCGCTATGGTTAACCGCAATATCTCTCCCATGATACTGGACAAGCAAGGATGCAAGTAGTCGTTTTGTTCAGTGATTCGTCGAGCCTTTGGGGAAGAACTTTCCTTAAACTACGGTGAAGGGGGGCTCGTCTGGGTTAAGTTTGCTCAAATTCCAGACCCCTTAATGGGATTTGCAAAAATAGAACCCCCCTGACAACATTTTTCAATGTTTGTAAGTATAGGATCCTCGCACGAGATCTTCATGTGTGGGCCTCATAAGCTTGCTCTATCCCCAAACCTTCAGCCTACTTCAAGGCTCATGGCGCTGAGTACTTAAGGTTATACTATACGTACAATGAGGATATTCGCACATAGGGGACTTATGACCATATAATGATTAACATAATGTCTACTTAAGTAAGCGGAAAACCTTAACCCTCAAGCTTGGTGCTTTGTGCTTGGAGGGTCGGGGGACAGAGTAAGTAGGTAGAAGTTGGATTTGTAAGTACCCTAAAAGGGATCCTATTTGGGGCTATGATACTTATAAGTTTGCACAAAAAACTAGTTACGAAGTTACGAACCTCCGAGGAGCCCTAAGGTTTCCATAAAGCATATTATGATTTGGCCACGCAGCACCTATATAGGGACTACTTGAAGGCCACTGTACATACCATATCAGCACATGGACCTTGAGGGTAGGTAATGGGCAGAGTAGGCAGCCTCTATCGTTATGGGCCTGTATATTTCGACCAGCAAGTTTGGAAGACTAATTTGCTTAGGGGCTGACGATGTAACCTTCAACCTCTTAGGGCGTATATAACCCTACTATAGGCAATCTTTAACCTTTTGAAACATATATGATCCTACTATAGGTAACCTTTAACATTACCTAAGGTCTCCATCGTAGTTCCTTTTTGGGGTTACCTTACAAGATCCGAATTATATATTTGGTTAAACCAAAAAAAGGAGCTACAATGGAGACTACAGGGAGGTAAACCTTTTCTGGGCCAGGGTACTTAATGGGTCGGGGGACTTAGTAACTAGGGTTATTTAATTCGGGTAACTACACTTATAATTAATTATAACCCCAATTAGGGTACTTATAACCCTACTTACTAAGTCCCATGATCCTCCAAGTACTCAGCCCCTTGGCTATGTTCTGTAGCACCAGCAACCCTGATCTGAAGTTTGGGGGGTGTGTTGATACAACGTCGCACAATGAAAGTTATACTTAACAATGCTATAATATGTAATATTCTCTGAATCTATCTATCTATCTATCTGTATATACATACATATATATATATATATATTCTATATTTGTATACATACATGTGTATATATATATATATACATACACATGTGTATATTTATCTAATAATCTACTTTTATATATCGATATCAATCTGTACATATGTATATGCATATATATATATATATATATATACACATACATATACATATACATACACATATACATATACATATACATATACATATACATATACATATACATATGTATATATTCTGGTGTCTTGAAGATCGGGGTTCTGGGTGTTGATTTTAGGTTTGGGTTTATGCCCTTAGGCCTGAAACTCCCAACGTGAAAGCCCACCCGATTTTCCATGCGCGCTGAGGGACCCGGGCACAGTCCAGCAGGTGATTGACATCTTGGATGAGAAGCCCGTCTCTCAGATCACGGATCCCAGATAGAGGTTCACTAGGTGGCGATTTAGTATAGCAGGGTTAGGGTTTAGGTTGAACGGTTATTTCGTAAAGTTCAAGTATTGTTTAATATAGAGCCACGATTGTAAATAGTCTGGAGGACTGTTGAAATCGACACCCAGTCCAAGAAAAGTATCGTATAATTGCCTAGGACAAGTTGCGGGATCAAGGTTCGAAGTTTAAGAATCACCAGGATGCCCAAGTATAAGTACCCTTTTTAACTTATGGTCCTGAGTACCCTAAACCCTAAAAGCCCTAAAACCCTAAACGTATCCAGGCTACAGCAGAGGGTAGTTGGGAGATCCAGGTCGGGTTTAGGGTGAAGAGCTTACAGTCTGGGATCATACCCTACCCTTTTTTTAGGTTACCTAGTTTTTGGTTAGGATCTCCTATATAGAAAAGTAGGTACCTTAAAAAAGGAGTAGGGTATGAGCCTATAGGTACGGTCTAGGGTCTCGAGTTTTCGAAGTCAGCTTCAATGATTGAGGCTCACAGGTCTATGCTGAAAGATGCTCGAGCTGGGCGAGTTCAATGCCCATGTCTCCTTGGGCAGGATCCTCTGGCGACCAGATCTCTGGACGGCTGGGGTGTGCAACTATTAGGATCAGGGCGACCAAACGACCTCCAGCCCAGTCCGCCAGGGGACTACGTACGTTGGACAGGAGTAGGAGCCGGACGAGAACCTGGAGGAGCAGTGGGGAACCCTTTTGTGAGAGGGGCTTGCAGAGCCACATGGCAGAGATGAGTGGCAAAGATCATAAGGACGCTTAGGGCGGAGGCTGGTAGGCTGGTAGGGGGCTTTAATGCCCATATTGACGACTTAGCAAGGCCTATTTAAGGAAGTATAGCCCCCTACGCCCCTAAGGGTCCCTATGAAAAGAAAAGGGTTCAAAAGGCAAGGCCAAGGAAGGCCCTCTTTGCTTGTGAACTCTTCTTATCCCTCAGGGCCTGCCACGTTGGGACTTCGGATGGTACATCGCTAGCTTAAGGCCCTCCCACCGAGTAGGACCTCAAATGCATAATTTCTGTTTGGAGGATCCGAAACCCACTCAAACCGGCCTAAACCCTCCATGACAGTGTTTGTGGGCTTGGGTTCTGTGGTATACGGATTGTGCGCTCGAGGACGAGCCAACGCTAGAAACCCCTAAACCCTAAACCCTCAAGCCTAACCCTTGAAACATCTGATCGAGGCACAAAACAAGACTGTAACGCGCCAAGAAAGAACACCCAGCAAGGCGAATATATGGTCCACGTGCGCCGCACCCTCCCGAAGTTGCGTCAGCTGTCCCTGTATACCATGTAGCAAGACTGCCTAGACGACACGGAGATCTCAACACCATTTCCAGACAAACCACCACTCTGACTTGAAGATACCCCGGAACCCTACACCCCGCAAGCTTGATCTGAAAGCCGCAACTTGAGGACAATTGGACCGACGGGGGATTTGATAACTAGTCATTTTATAGGATTTTGGCATCACAACCCCATTAAGGAGCCCGTTTAATTTAATGTAATCATCAGGCTACTCTCTATCTACTTGCAGCATCCCCCAAAGCCCTACACCCGCAAATCTCAACTCTCAGTCCATTTAGGGTTTAGGGTTTAGGGAGCCTGCAGTACATCCATGATTCGTGAGCACAACAATCCGCAGCATTCGGGCGGTGGTAAGGGTTCAGGGTTTAGGGTTACCCTACACCCTAAACCGTTGAAACATGTATATGCAAAACCAAGGGTTCAGCGTGTTTTACCTTTAGTCGCCGATGCAGAAGGACAAGTAGGGCTCACCGTAACAGTTGAAGCAAAACTGCCTCAGTTCCATATGCACCATACTGTACCCTAATCCCGGATGCACAAACACGAAACCCTAAACCCTAATTAAGAGTCTTAAGCCCAAGCCCCTGCCAGTGTGGACAACATCCCGACGACACCGACGCAGCTGGAACGGACGGCGAGCTCGGGAGAGACGTTGGGATTGGTGGAGTCAGTCTTCAGGGTTTTGGGTTGGGGCGGCTTGGAGTGGATGCCCAGTGGTACCCGTATTCCCTTTTTGTAGTCCTAGGTTCCTTACAAAGGTACCCAATACCAAAAAGGGAACCCTTTTTGTTCCTAGGTTACTGGGCATCCTAGTTGCAGGGTTGCATTTCGTCGGAATACTCGAGAAGAGAAGCAGTAAGTTTTGTTTTGACGAGACGAGGAGCTTTCATGAGATGCTCAGTGCTGTTGTGGATGCAGAATACGAAGTCTGCAATGCTTGCCTCCATCGCGCTTATGTTGCGAATTTTCGTCGCCGATGCCGGCGACCCGAATACTTGGACTCCCGAGCACTAATTGCTGCTCCGAGGGATATAAGGAACGATCCAACATAGTCCATGATAGCTTCTTTCTATTGTATACACCGATTAATTAAGGAAGCCCTAAAGAATTATGTTTGTGAAGATGATTATTACCGCCGTACTCACTCCACGATTTAGGAGACGCCAGGAATCGCTGAGCACAAGCCGTAACAACATCTCAGACACGCCAACAATGAGAAGCAGTTTCGTTCCCAAGTCTTCCTTTTTGTGCTTACACAAAACTGTGACCCGAAACCCTATCTAAACCCTAAGCCGTAAACCCCCAAACCCGAACCCTCTAAACCCTCAACCCGAATCAAAGCTTAAACCCATGATCCCTGAACTAAAGGATCTGTTAGATGGTACCTGGACAAGGCCGACTTAGCTTGGCCAAGTTTGTTTTGGTTTCTTAGGGGTCTCCACATGCTTTAGGTTTAAAGAAGCCAGTAAAGGAGCCCTTATTACGGCCTTTAAAGGGACCCTTATTCTGATTCTAAAGGCCACTACATTAAACTCCCACCATACCCCCTATAGTAACCATTAAAGGATTCGCTTTAAATGAACCCTTTAAGGGGCCTCGGAACAACCCCCGAGATGCCCTACAGCAATCAAGCCTTGTCAGGCATCCACTTTTGCAGAGATTGTGGCTGGCGGGCAGGCGCTCGGATCGGGACCTGTGTTGTGCATAGTATGGGGCCTAGTTTTCACCAATACTATTGCGGGGGTTCCGCCTTGTAAGTATAGTATAATGTGCCCCCCCCCCAGACCCTGTTCGAATTATTAAGGCCCCTATATTAGATGTCTTGTTTCACAGCGTGGCAATGGCTGACTATGTTCGTTTTTGTTTAAGGCTTTCTCCGGTTCTATCGAGTTTGTGTGAAGTCGGGCTTCAGTTATGCTGGGTGTTTACATGGTCATGCTCGAGTTTTGGTGACTTTGCACATTTTGGATGTCTTTTGGGAAGAAGTTAATTACAACAGGAATCACCCAGACCCAGCACCCTACTTGGAGGGTCGGGGGACATAGTAAGTTGTAATTGTATAGTCTTAGCCATAGAACTGGCACAGCGTGTACTAGGATCCCGTTTAGGGTACGTGCCAGTTTAGTTACTTTAGTTATTACCCACTATACTAAGCCTCTGGACCGTCCAAGTAGCGCTCGTTCGAGGATAGTCCGCATTGCTTCTATTAAGCATTGTGACTTGTACTCCCTATGCTTTTTGTTTCGAGTTGTTCTATGCCCATCCCTAAACCCGTTTCATAAAAGTCATGAAGCTGTCGTAATCCTGAAATTAGCTGGAGCAACCTAACACCTTCAACCCTAATCCCTAAGCAAGTAGTCTACTGCTTGAAGCTGGTTCAGAGCCCTGAGCCCTAACTAAACCACCACACCCTAAACCTCAACACCTGATCTCAGGGTACGTATAAATGATATTTGATTTTGGGGTTCCTTAATCTCTAAGATAATTTTTGGTAGGCGTCAAAGTTCAGTATAGTGATCCTAAGTATTCACGCCTGAATAATCAACTACATTTGTCCTCAATGTTTCTTGCTATAGCTACACCTTTAGCGAACATCATGCCCTCTTCGATTAATTCAGGCACCTTCACTTAGATCCCATATACCCAACCTTTAGACTTTTGGGGCTCTTATAGTTTAGTAGGAATCGCAAAGTTTAACCTTTTATTTCTGTGGCTTATTGGGGGAGTACGTTCATTACACAAATGCCATGGCAGCAGACCCGAAATAAGCCCAAAGTCAGAGAGCCACATTTTTCCCAATCCGAATCCGAAGCCGTGAACCCTAAAACCCAAAACCTTGATCGCAAACTCGTAAACACCACAGACCGCCGATCATATGAAAGCCGAGAAATGGCTAGTAAAGAACAGTGCTACGATTTTGTTGGGCCTCCTTCTTCATTCTGCTATACCCAAAGGGTCCTATGTACCGATGTAGTAGAAGGTACGATTTCCATACCAGGAATTACAATTATGACTTAGGGAAGTGTCCCTCCATAACAGTACATAGGATCCTTTGGGATAGTATGTTCCGAAATCCTAGATCTGCCGTTTCAAGTCCGATCCCGAAGTCTGCGGCTCGGGCTCGGGATGTTCGCGGTTGGGGTTCAGGGGTTAGGGCTTCGGGTTTAGGGTTTTAGGGTTTAGGGCTTAGTAGAAGCCCCTTACAGGTAGGTAGTTCCTCTTCCATAGTACTCCCATAAGACCCCCTTTACCTTATAGGAGTGGTATGGGAGGCTTATGGGAAACTACCCACCTTATAGGTACCCACCTGTAGATGTCTTAGACTTCGGGTTGAGGCCCTTCTGCTCAAGGCCCCCCTAAGCCATGGTCTGCCCGAGAGGATTCCGATCAAGTGCTTGACTTGGTGGAGTCGTCGCAGCCTCGGTGGTTTGCGTAAATCATAGGGATCCTTGGGGGTGTAGGGGGGAGGGGTGTAGGGGACTATATTTCCTTAAATAGGCCTTATTAGTCCTTATTATGGGCCTTAAGGCCCCCTACCCCCCCTCCCCCTACACCCCTAAGGATCCCTATGAGTAAAAATAAGGGCCCTAATAATTTCAACAGGGTTTTGGGGTATGCCCTTATACGACTACAAGGGGAACAATAAGGGACTATCATAAGCAATTTGTCCGATCCACCCTAAACCCTCGACCCTAAACCCTATAAAACCCTCAACCCTCAACCCTAAACCCTCGACCCTATACCCTCAACCCTAAACCCTATAAACCCTAAACCCTCAACCCTAAACCCTCGACCCTATACCCTCAACCCTAAACCCTAGATCATCGCTACTGGTTTTAAGGGCTCTCTCGGCTTTTGGGTTCAGGGTTTAGGGTTTAGGGTGCCTTTAAACGGATCTTTGAGAGTTCCTTTGAAGGGATCTATAGGGGTTCAAGGTTCCTTTAAAGGGATCTATAAGGGTTCAGGGATTAGGCTTTAGGGCTCCTTTGAAGGGATCTTTGAGGGTTCCTTTAATATATTGAAAGGGATCTATAAGTGGTGAGGGTTTAGCCTTTCTGTGTTTAGGAGTTATGGGGGCTTGAGGGTCTGGGAGGTTTGGGGTGTACGGGCTTAGGGTTCAGGGTATTGCGGGTTGTACAGGGGTTAAGGTTAAGGGGGCAGGGTTGAAGGGGTGAAGGCTTCCTGTTCAGGGCTTAGGGGCTTAATCAAGGGTTCATGCAAGCAGCCACTGTGGACGATCCCGGCGAGATGCGCGCAAGGATTCCAGGGTATAAAGGTTTAGGGCTGTCTGATGTTCGTTGAGCAAGGTTCGGTGTGATCGGGTTTTGGGGCGAGCGGATTTTTTTCTCAAGGACTGGACTTATGGCCAGGCACGACAACTTAGTAGCAGAGGACGTAGCCCATTTACCGCTTGACCTTTAGAGGTTTATAGAATCCTACGATAATTGAAAAGGTTAACCTGTTTTGGGCTACTTGGAGGGTCGGGGGACTTAGTAACTGGTTATTTTGGATAGGATCCCTTTTGGGGTACTTATAACTCTACTTAAAACCCTACTTACTAAGTCCCCCGACCCTCCAAGTAGGGTACTCAGCCCCAATGACAAACTACCTACGTCCAGGATCGGGCCATGAATGCTGCCATAGGGTTCAGAGCGAGACTGAAGGAATAGTTCGGGAGTTTCTCCAGCAGCCGTAGGGAACTAATCTAAGGGTCCATGTTCCCATATAGCATATACTTTGGGCCCAATGTACCTATATAAGGAGTACTTTAAGGCTAATCTATGTACTATGCGAGCACATGGACCCTTAGGAAACTAGGTAGGTCTTTGGGACATTTGCTATTTTGCCTTATTGAGCCACAGAGGGCCTTGTTCACGAATACTGTTTCAAAGGCTTTACGGGGCCAACCCAGGAAAATTTTGTTTCTCGTTTTCCTTCACGTAGGCTATCCGAGACGAATCCAGAGCTGCAGAAGGATGTTCTAGTCGTTTGCGGTCCTCCCAAACATACGAAGGCCTACTCCTGGCTCCTTGTGTGTCCGGGAGTTTATGGTTTAATTAGAGGTTTAGGGTTAGGGATCTCGTGTTCAAGGCAAGGGCTTTAGATGATTAGGGCCGAATCAGGGCTTGTGGGCGATGCTTGACAGGAAGCATCGGGAAAGTGACAGATTTTCGCTCCCACATGATGCGTTGTTCGCAGATCATTGCGGCAGGAAGAGGGCAAGGAAGCCAGCATGCTTATGCAGCGGCGCATTCGCTGAATTATGACGATCGCCAACTACCGGAAGTCATCGCGCTCTTGAACGTCATTCTGCCTTCAGAAGGTGGGAGAGTCCTGGTTCCTCCGATTCCAGTTATCGTATAATATACCTCAAAACCTTATTCTAATTATTGCGGCCATTATCTTAGACACATCCTTTCCGACATTCCTCCCGAAAATGAATCAGAGTGTCGAGTGTAGACCACCGAAGCTAAACTGGTCGTCCCGAGACCTCAAGCCCTAAATACGAAGCCCGCAAGCCCGGCCATACCCCAGACACGAGGGATATCGCGATTGTTCGGACTAATGTCAAACTTTTGCCCGAGGTTGGTTCAGACGTCTGCAAACACTGGGGCAATCACGTTGGAATCGCCTCTTGACTGAGATGGGCTGAGTGTCTCTAATGGTCGATGTACCCAAATTGTATATATGTTACACGTTTGTATGAACATATGAGCATCGGACAAAACCTCCGTAAGAGCTAACATGACTAGAGCGCAACTGAGATGGTGAAAAACTAGGGTCTAGTAGGAAAACCGATAGGGGCCGACCCATGTTCTCGGCATGGCATCTTGTAGTTGATCTCTGCATAACCGATAGGGGCCGACCCGAGATCTCGGCATGAGCAGGTCGAACAATAGGTTTAGGCCGCCGCTCATATGTACAACTATAGTGACGTACCTGTAGAGGGGCTGTTTTCAGCCCAAAGCATATACGCATATACGGTATGAGCACATAGACACTTAGGCGTTCGCGTGTCTAGGCCCTTCAACAAAAGGACTATAAGGGCATACTACGATTTGCTATTTGTTAGGTTTGTGCTGCACAGCAGCGTGAACGCCTAAAATGGTCGAAATGTCCGAGGGCTCGAAAGTTTCTAGGGTTTCAATCCCTTCCGGGCGAAAGCTTTGCGGACCCAAAGCCCCTAGTTTCTGGGTATTCGGAAGCAAACTCTGAACTTCTAGCCGTAGCATGGCACGGTTCACTGCTCACTTGGAGGGTCGGGGGACTTAGTAACTAGATAAAAAAGTAAATTTACAAGTACTGGAAGAAGGAGATCCTTATTGCGGCCATGATACTTATAACTATAAACTAAATACCTACTACGTCCCCCGACCCTGCAGGTACAGTTGTATGGCTGGCATCCTAACCTGTCGTCCGAGGTCTGCTTTGATCTTTCCCCTGTTCCAATGCTGGCCTAGAGGGTTTAGGGTTCATCCTGTAACCCCTAAGGGTCCAAGTACTTGATAGTCATGTGCTCCCCATAGTAGTGTTAACCTAACCAATACCAGATATCGTAAGCCCAAGTACCTATGTTGTTGGATCCAGCAGATCCTTTGGGCTAGCGGCTAGCCCTTCAAGCCCGTGTATATAATCGTTTAGCAATGCAGAAATTGACTGTGATCTCTGCGGGGGTACTTGACAAGTAGGACAATCTATCATCGTGGTTCAAAAGCCTTGCATATTAATATAGTTCCGGCTCATGAACATTTGGCCAGCCTGCCCTACTTTCGTGAAGACACAAGTAGACGTTCATGAGCTGAAAGTGACACCCCAACCTGTCACCGAACGCAAAAGGTCACGCGGAACAAGAATCTTGCGCATGGTGTATCGGGGCCCGAAATTGGGCTTTCCAGAAACCCCAGGCTTTAGGGTTTAGGATTGAATAGTTTAGGATGCAAAGTTTCCTGAACTTCTGCTGTAAGATCTGTATGCTTACGTTGTCTCCAGCATGCTGGCCGAGTTTTCTCCACCCTTAACCCCAAGGGTCCAAGTACCTAATAATCATACACCCAACAAAATAGTAACCTACCTAACTCCTATCCTAAACCCCAGGACCTGCTTATTGGGTCCTTCGGACCCTTAGGGGAAGAGTCTAAAAGTGCTCAAGACGAGGAGCTTAGCGGGCACCTTCTTCGGCATCTTCGGAAACCTCATGCCCCCGCCGGCGGTCGCTAGCCTGCACTGCTAGCCCCAACCCCTAAGGCTCCATGTACCCTTATTATAATAGTAGGTACTTAGGCCTTAAAGGGGTTCCTATATGGGTACTTTAAGGCTTGAGTACCTACTATATGGGTACATGGAGCCTTTGGGAAAATAGGGTCCGTCTTGTAGACTCTAGACCCAAGCTCGCTACTGTTTGCACAGTCGGAGTCTCACTTGGAGGGTCAGGGGACCTAGTCTTAGTAATTAGATATTCTATGGAGTTGCCAGTATGAGAGCCCCAAATAGGATCCTCCTTGTGGTACTTATAAGTCTACTTATTAGCTACTTGCTAAGTCCCCCGGCCAACGACCCTCCAAGCAGGGCTTCACTTTAAGCGGGGATCAAGCCCTCAACCCTATAAACCAGAACTTCCAACATCCCTTAATTAAGGAACATACCTTAAATCATATTAGGGATCCTATTATAGTTTAAGGTATAGTCCTTAATTGAGGGTTTTGGAAGGTCTGGGAAACCCTAATCATCCTTGAGTTGCAGAGGTTGCGTGGTTCCTTAGCAGAGCACCGGGTGGAAGTGCACTGGGTGGTACCCACGGGGTCCGTGTACACCAGTTCTTTGGTCGTCGGCCCTAAACTACCCTAAACGCCTCAAGCCCTAAACCCTTAAACCTTAAACCCTAAACCCCTAAACGCCTGAAGCCCTAAACCGGCCCTGGCCCTGCACGCAGAGAAAGGGTCACTGCACGTTAGCAAAAGAAAAGCCCTAAGGGTCCATGTGCTCATATAGTACCCTTAGGGTCCAAGTACCCACATAGTAGGGTTTCAAGGTCCCAAAACCATTCAGAGTATGGATCTTGGGACCTGAAACCCTACTATTTGGGTACCTGGACCCTCTGGGGTATATACATCGGCCGTATAGAGAAAAGGTTTCATTGTAGAGGGCTTTGTAATTCGGACTTTTGGAAGGCTGTGTTCGCCTTTGTGAGGGAGGGATGCGGCGCTTTTGTTGCCCTTTCCCTTTTGGTGTTAAGAGGATTCTACATACTACCATGTTTCAGAGGCTGTAGAGGACCAACCTAGTCATGGTATGAGAAAGGATTAGTTTTCGCTTTCTCCAACAATCTTGAGTTGCGCGTGCTTCCTGAAGGGGGGCAAGGAGGAAGGTATCAAGAAAAGAGATACTCGAAAATGAACTATAGGTTCTTGCGAGTTTGGGGTCTCCTTGTTAGAACCGAATAGTAGGAAAAAGGGTACCCTTATTATAAAGGGGCGACTCAGGAACTTAGTAAACGGTTCATGACTATTTCTGAACAAACGGTTTTCATAGAGGATTTCTCTCTGAGATTCTCATAGGCTTGCTTGGAGGCTCACGGGACTGAGTAAGTCGGTTATAAGTAGTGCTCTACTCGGGGTAACTTCAATTAGGGAGCTTATAACTCTACTTGTAACTTACTTGCTGAGTCCCTTGGGCCTCTAAGTGGTGATGCTTCACCTTAGAGTCTTTTTTTTACCGCTGCCCTGGAAGCCCCGGTGCCTCAACACTCGGGCGGCTGGGCTATGGCTATAATGTTGAGGCTTGAAAAACGGCTCCAGGACAATGACAATTCGAAACGCAACTGATTTGCAGGGTAGGTTGAAAAGCTGGCTTCATTTCAATGTGACAGTGCTTAAATTAGCCATGTCTGCTAGATCTATTTGCCTTTTTTACGAAAGCCCCTACACGTGCGCAGCGCCTTCTACAGTCCTTCGACTCAGCGCAGTTCTGTTGGAAGCGAAACATTAGGAATCCTGTCCCGAATGCTGAAACGGTTGGCTCACCTCACAGGAAAACCGAACTACGGACACCGTCAGCTAAAGAGCTGTTGGGCATGGTTAATCGGTTGACGGTGCCCGAAAGCACTCTACCGAGCTTGCTGTGATGTAGGATCCTGATTAAGAAACCCTGGGCCTATAACCCCCAAAATAGCAGGATTCATGTAAGGAACCCGACTAGAGGCCCAAGGTTCCTTAATCAGGTCCCTACATTAGACCCCAAAGCGGGAGCCTAAACCCCGCATCCTGAAACCTACCTGTGCGATGAGGATGGTGCCGATGCTGCCAACCCCTTCGGTCGGTCAGTGCTGATGGATAAGTATCGCCAGCCATGAGCCTACAGCAGAGGTTCGGGTCTTGTAGACGGATCTAGCATTTCAACGCACCCTCAAAACCACGTGGGATCAACATGCCAGGTATGTAAGGGTATGTCTGTTTTTTGATGTACCTGGACTACTCTGGATAGTGGGCGTAGGGGTTGCAGGGGTTGAGCATTTAATTAGGTTGTGTGGATTGGATGTTTTGTTGTCTTGAGGGTTTTCGGGCGGGCTTGCAGGTGTTTTGGGGTTCGGGATTTGGAGTTTCATTAAAGCTTCAATGTAGTTTATTAGGATTAGATAGTTTGGCGTCGGATGATCCTGGAGATGATTTAAGGTATACTCTTTGAATCATGGGATTGGGTTTGTCGGGGCACGAGGGTAGCAGGGGCTTGTGCTTGCTGAGTTTGTAAGGGGGAGGGACGGAGGTGTTTAAGGGGTTTTAGGGTGCCAGGTTTGGGCCTTACCCTGAGAGTATTTCTGGAAGTATATGCCTGTCGGGCATGTTGACTGTCAGAGTAGATGCTGTCTCTTACAAATGTGCCCTCCTGTGCGTAAGCTGTGGATGGGCTGTGCAGAATTTAACTGGTATTAGAAAAAGAAGCTTGAACAGCTACCAATACTTATAAGTAGGGTTATCCTTGGTGTAACTCCTTTTAGGGTACTTACAGCTCTACTTGTAACCAACTTACTAAGTGCCCTGGGCCTCTAAGTAGGATGGTAGTTGTGTAGGTCCAGATTAGTGGTTGGGAGAGTTGATATGGGAGTTTCCGAAAATTAGGGATACCTTGTTTGGGTGTCCTTAAAAAAGGATCCTACTATTTAGGGTACTACATTAGGGTCCCCTATTCTCGGAAACTCCCATATGACTAGTTTTAGCTACTTGGACCCTTAGGTCGACCAGGCCCAACCAAAAACTCTGCTCAGCCCGCAGATTGCAAAACCGTAGATTCAGGAATATACCTCAACTCACCGCCCTAAGGGTCCATGTACCCAAATAGTATGAAACTTTGGCCTTAAAGTGCTCCCTATATATGTACTTTGGGGCCAAAGTATATACTATTTGGGTCCATGGACCCTTAGGGTCATGTCTTGAGCGATCCCTGGCTTTTGTCAGTATAAGTGGAGTTGCATAGCCTCAATGAGGAACCTGATGTGTACTAGTCTCAGCTACTACCCTAAGGCTCCATGTACCCTTATAGGATATACTTGGGCCTTCAAGCGCTTCCTATATGGGTACTTTAGGGTATAAGTAGAGCCTTTGGGCTATGTTTCCCTCGTTACGGGGTTTGGGCCTTTCTTGATGCAGAGCCGCGGGAATCCCACAAGCACAGCACCCGAATCCAAACACCACCTGGTACTTAGTAGCTGAGTGGATACACTTTACATTTTTTGGGAGAATATTACCCACTATGAAACTAAAAGTGTACTCTTTCGGGGGCTTATGAATTCAGCAACTAAGGGTAGTTTGTATTGCCGCTTCTATCGCAATGACCTCATCAGGTTCCCAAGCTAGGAAGGTAATCTGAGTATTAAGGTCAAGGTTCCTTTTTCATGATAGGTTGTTTAGGGTAACAATTCGGCACTTTGGCCGAACCCCCCTCCCCCCTGGGCCGTAAGCTTTTCGAGCAGAGATAACTGGATCAGTGCACATCCCAAAGGGTCACATGTTCACGAGGCCGACGCGGCCGCGACCGCTGAAGTAGTAGAGGTGGAGCGGGGGAGGCTCTGTCTCCACGAGTTGGAGGGGCAGAGTCAGCAGCATTACTGGGTGCCGTAAGGCGGCGCTTATAAGGTCCGACCAGTGCGTTCAGCCATTGCTTGGAGGGTCGGGGGACTTAGTAAGTAGGTAATAAGTACACTTATCAGTACCCTAAAAGGGACCCTAAATTTGGGTTACGGTACTTATAAGTCTATCGATTATATAACTGCTTACTAAGTCCCCCGACCCTCCAAGTGGGCTCGCGCCGCGGGCGAGATCTGCGCGCATTTGGTCGCCAACTCCGGTGCTTGTCGGGAGTGTGGCTGGGCATCCGCAAGAACCCGGCAGTCATAACATTGTCATACATCAAACTTGTTTACATCTATCTACATGTATTTTTACATTTTTTCTGTCTATCTGTATGCTTCAGGGTGCAAGTACAAAAGAAAGTTGGGCTTAAGGCCTCAGCGACTCCGCCCTAAACCGAGAGCCCAAACATCTTGAGCAAACAACACACAGCCCCAAGCAATCCTAAGCCCGATAACCCTGCCCTCAACCCACAACCATACAGGTGAAACCCTCGTCTCTAACTGACAGTCGAAGGATCCCAAGGACCCAACAACTAGGTAGGTGGGCCTTTAGGGCTTAGGGTTTATAGACCCTAAAAAAAGGGAATAAGGGCCTACTCTGGGTCCTACGGGTGATGATATAAATCCTGCATGACCCATTATAAGGAGTATACCATAATTCCCATACTTTAGGGTCCTTAAGGTAATGCAGGATTTATATCATCAACAGAAGGACCCAACAACCAGGTAGTTGGGCCTTTAGGGCTTAGGGTTTAGGGATTAGGAATAAGGCTTGGGCTTATAGGATAGTAGCTTTGTAGTAGCTGAGAACATTGTGAATTGTGATACTCTGTGGTACGTATAGACAGGTTTTAGTATTGGTTCCTTTGATCCCTAAGGAACAGATAAAATTTGCCTTTTTGCTAGGGGTCTCAGTCCAGTATAGACTTAGCAAGGCGGTTATGAGTAGGGTAATACTTGGGGTAACTCCCTTTAGGGTACTTAAACTCTACGTATAATTTAAGTTCAATACTTAAAGGGTCATGGGACTTAGGAACTAGGGTTGTAATTTACTAGGGTTGTAATTAGGGTAACTATACTGATACTTGCTTATAACCCGAATTAGGTTACTTATAACCCCACTTACTAAGCCCCCTCCAAGTACTAGTAGGGAGAGGCTCAAAGGAGGCTCAAAGCCCTGAAAGAGCCCCAAAGCTCGAAGAGTCCATGTACCCACATACTTGAGGGACACAAAAAGCACATAAGCATAAGCATTTAGAGGGATTTCCATACCTTGTTGGGCTTCATTAGGTTTATATGGGACATCCCTATCCTGATTTTTGCTTATGTGCTTTTGGGGGCCTTAATACTATGTACTTTGGATCTAAAGTGCTTGTGCACGGAATTCTTTAAGGCCTACTGTATGAGAAATTTAAAAGACAACAATATTGCAAAGGTTATTCCTTAGGGCTCCTTATTCTCAATCATACTATAACAGACCTTATAAAACAACCCTGTCGTAATTGTTAAGTCCCCTACAGTATTCGAGTAATATAGAAGCTAATATTATTGCCAAGTTCATTCCTGGGTTCCTTGTTATGATCCATATTTGAATATACTTTAAAGCCCTCTCGTAATTCTTCAGGCCCCTACAGTACATGGACTCCTCGGGAAAAGCTCCAGAACCCTAAGGCCGGGAAGTGGTTTCTATGCGGAAGAGCGGGGGATGCCAGGGGCTTGGACCGTTTGCCGTACCTGCAGAGCCACGGTTTAGGGTGTCTATAGAGGTTTAGGGTTTAGGCTTAGGATGGGGGTTTAGGGTTTAGGGGTTTAGTGGTTTAGGGTTTAGGGTTTAGTAGTACTTGGAGGGTCGGGGGACTTAGGAAGTAGTTCTTCTGTCGACTAGTGAATATCATAACCCTAATTCTTCAAATCTTCGGGGCTGAGTAGTTAAACTTTCCCCTGTTGGGGCTGATAAAATCCCACCATAATTCAACAGGTTCAGCTTTTTTGGGGCAGGGTAGTCAGCCATTGAGAATGAATTAGAATCCATGTATTACCTACGTACAAGTCCCACGACCCTCCAAGTATGGTTGAAAACGCTGTGGCATTTGGGTGCCGGTCTAGGTTGTACCTTGACCCTGTTGAACCTCCTTTATTTCGGGCCCCCCATTACGATTTCCTTGTGTAGGTCCTTTCCTTGTGTAGGTCCTTCGACAGGTAGGTTGTTTGGGGTCCAGCTGGGTTTTTTAGGTTGAGAGCTTTGGGTACGGGGTGTTGGTCTAGGAGTCGTGGGTTGAGAATTTGGATACATGCAAAGGGCAAAGAGTCCTCAGAGCTGGTAGCTGAGACAGTAACCTGTATTTTTTTGTTGGATGCGCATCACCTGGGGGCAAAGTAAGTAGTTTCTCGTTGGATCATAAGCACCGCTTTCGATCCAGATCCTCGCTTCCGGGATTCTTGAGCGAGGGGCCCAAGGATTCAACCCATTTGCTTCCAAAATTGCTGGCTCGAGATTCCACGGCACCAGTACAGTAAACGAGACCCCCAAAATTATCTTAACCGAAACAACCAATTAGCTATCTACCTATCTATCTATCTATCTAAGTATATATATATATATATATATATATATACAATATCTATCTATCTTTCCAGCTGTCTGTCTATCTGTCTGTCTGTATATATGCATATATATATATGCATATATATATATATATATATAGAGAGAGAGAGAGAGAGAGAGAGAGAGAGAGAGAGAGAGAGAGAGAGAGAGAGAGAGAGCCTGCAAGCCCCTCGCCATGGTCCGTCGCGTCCAGGTCCACCCCGGGACGATCGAACCTGCACTTCCTCCATGGTGTCAGGGGCTTGGGGGTTTTAGGGGTTTAGGGCTTTAGGGGTTTAGGGTTTGGGGTTTTAGGGGTTTAGGGTTTTAGGGTTTAGGGCTTTAGGGGTTTAGGGTTTGGGGTTTTAGAGGTTTAGGGGTTTAGGGTTCTAGGGGTTTAGGGTTTAGGGTTTAGGGTTTTAGGGGTTTAGGGTTTAGGGTTTTAGGGGTTTAGGGTTCTAGGGGTTTAGGGTTTAGGGTTTTAGGGGTTTAGGGTTTTAGGGTTTAGGGTTTTAGGGGTTTGGGTGTTAGGGTTTGGGGTTTTAGGGTTTAGGGTTTTAGGGTTTAGGGTTTTAGGGGTTTAGGTTTTAGGGTTTGGGGTCTTAGGGTTTAGGGTGTTATGGTTTCAGGTTTAGGGTTTAGGGTTTTAGGGTTTAGGGTTTTAGGGGTTTAGGTTTTAGGGTTTGGGGTTTTGGGGTTTAGGGCTTTAGGGGTTTAGGGTTTAGGGTTTTAGGGGTTTAGGGTTTAGGGTTTTAGGGGTTTAGGGTTCTAGGGGTTTAGGGTTTAGGGTTTTAGGGGTTTAGGGTTTTAGGGTTTAGGGTTTTAGGGGTTTGGGTGTTAGGGTTTGGGGTTTTAGGGGTTTAGGGTTTTAGGGTTTAGGGTTTTAGGGGTTTGGGTGTTAGGGTTTGGGGTTTTAGGGTTTAGGGTTTTAGGGTTTAGGGTTTTAGGGGTTTAGGTTTTAGGGTTTGGGGTCTTAGGGTTTAGGGTGTTATGGTTTCAGGTTTAGGGTTTAGGGTTTTAGGGTTTAGGGTTTTAGGGGTTTAGGTTTTAGGGTTTGGGGTTTTGGGGTTTAGGGCTTTAGGGGTTTAGGGTTTAGGGTTTTAGGGGTTTAGGGTTTAGGGTTTTAGGGGTTGAGGGTTCTAGGGTTTTAGGGTTTAGGGTCTTAGGGGTTTAGGGTTTTAGGGTTTAGGGTTTTAGGGGTTTGGGTGTTAGGGTTTGGGGTTTTAGGGTTTAGGGTTTTAGGGTTTAGGGTTTTAGGGTTTAGGTTTTAGGGTTTAGGGTTTTAGGGTTTAGGGTTTTAGGGTTTTAGGTTTTAGGGTTTAGGGCTTTAGGGGTTTAGGGTTTTGGGGTTTGAAGGGGCCCCTCTTGGAGGGTCGGGGGACTTAGTAACTAGTTATTTTGGAGACTTGTGCCATAAATCCAATCAGGATCCCTTTTGGGGTACTTACAACGCTGCTTATTACCTACTTACTAAGTCCCCCGACCCTCCAGGCTTGACCGTTATGCTTTCTGGGTTTAGGGTTTAGGGTTCAGTAACCTTACTATCGTTAAAAGAGGCAAAGCTTCTCTACACGTACGAAGATTGTAGATAAACTTTAAACTTATCGGGATTCCTTTGCGGCTTGAAGATCAGAGTTTGAACTGTTCCGGCTGTGGTTATACGAGGTCCCAGTCAAGCTTACAGTTTCAGCCTTTATGGGAGATTATACTTGCCAAGCTATTTTTCTTCTTTGTAATCTGTGGGGTTCTTTAAGTTCGAAGTAAAGTCACAGGGTCCAGATCTCTGCTCTCTGAGTTGAGGCCTTAGGGTCCCACCTGTTGATGTCCTTTGAAGGGATGTATAAGGGTACCTTTAAGGGGTTCCTTTAAAGGGATCTCTAGGGTTTAGGGTGTAGTGCAAGTTTGCAGGGGGCCTATACAGGAACTACAATCTACCTGTAGGCTCATACCCTACCCGTTGTTTAGGGTATCTACTTTTCTATATAGCAGATCCTCCGCATAAAATTACAGTAGGTATCCAAAACAAGGGGTAGGGTATGAGCCTCTAGGTAGTACCTAACCTGGGCTTTGGAGTGCCATGTTTTTGTACTTTTTGGGAGACCTGTTACGTAAAGCGAACCATCATGAAATACACGTCTATAATTTTCCCCTGGCTATTTCAGAGCCCAGAATAATCACCCAGAGGGTCCATATATACCGCCATTATCGAACTAGTCCCCCAAAGCCTTGTTAAGGATGGTCTTTGGGGACCTAATTCCATAATGATAGTATCTGTGGACCCTCTGGGTCACATACACTCCCAAACACAGCCTACGTGAATACTAGCCAGAACCCGGCATAACTACTATCCTAAACCCAAGTACCTAATTATTGGATCCTTCGGACCTTTGGGAGTACTTAATTATCCGGTGCCTCGTCAGTGGCAACACCGCAACAGCTCAGCAAAGCCACAGTATTTCTCCTTGGCCCGCCAGTACTACACTCCGAACCCAAGCCAAGTGCTCACCAGATTCCTTCTTGGGGATGTCATTGACCCAAACCCCGAACCCCAGAACCTGGTATTGCAGTGAGTCTTGCCAGTAACAGACCATTATATTGTACGGCTGATCATAAGGAATATACCATAATTCCCATGGTCTAGGGTCCTTAAGGTAGTGCAGGATTTATATCATGAACAGTAGTATTAGTGTGGCAATGGCCATTAATAGAAACTAGGAAACCTGGCCCTGCTGGGGAGTGTAGGCCCGAGTTGGGTGAAATCAGGGTCTGGCGAGTTAGCATCACTCTTCCCTAGAGTTCTCTGAGTACGTTCGATACCCAGACTCCCCAAGCCTCTACCCGAATTATTTACACCATAAGCCCTAAACTACAACCCTCGCTTCCAGAAAAAAAGATACTCCCATTTATTTGGTTTAGGGCGAATGGTTGTCGGGCCGCGGGCAAAGATTCGAAGCCCATGGCGCTTGCAACGCAACTCGCCGCTCCGGAGGCTCTTCTTTCAGGGGCCTCAAGAAGTTTAGGGTTTGGGGTTTAGGGTCCAGTGTTTAGGGTTTGGGGTTTAGGGTCCAGTGTTTAGGGTTTGGGGTTTAGGGTCCAGTGTTTAGGGTTTGGGGTTTAGGGTCCAAGGTTCAGGGTTTGGGGTTTAGGGTCCAAGGTTTAGGGTTTGGGGTTTAGGGTTTGGGGTTTAGGGTCCAGTGTTTAGGGTTTGGGGTTTAGGGTCCAAGGTTTAGGGTTTGGGGTTTAAAGGTCCAAGGTTTAGGGTTTGGGGTTTAGGGTCCAGTGCTTAGGGTTCGGGGTTTAGGGTCCAAGGTTTAGGGTTTGGGGTTTAGGGTCCAGTGTTTAGGGTTTGGGGTTTAGGGTCCAAGGTTTAGGGTTTGGGGTTTAAAGGTCCAAGGTTTAGGGTTTGGGGTTTAGGGTCCAGTGCTTAGGGTTCGGGGTTTAGGGTCCAAGGTTTAGGGTTTGGGGTTTAGGGTCCAGTGTTTAGGGTTTGGGGTTTAGGGTCCAAGGTTTAGGGTTTGGGGTTTAGGGTCCAAGGTTTAGGGTTTGGGGTTTAGGGTCCAGTGTTTAGGGTTCGGGGTTTAGGGTCCAAGGTTTAGGGTTTAGGGTCTAATTAGGGTCTAGGGTTTAGGGTAGGGGATCCCTTTCGTCGGGGCTCGTGGTTGGGGAGCATCCCGCCTGTCTTCATCCCAACATTGAAGCCCTTCGATGCTGGGAGGGTCTGGAAACTAAGTCGGTAGGTCATAAAAAGTAACTGGGTACTAAGGCCCCGACCCTAGAAGTTTCAGCTCAATAATCCCCAAACGACCGACCAGGATCCTCCAAGTATCCTTTAATAGAGATTAGGCTATCGTGGGGGGGTCTAGGCGATAATCAGCATGCAGGGGTCAGGGGTTAGGGTTTAGGATTTAGGGTCTTCTTTTTAGCTCGATATTCTCCTAAGCGTGCAAAGTTCTATCAGGATTTTGTACGCGTTGCAAGCTTTCGTTGAGGCGTTTCTAGTTTTTGTTTGCAGGTTGTAAGGGTGCAGAGGAAGTAATAGCTAGATACTTATTTTTAGAATAGTAGTTTTCTAGATTTGGGAGAGTCAGAAGCCTGGGTACTCATAAATCGCAGTCCGAAATGTTCTCTGCTATATTCATAGTATACACAACCCCGCCCCAAAATCGATATGCATTGGATGCTTTACAGGAACTCCTTAACGGGACCCTTAATCAACCCTGATGAAGTGGAACGTCGCCCCGTGAGTGCGTTTGCTGACTCTTTGCGCGACTCTGGCAGGGCTCCCTATGCATTAGGATGCCCGGTAGTACCCTTATTCGCTTTTTGTAGTCCTAGCTTCCTTATAAAGTTACCCAATACAGTACCAAAAAAGGAGCCCTTGTTATTCCTAGGGTACTGGGCATGCTATCACAGTGTGGGGTGGGAGGGCGGGAGAGACAAGGACAAGCCTTCTGTGGCCAGGCTTCCACAGCTCATTCGCTGTAGTACGATGCACTCGGCACACTCTGTCGCAAGATAATGTCGCCTACGCGCCGTTCCATGGTAAACCACTACACTCAAATCCAATCCATGTACCCTGTAACCTATACACTATAAACTCTGCACTCTAAACCCATAGCCCTAAACCCTAAAGGAAGACGTAATTACTGTCCGCCAGGCGCCAGAGGTGAAGCTGCTTGAGTCGACCGGGGACAGGCTTCGGGGGCCAAGTGAGGCTTCGGGTTTCACCGGGCCTTTCAAAATCCTTTAATGAAGGAATAGATCTCCATCATATCAGGGTTCCTATTTATAGTTTTAAGGTATATTCCTGAATTAAGGGATTTTTGAAGGTCTGGGATTCCCGGGCTTAGGGGTTTCGAGTTTATGGGGTTTGGGATTTATGGCTTTAGTTTGGGGATTAGGGATTAGAGTTTACGGATTGGGGTTTAGGGTTGAGAGTGTAGGGATTGTGGAGGTTAGGGAGTCGATTCGGGCTTTGGTTTTGGGATCAGGGTTTAGGGTTTTCCGGTTGGTTCATTGAAGTACCCAGAGGGTCCAGGTACCAAAATAGCAGGCTTTCAGGTCCCAAAATCCATACTCTAGGATGCCCAGTAGTACCCTTATTCCCTTTTTGTAGTCCTAGGTTCCTTATAAAGTTACCCAATACCAAAAAGAGAGGCCTTTTTATTCTTAGGTTACTGGGTATCCTAGTACTCTGAATGGTTTTCGGACTTTGAAACCCTACTAGTTGGGTACTTGGACCTTTGGGGGTAGTTACAACACGTTATGACAAAAGCTTTGAAGGTTTAGGGTTTTGTATTTGGGGTTCTCGTTGAGCTACTATAGCGCAGACGTCGTTTTGGGGTTTACGGTTTTGCAAGGTGAAGGATTTCAAGCAAGTTGCCTGGTTTCCTTCATAATAGGAGATACTTCACCGCGGAGCTTGGTAATCCGAACAGAATCGGGCTGCAAGAGTACCGGATTGCTTGTACTCTGAGGGTCCGAAAAGCCTAAACCCGAAACCCCAGGACCCTACATCTTTCGGCTAGACCATGGTTCGTCTTTTTTTTGTCCAGAATCCATGGGATATCTAGAAGCCCAACATTGATACAATTCCGTAGGAGTCCTAATCAGTAAGCTTCTAAACTATACCCATCCAAAACCCTCTTTTAACTTTGGGTGCCCCTATAGCAGATCCCGTGTCTTTTCCAAAATCCTGAGGGCCATCGAGTCACGCAGATTTTAGGGTTCAGGCCATACTTGAAAGCCCTAACACAAACCCGAAGCCCCTGAACCCCCAAACCCTAAACACCCCAGCCGCAAACCCTAAACCCCCCAAGCTCGACATCTCTATAGCCCTAAGCCCTGAACCCCTAAACTCTAAACCCTAAACCCTAAACCCCGAAACTCTAACACTAAACCCTAACCCCTAAACTCTAACCCTACACCCCCAAACTCTAACCCTAAACCCTAAAACCCTTAAACTCTAAGCCCCCCAAACCCCACATCTCTCTAGATCCCTACCCATAGGCCCCATAGTAGTTCCTTTTTGGGATTACCTTACAGGGTTCCTAAATGGGAGTTTCCGAAAATAGGGGACCCTAATATGGCACCCGAAGTAGTAGGATCCTTATTATAAGGACCCCCAAATAAGGTACCCCTAATTTTCGGAAACTCCCAAATATCAACCCAAAAAAGGAACTACTATGGGGCCTATGGCTGAGCCCGAAGGTGTTCTACTCTGGTGTGGGGAGCGGCAGTGGAACTGCTGGCCTTCTTGAGACACTCGCAGAGCACGTCACTGTTTGTATGGGAGTTTCTTTTTTTAGTATCGGGGTTGTGCTTTGGAAGAATTTTTATTTCTCTTATTTCCTTATGAAGGGAACCTATTCATAAAAAAATTCAGAGGGCTTAAAGCACAACCCAGACATTTTTCGTCACAGTAGTTTTGCTTGTGAGATGGAGGCTACGTTTGTGTTTAGGTGGGTTGATTGATCAGGGATTTGCATGCACCCTAAAACCTGAACCGATATACGAAGGCGCCTTGGGCGTTTTGACAGGGGTTAAGGCGGTTAAGGTTTAGGGTTTCAGGGCTTAGGGTTTCAGGGTATAAGGTTGCTCTTTCTCATGGACTCAAACGTTGGTTAGTTGAGGAACTTAGGGCAAGCTACCGTGGTATAATAGTACATATTCCGCAGTACACCAACTCAGACAGTTCCTTGATCCTCCTAGTGGAATGGAAAAGGGGATGTAGGGACTACTGCGCGGGACTGTTTAGTGACTATAAATTACAAGGGATCTGTTTCTCTGCACTCTGAGCCCAAGCCCCTAAACCCCAAGACCAATCCCCGAAGCCTTATATACACCCTAAATGAAACCCGAAACCCCAACCCTCAAGCCTGACACCGCCTGGTACCCACCAGAAGCAAGAGCTCAGTTTCAGGAGCGCACGGGCGAGAGTATGGGCTGCTCCAGCCAGGTGCACCGGACTTACTCTACGGCGTCTGGGGTTTAAAGGGTCTGTGTGGTTTCGGTGCTTCCGAGGTCGTTGAGATTTTCGCATGGAGGCTTTGTGAGGTCTAGAGATCCAGGGTTGTGCTTCGTACTCGTGTCTGCAGGTCCACAGGCAGGCGGTCTGGAGGCTTTGCATCAATGTAGCCCAGGCAGTGACAATGACTGCAGGGCTCGGAATCATTGGTAATAGTCTAATCGTGTATGATTACACCTCAAAACGCGTCTTACGAGTGGATCAGGCGTCCATACTAGAAGTACGAACATGTGAACTCGACGCTGCTTCCACAGGGCAGTCAGCAAGGACTCAGGGTTGCGGTTTGCTTCCTAAGTTCGGGCCAAAGTTCAGGGCTTACGGTGTAACTTAGTAGTAGAGTAGGTAACCTTTAACCTTTTTTGGGTAGTATAGTCCCCATATAATCTCCTATATAACCAAAAGGGTTAGCCTTTAGTTCCCCATGATACCCGACAAGTAGGGTGATATGGCGGCCTTAACCCTAAGGGTCCATGTCCTCGCATAGTTAAAGTAATTACTCCCTATATAGGTACATTGGGCCCAAAGTACATGCTATATGGGTACATGGACCCTCAAGGATTTTACAAGACTTATAATTGGAGGAACCCCCCTTAGGCTCCTACACTAGGTTTCTCAGCGGTTTCGATTTGTGCAGTTTCTGGGGCTGAAGTCCGCGATGAGTCTCTGAGAGTTGAAAAGCACTCAGTACTTCAACCCATCTAAAAGTTCAGCAGCCCGAAAAGCATAATTCACGAGCCATTAGAATAGGGTATTGGGGCCCACTATGCTGCAAATATAATAAAGGACCCCCCGCAATAGTGTTGGTAATTGTTTGGGCTCCTAGTACATAAGTCCGAGCCCCAAAACCCAGCCGCGCTGAGGAGTGCGCATTCTCGAGCTGGGCGCCGGCACAGGTTGCGCGCGCGCGCGGGGTTCACGTTTTGAACGCTTCCGGCTGTACACCTTATAAGCCCTAACGGAGGTTAAGGCACCAGCTCCTGGTGTTGATGGGAAGACATGCAATGCCAGTGGTAACTTAATAATTAGAACCGGGTGTTGGGGGTAGATTGTGCTACAATCATATCAAGGAGCGTTCACGCCCTCACATTATGTGAATTTCTGCATCAACCTTTGTTTCCGGTTCATGGGTTCGTGGGTACGAGTTCACCATCTCCAGATTCACAGGCCTTTGTGTACCTTTGTAGGAGCCCTTTTATAAGTGTATACTATTGAGGTCTGTGGAGCTTTAGGGGAAACTTTCTGCATCTTCGCACACGGTGATCTAACTCTGGATCTACGCGGGCCGGACATAAGCAGAAGCATGTTTCAAGGATGTCCCCACCTCATCGTGCTTCGGGATATACCTGTCTTTTGTTTTTCTTATTTGCTTCCTATGAAGTTTGGTTTCAAGATAGCGTGGGGTGTGATTTGAAGTAGGGTGCCCTTTGGACAAGTTCTGAAAATTCGGAGCCCAGAAGAGCACCGAAACACTCAAAGATAGTGTAGCTTATTTGCAGTTAATCCTGAATACCCTTAACTCAGTGATTCAATACTAGACTCTAGAGTTGTAGGCGTCAATGCGCAACAGGTTGGCTGGGACTTTCTCTGGCCACGGCATTTCCAGATCTCGGACGACTTCTTCTTACGGCATCGTGGCTTGTTCATGCGGATTCCGCTTAGGAATTAGTTCCCAACTTTGTGATTGACTGTATACACACCCTAAACCCTACATGCTAGATCGTACACTACGCAGCCATTGTCCCAGTACACGGATTTCAGAGGCATATGCTCTGACTGGTTTCGGGTACTTCAAACCCTGCTGTATGGGTACTTGGCCCGAAGGGACTGCACTCGTTTGTTGCCTACTTAAGGGCTACAGTATGAGGTTTAGGGGTTCAGGTTTAAGGGCGTGGGTTGTTCCCCCCTGAAGTGAGGCGGAGAGACAGGATGTCATACGAGGCAAGGTGTTCATTTGGGATTTGGCTCGTGTCTTACAGGTTCACTCGTAGTTCTCGGATGGGACTAGAATAGGCAGGAAGGCAGCTACACTTTGTAGCGAAAATAAATGTACAGTGGTGCTTATGACCCGTTCCCCAAACCGTGAACATTAAACCCCAAACCCAAATCCCGAAATCCTGAGGTTAACCGCAAGGTCCCGGACATTAAACCCCAAAACGCTGCACAGCCCCAAGCCCCCAGACCCTAAAGCGTAACTTCAAGCACTGCGACCTCGAAGGAAACACCGATCCATCTGGATGCCCTGGATCACCTGCAGCGCACTGTGAAGCTTCTCGGCTTCTTAGGATTGGGGTTCATGGTTGAGGGTTAAGGGTTTCGGGGTGAAAAGTTTAGGATTCAGCGTTTAAGGGCTGGCCGGTATGTCTAGGCTCACCATATATGCATGCATACATATACATGTGTGTGTGTATATCTATATCTATATATATATATATATATATATATGTATCATATGCGTGTATGTACAATCAAGTATCTCCTTAGGGTTACCGAAGCCCTAAGCCCTATTGCCGAACCCTGAAACCTAAAGGCTTGAAACAAGCTCATGACAATCAACTGCATGGCCTTGTGATCTGAGCTCGAAGCCCACTCCTACACCTGCACCATGGAGCCTTTGCAAGCTGGAAAATTACATGCTAAGGCTCTATGTACCTGTCTAGTATATACTCATGGGTCTTAAAGGGGTGCCTTTCTAGGGACCCTTTGGCCCAAATCTTATACTTTATGGGCACACGGAGCCTTTAGGGTTTAGGGTTTAGGGTTTAGGGAGCCTAAGTCTAAGTAAACTATTATAGGTCAAGCCACAGCCGGCGAGCCCAGTCACCCATGCAGTGGTCTGTTGCACTTGAAGCCCAATACAACGCGCGTAGTACACGTCCTCAAGTAACTTACCCTGGATGTATGCCGAGGGTCCATGTACCCAGATAGCATATACTTGGGGCCCAAAGAACCTATATAGGGACTACTTTAAGGCCAAAGTATATACTATTTGGGTAAATGAAATCTTGGGGTATGCTGAGGTTGAACATGGACCTGCCCGGTGCTGATAAAGTGGAGGTGGCAGCACTCGACTGGGCCGACGTCGCGCCTTGACGCACGGCAGTCTATGCTGGGTTCTTGTTACCCATAGGCTCCGTAGTATCTGCTTTTTGGGGTGACCTTACAGGATTCAAAATATGAACCCCAAAAAGGAACTACTATGGAACCACAATTATGGGCAATGAACCTGCTTAAAAATCGTAATGTTTGCAACTTGTGTAATGGTCGTTGAAAGTCTGTGTGTTTGTAGTTCTTACTTGAAGAAGGGTCTAGCTGTGGGGGCTTTGCGTCAAGAGCTTAGTTCGAGTTACCATGATATGACAGGCTATTCTGTAGTCTATGCCCTTAATGAGCGAAATGCTTTACCGAGTAGAATAGATCACACTTGGACCTTAAGGTATAATTCATGATATTTTGTATGTCCTCACTTGCTAAGGTAACTTAGGGTATATGGCATTCCTCAGCAAGCCTTAAAAAATCACAGCATACTGCGGAGTATCATTACATCTTTCTGAATTAAGATAGCTTAGAGCAAGGTCCTTAACAAGCACATCGCATAGTACCGCGAGTTGTAGAGGGCAAGCCATAGCGCCATTATGCATCGTTTCAGTAGGTCAACCCGAGGCACCCTAAACCTTAGAAGGGGCCCCCACCCTGTAATAGTGGTATAATGGGAATATAGTAGGGCCCTGATATAATCTTTATAGTCACTATTACAGGGTGGGGGCAGCTTCTAGCCTAAACCCATTATGCTAAATCCTAGAACCCCCTAAGCCACTATCCCTACATCCCTAAGCTCACAAATACTAAACCCTATAAATTTCCGTGCCCCTGAAAGAGGCCCGAAACACCAAACCCCATAACCTAAGCCCAGGTTTTGTCTTTTGTGTACCTAAATAGTGTATACACTGGCCTTCAAGTAGTCCCTATATAGGTACATTGGGGCCAATATATATATATATATATATATGCTATTTGGGCACATGGACCCTTAGGGTAGCTCCTGAGCCATTAGCAGTGTCTCACTTCCCGGAAGCAGGACTTAATCTTCAAGTTCAACTCTTAGGCTCCTTGTTCCACTGTAGTAGAAGCCCTAGGCCTTAAAGATGTTCCCGTTCGGCCAGTTAAAGGCGTATAGGAAACTCCAGAAAGTTGGAATATGGTTTCAGGGCAGGATACCCTACAATTTACCATAGAAGGGTTAGGATAATCATATTCCAACTTTCTGGCTTCTACCTTATGTACCTACTGTATAGGTACATCGAGCCTTATGCGTAAGTCAGCAGTATAAACAGTACGGCCGGATCTGGTGTTCAACGGATCTTGCTTTAATGTCTCATGGTGCCTACACACCCATATACAAACTATCTTGCATAAGAAGCTTTATACGCAAAAAGCATTGACTTGAAGGGTTGGTGCAGTCTCTTGACTCAGCCACTAGAGGATGCCAGCGCCGTCTGTGAAGAGACCTGGGTGCCTGGGCTTCTACACTCATTGCGGTGTTGTTTTTGGGGTTTAGGGTTTTATGGTTTGGGGTTTAGGATTTTTTAGGGTTTTATGGCTTAGGGTCGGTTATCTTGAGCTGAGGGTTCAGGTTGTCAGGGCTTTGGGTTCATAGTTTGGGAGTTTAGGCGTCAGAATTTTGGCTTTCTGCGTAAGCCCGAACACGAGTCGCGGAAGTTCAGGTACCGGTTCAGACTACAGTACAGTTTAGACTTCGGAGTGGATCGGACCCTGCAAAACTAGGCCGCTTACTGGAAGGGTTCTCTTGGATGCCCGGGAGTTTCCCGGTGAAACACTAAGGCTCCATGCGCCCATAAAGGTTTTAACCATCAGCATACTCTGGGCCTACTTGGAGGGTCGGGGGACTTAGTAACTATATCGTTTTTCTAGAGACTTATACATACCACAACTCCAATTAGGATCCGTTTTGGGGTACCTAAAAGTCTACTTATTACCCCTGTATACTGTCAACAGAGTTTCAGCTCATGCCGCCGAAGCCCTGGCAGGATCTAAGCACCTAAACTGGCCTAAACCCTACCCTAATAAACCCGAAGCCCTGCATCCCTGCGTCCATGCCTCTTTCAGGATCTGATTCTGGGTTCCGACCTCGTCTACAGCCGGGACACCGCTTCTCTGATGCCGAAGGTCGTCTCACAGCTTCGACTTTCTCAGGAGACCGCTCAGCGACTTCCAACGTCTGGGAGTTTCCGAAACTTAGAGATAACTTATCTTGGGGTCCGAATAACAAGCATCCCATTATTTACTTATTTTGGTGTCCTTATAATAAAGCTCCTACTGTTAAGGGTATTAATTCTGGTGTCCTTATAAGGATCCCATTATTTAGGGTACTATATAACTAACTTGTCCCCTCGCTTCGGAAACAAGTAGCCCTAAGGCTCGAAGGGCTCACATAGTCAGGCTTTTGGGCCCACAGACCACGATGTAAGAGGCGTTCGGGCTTTTTTGAGCCTCAGGTTTATAGGGTTAGGGTTTGATTGGGGTCTACCTGGAAGGTCAGGGGACTTCGTAAGTAGTTATTTTACAGACTTATGGGTATCATAACCCCAATTAGGATCCCTTTCGGGGTACTTGTACGTCTACTTATTACTTATTTTCTAAGTCACACGACCCTCCAAGCAGTGTTAGGTTTCTTTGTGTTTCGATAAGGGGTTCCATAGTACATAGTAGCACAGGCCTCAACATGGAGCTTGAATTGGCAAGAACTTGTGTTCTTGAAGGATAGAACCCCCATGTAGCCTTTCAGTCATATTTTCATAGGGTTTGGGGGGTTCCCGGATATCAGGTTCTCGTGGGCTCCTGGCGTATATTACCCCAGGGCCAAGGGGTCTACACATATATACATATATATATATATACTTATTTAGCTATATTTATATGTATATACATATATATATATATATATGGACAGGTGAGGGTGAGATATCGTATGAAACGGGTTCAGTGCAGTGATGCTCTTCTCACTGCAGGAGCGCCGCACGGGCACGTCGCCTACGGCTGTGCCCCAGGGCTGCAGCCAAGGGTTTGGGTTTCAGAGTTCTTTGCATGCTCATATACGAGTTTGAATATGTTTAAAAGTTGTCCTGTATAGGGTCGTCGTACTAGTTGGTATAGAACAACCCCTAAGGGTCCAAAGTACCCAATAATCAGGTACTTGGGTTTAGGATAGTAGTTATGTAGCTCAATATTTAAGATAGTACATGATTATTATATACTTGGACCCCTAGGGAACCCATCTTTAGGGTTTAGGAACCTTAAACCCTAAACCCTAGACCCTGAATCTTTACCTTAATTCCAAAAGAAACTGGAGACCTAGACCCTATACCACGCAACCCCGGACCCCTCAAGACCCCGGTTGCAACAGCCGGGCCGTTCGAAGAGCCCATTCATACTGTTGATGATATAAATCCTGCATTACCTTAAGGACCCTAAACTATGGGAATTATGGTAAATTCCTGATAATGGGTCATGCAGGATTTATATCATCAACCGTAATTCTCAACCTACAAACCTGTACCTGTAGCCGAAAAGACCTACCTTTCTAGGGGTCGCTTGTTACGGTTTCTGTATACAGCTCCTTGAAAAGCTAGGTCTTCTCGGCTACAGGTATGCCTAATGCTCAGCTTGGTAGCTGAGTGGATACACCTTACACTTTCTGGGATAATATCACCCACTAAAAAATTAAAAGTGTACACTTTTGGGGGCTTATGAACTCAGCAACTAAGTCGACCTACAATTGCAAGCCTGTATGGCTTATTCCCAGGTACTGCCAGTCTCTGCATCGGTGGGGCTTCGCTGGATACGACATACCTTTCTTGGAAGGCAGGAGCTACAATCCGCCCCATTGTACTTAAAGGGTCACGGGACTTAGTAACTAGGGTTACAATTAGGGCAGCTATACTTATAACTACTTAGAACCCCAGTTAGGGTACTTATAACCCTACTTACTAAGTCCCATGACCCTCCAAGTATCGGTTGAGGTGGTGTGCACTTCCAGACTCTTGGTTAGTGTTCTAGCCTTTTTTGCTCCGTGTATGGCTTCTTTTATAGGGGTCCCCGAAAACATGGTTCATGCTTATCTTCTATGGGGATTTGGGTAAACATGAGCTCAAGAGGATATCTTATTCCAAATTTCTTGCTTCTACGTTAAGTCCGAATGTCCGAAGACACCCTGAGTTCCTACACTGCCCAGCACCCTTTGTGCGTGAGCCATCCAACATGCCAAGCACCCCGCCCTGGGCCATGCCGACGCCCATTGCTGGCCAGATTGGGAGATTGCCTTGGGGTTTGGGGTTTAGGTGTTCGATTTAGGTTTAGGGCCTTAGGGGTGTAGGGGTTTAGGGTAAGCGTTTAAGGGTTTAGGAGTTTTGTGGTTCCGAATAGCGGTTATGTTGGCTCTGATAGGGTTTAAGGGGTAGTTGGGCCTAGAGTAGACCGCTGCCCCAAAGCACAAGCCCTAACGCCCAAACTTACCCGCTTAAAAAAAGGACTTAGCCGCTGCGCAGAACAAAAACGAAGCCTTAAACCTGTACCCTGCTTGGAGGGTCGGGGGACTTAGTATTTACTTATTGTGGGGACTTTTTGGTACCACATTCCCAATTAGGATCTCTTCTAGGGTACTTGTATATAACTCTACCTATTACCTACTTGCTACGTACCCCGACCCTCCAAGCGAAGAACCTGGAGGACATTTCCAGCTGCTACAATCTCGGGGCTTTGAACGTGAAAATATCATCTTATCAGTGCTGCCACTGAATTTCCTGGTAGAATCCCGAGCCCTAAACCTTAAACCGTAAAGCCTTGGCTTAAGCCCTACACCCCAAACCCTAACTCATAGGAGGCCAAAAGGGTTTTAGCCTACGGGGGTTTAGTAGGGACTAGGGTTCCCATAATAGGGTTCATATAAAGAAATTCCTACCCCAAGAATCTTAAACCCCCCTCCTTGGCCTCCCACCACTAACCACTAAACCCTAAACCCTGAGCCTTAAGCAGAAGCCTCGCAAAAAAACAGGCTGTGCCGCTGCAGGACTTGTGCCTGAAGCTTTATGGCTTCAGGGCTACGGCCCCTGTACCTTGGTCGTGCGTTTACCGTTTACCTAGAGGCTCATACCCTGCCCCTTTTTTCGGATACCTGGTTTTATGGTTGGGATCTGAAAGTAGGCGCCCTAAAAAAGGGATAGGGTATGAGCCTCTAGGTAGGGTTTTAAACCTTGAACCCCAAAAGCTTGGCTTCTACATGGGTGGCTGTCAAAATTAGGGTCCCTTTTGGGGTCCTTAAGATAATACGGCACCTAACTTTTAGGGTACCCCAAAAGGGACCATCATTTTAACATCTACCCACATGTCCGGATCTTGCGAGTGTGTACCCGGAAGGTCTAAGCATCCCTTGCTTTCACGGCCCAAGCCACAACTTGATACTGAAACCCACGGACGCCTAGGCCTTCACCGGTAATAAACCCTGTACCGTGCACCCTACGCTCTAACACCCAATCCCTACCTAAACCCTAATCCCTACATGCAAGACCTTAAGAATTCGAACGGGGTTTGGGGATACATTAGCGCACAATTGCAATAAGGAGCCCCCAAAAGCCTATTCTAGTTATGAGGGCCCCTACATTAGGCCTCCACGGGCAATCCTGAACTTGAGGGTGTGAGGTTTGGGGTTCAAACTCCCTGATCCGAATGAGGTACCGAGAAACTCCCAAATCCCTTGATTAAGGAATATACCTTAAATCGTATTAGGTTCCCTATTGTAATTTAAGGTGTATTCCTTAATTTAGGGATTTTGGAGTTTCTGGGTAAGTGGCCTGAGCATGCAACTGACATGGAGTTTCAGCCAAGCCTGAGTTGCTAGAGCCTGAGGGTAGGGCCCGAAGCCCTCATTCTTACGAGTCATTGCTAAGCATTTTGGTCACACTGAGCTTGTTTGGCTCGGGCTATTCGGAGAAGAGAGCATTGGAACAGTAAAGCTCTAAAAAATCCATGAGCCCCTGTACCCAAAGGGTCTCAAGTAACTATATAGTAGAATGTAGGGTTTCTATGTTAGGAGTTAGTATTATGATCTAGGGAAGTTTCCCCCATAACAGTACATAGGACCCTTTGGGGTAGAGATCTTGTTCCCCATAGGCTCTAGCAGTTCGCGCCCCTCTGCAGAGGATCAGAGCACTAGGTGTTTATTTACATTTCCTGCATATGAAAATAGGTAGTCTGGGCCCTTCGGCTAAGATGCAGTGCAACCACAAACCTAAATCCTGAATCCATTTATATGATGGGGTGTCTTTGAAACCTCACACGGAAGTAGTCCTCCTTGCGAGAAGACCTCGCAACCACGCAAGGTACTGGACACCTCGAGCGTGACTGCGCCGCCGTGGAAGTCGACCGGGGAGTTCGGGTGCCTCGGAGTGAAATTTGAAGGTAAGGCCCCGGTTGATCCCCCGTAGGCCTTCTTCAACGCTAAACCCTCGGTGACACTTGGCCATAGGACCTGCTCTTTGGTGCCTTCAAGGGCCTTAACCCTAAACCCTAAACCCTTAACCCCAATCCCCCAAACCTCTAAACCCCTAAACCCTAAACCCCCAGACCTGAACCCTTAGACCTTAATTTGTGGTTTGAGTCCATGTAACCTCAGGACGACTCAGCTGTTCCCACCTGGAGGGTGGGCCATCTTTACCAGCATCTTGAGTGGTATCCTTTTTTGCATTTTCGGTTTTGGTTTCCTTTTGGCATAATACAGCTAACTCGAAAACGTTTATACATTCTCCCACCGGCATGCCCCAGCTATAAGCGCAATTGGATCCCGGGGCGATTACCGCATGCAAAGAGCTGGCACTGCACTGTTTGGTACAAGCATCTATCTTATGCGGATACAGGCAGTCGCACCCTAGGCTCACTCACAAGACTATGCAACAAGGCTCATGGGCAAAATCAGGCCCCCACCAAGTGTGATGATAGCCTTGCGCATGACCCTCCAGGAACTTTCACACGAAAACACGAGTAGTCCAAGCTGGACACACACCAGAGATTTCATGAATCCTAAGACCATCTTTTCCTCTGAGTATAGGGTCCTCAAGAAGTGCCCAAACTATGCCTCAGGCTTCCTGCATCTAACTAATATTATGATGCAGCCCCAGCACAATAGCTGAGCGCCAACCGAAAGACTCCAACACAATACTCCCCCTTCACAAGGGAAACTACATCGGAGCCCTCATGAACCACAAATATGATCTTTCAATTAACCCCAAGTCCCGACTCACCAGCAGCTGAATGGCCAAAATCAGAAAGAGATTTGTTAGGCCCATAATCGTAGCCCTATTATAGACTGTTACTGTATGGGGGGGGAGTACCCAGCCAAGGGCCCCAAAACTCTATTCTAATTGTTAAGGGCTGAATCCCTAAATCCCCTATAGTAACCCTTAAAGACCACTTTTAAAAAACTCTATTCTAATCATTAAGGCCCCTGGACCCTCGTAGTCAGATCCCAAACCTTGGCCCCCAAAGCCCGAACCCCTTCCCCAGAAAGCCCATGACCCTCTTAGGAGCCTTTTGGTAATCATTAAGGCCCCTGTATGCACTCAGAGCCCTGGAATGGGCTGAGGCCCTGGCACAGCGGCCAGCGATCTTCCGCCTGGCAGAAAGGAGCTCTCGTCATACCCAGAGAGCCCAATACCCCTTAATTGAGGAATATAGCTTCAATCATAATATGAAGCCCTATATAATTTAAGCCATATTCCTTAATTAAGGGGTATTGGGCTCTCTGGGTACTTTCGGGGCCTTAACGACAAGGGTTTAGGCTTCCTTTAAAGGGGCCTATAAGGGCCATGATAAGGATTGAAGGGTTTAGGGTTTCTTTAACGGGGTCTATAAGGGCTATTATAGGGATTGAAGGGTTCAAGGTTCCTTTAAAGGGGTCTATAAGGGCTATTATAAGGATGTATTATCGTCATACCTAGATCGTCACTCTACCTGGACCCTACCCTACAGATCCTACAGTTTTACGTTTCCTGATTATGATTTCTGTATAAAAGTGTTGCACAATTTCAAAGGTAGGTTCTTTGGAGTCTAGGTGAACCCTAAACCGACTTCGGTAGTAGGTAATCTAATAGAGAAATAAGCAGCCTAAAAGCCTTTAACGGTTATGGTGCTTATAACTCTGTAAGATAGCCACTACTAAGTCCCCCGGCCCCCCAAGCAAGGAACCCACGGGGGAGTTTAGGGCAGTTAGGGTTTATCGTGTAGGCGTCCTACCAGGTTCTAGAGACGCCCAAAATCGAGAGCAGCTTCAACGATGACGATACGACCAAAAAACCCAAAAGGTGTACATCGCTCACCGGTATTACTGCAAGATGAGTTCCCAATGTAAGTGCCAATTATCAGCATAAGGGTCCGTGTGCTCATATGTCACATACGTTGGCCTTGCAGTCTCTATATACGGGGCTTTAGGGTCAAAGTATATTGTATACTATATGGGTAGTTGTCAATAAATACGGCACCGAATATCTAGGGTAACAAAAAAGGACCAAAATTTTGACAACCACCCATATGAGTACGAGGGCCTGTCTACTTCGTACCTACTTACTAAGTACCTCGACCCTCCAAGTAGGGCTTAAGGCCTATATTGGGGGTGTGAAAAAGGATTCCTATACAGGTCCTTCAAGGCCACCATATACTCCGTAGCTGAGTAGGTACGGTTTAGGTTTTAGCGATTTAGGGTTTAGGGTCTTTGAGGTTCACTCCAAAAGCATAAACCCCATGCTCAAGACTTGAAGACGAGTGGTTCAGGGATCATGGTCAGAATTTTTCCGCCGGGAAACCTGTCTGGCTTTTGCAGCAAACGCTAGGCGAAGGACAACTAAGGAATCTAAGGATCCCAAGGCCCAGTGTGCCAGTTTTCACAGAGGATGTCAGGGTTTGCAAACTTGCACCCTTCGGCGACATGGGCCCTCGTCGGCATTGCGTGGTCTGCAACGCGCGGTGCAGCACCAGGAGTTTGCGGGCCGAGCAGGGCTTGCAAAACTTTTTGACGACACACGGCTACGACGTGTTGAAGCCGAAAACCTCTGCTGCCTGGTCCCTCTGCAGCTGCTGCGCCTGCTTGGCGAAAGTGCCCGACTACATGAAGTGCTGGTCCTTGATGGTGGTGGCGGGACTTCTCTGCACTGCCATGAGATTGTACCCAGGCCACACTGACTGGGAGCACAAGAACCTGTCTCGGGTGAAGAAGCACATGCTCAAGCCCAGCTTCGCGAAGACAAAGAATGGTTCAGCAGACCACCCCACAGATCGTTGTTCCTCGTTCCTCTACGGTCCCCTGCGGCGAGAATACGGGCAAGATCGGGTCTCCTTCTTTTTCGGTTTCTGCTTCGTGAGGCTATGCTGTAATGGCAGCTCCGCGATGCAAGCCCTTTTGCAGCAGTGGCGGAGGCAAACATGCAGCAACGTCATGACGCCGGGTTTAAGGTTTAAGGTTTAAGGCTGAGGGATTAGGGGTTAAATAACCCTACCATAATTGAAAAGACTAACGCGTTGTGGCATAGTGTGCTCAGCCCCTGACTGTAAGAGTACTTGGGCCCAGAGGACTTGGTTTCGTAGGTCATTAAACGCAACTCGGAAACTCCCAGGTTCTAACTTCTAAGAGCCGCATGCCCGAAGGTCCCGGGCAACCCGAGACTCCGAAAAACTTTTGGTACGGAATATACCGAAAATCCTGTTTGGGTTGCTAATGTAACTTAGGGGATAAGCCAGAACTATGGGGGGGTTTGGAGTCTGTGGGTGCGGTTATGGAGGGTACTTCCCTAGATGATAATAGTAGTTCCTGATATAGAAACGCTGCATTCTACTGCATTGGTTCTTTGGACCTTTTGAGCAAAGAGGTCTACTGATATACTTAAAGGCCCCAAACTTAAGCTGCAAGCCATAAATCCCAACTCACCTGGACCTGCCGCTTACCTTCTACTGTATCCGGGTTCTATAGTGCTTTGAGGTCCTAGTACACCGGACTTCGCAAGTACAGGAAATCTGGATCAGGTAGCTATACTTGCCATTTCGTACAGCAGTCCAATTACAGTACTCGTAGTGTTCTTTTCAAGCCTCCTGATCCTTCAGATGAAAGATAGCAAGAAGAAAAGTGGATTTCAATTCTTGGCGTTCTTCTGGTCGGCTCTTTAGACTTTAACTTTTTGTGCCGGGTTGTTGCCTTTACTAGATTAAGGGTTGATTCCTCCCAACTCCCAACCCTCACCTTAATGCATCCATCAGCAACAGCAGCAGCAGCAGCAGCAGCAGCTCCTGACCACCATCGACATCGACGCGAGGCGGGCTCGCATTAGGGTTTCGTAGGCGTAGATGGGTTTGGGGTTTACCGGGCTTAAGATATTGTATCAAAATAACTGAAGGGTTCGGGCTTGGGGGTTTGAAGGGTTTAGGGCCGTAAGCGCGTGGAAGACTTACCGAGCTTAAAGTTGTTTTGGAACCACGAGCCTAAACCCTGATGCCTAGACAAGAAAAACCTGAACCCGAATACTTCAACGGCAATTTTAAACTCGACAACTACACCCTTCATTCTCCACGTTTAAGCTCACCACTCCTGTTAATTAAAGAATGTTCCCATGTAACCCATTCTCACAAAAATGCTGACAAGTTGGCTTTAGAGCCACCAAGTCAATAAGCCCAAAATCCCCCAGCCCGAACCCTAACCCCAGGAAGCATTGAGGAGCTTTGGGAATGCTCTATACTATCTGTTCCAATACATCAGGGCGATGAGGTTTAGGCTCATGTTCTAAAACACCCTAGGCTTGGCATTGCTGCACTCTTCGGGCAAATCCTGAACCCAAACCCTAAACCGTAATGGAAACAATGGTACAATATTATTATAAGTCAGCGCCCCCTGAATAATACAAACCCTACGCCTGAATACTTCAACGACAACTAAACCCTCCCTCTATCTACTCCTTTCCCCGAAGGGTTAGAGGTTGTCGTAGGGTTTAGGGTTGTTGGGTTTAGGTATAGTGATGCAGGGACTCCGACGAACTTCGACATCAGCGATTGCCTGGGCCTGAGTCCGAGAGTAGTGCAAGGGTTTTCTGGGATTGGCAGCAGTTGGGACTCTGGGTCAGGGCCTTTTGGCCTTGGCTCGGAGGCCCACTGCTGTCCGGGGGTTGGTAGCTGGGACTCCGGGCCAGGCTTAGGCCTGGCTTGGTTGGCTCAGCTACCCTAAGCCTAAGCGGTTATAGAGTTCTTGCACTGTTGCATGTCATGTGCTTGCCGGACTTGGGGCCAGTGGGTCTGCGGACTCCACTGGCTTCGAGGCTGGCAAGCCCCATGCGCTTTGCCAGACTTGGGGCCAGTGGGTCTGCGGACTCCACTGGCTTCGAGACTGGCGAGGCTGGTTTGCTGGACTTGGGGCCAGTGAGTCTGCGGACTCCACTGGCTTCGAGGCTGGCAAGCCCCATGCGCTTTGCCAGACTTGGGGCCAGTGGGTCTGCGGACTCCACTGGCTTCGAGACTGGCGAGGCTGGTTTGCTGGACTTGGGGCCAGTGAGTCTGCGGACTCCACTGGCTTCGAGGCTGGCAAGCCCCATGCGCTCTGCCAGACTTGGGGCCAGTGGGTCTGCGGACTCCACTGGCTTCGAGACTGGCGAGGCTGGTTTGCTGGACTTGGGGCCAGTGAGTCTGCGGACTCCACTGGCTTCGAGGCTGGCAAGCCCCATGCGCTTTGCCAGACTTGGGGCCAGTGGGTCTGCGGACCCTGGCCCGAGGCTGGCGAAGCTTGTCTTGTGACTTGTCATGCATGGCATGCCACGACACATCACGCCATTCACTGGGGTTTGGGTTCAGGGCCAGGGATGGGGGATGTCCGGGTCTCAGAGAGGGGGGAGGGAGGGTTTCTACTGCTATTATTGTTAACTACCCACGTCACTGTTCTGAGTACTGATTGCTTCTTGATGCCGATGTTTCCAGTATTTCTCCTCCTACTCATACTCCACCTTGTACTCCTACTCCTACTGCTGCCGCTATTGCTGCTAATACTGCGACTACTGCTTCCGCGACTGCTCTTGCTACTGCTACTGCTTAGACTGCTGCTGACGCAGCCGCCACTGAGCTACGACCACTATCAATTAATAACTACTGTTACTGACAGTTACTGCTAGGTCGACTCATATTGTTACTGCTGCTGCTACTATTACTACTACTACTACTACTACTACTACTACTACTACTACTACTACTACTACTACTACTACTACTACTACTACTACTGCTCCTGCTACTGCTGCTGCTGCTGGTAGTACTACTGCTACTACTACTACTACTACCACTACTACTGCTACTGCTCCTGCTACTGCTGCTGCTGCTGCTACTACTACTACTACTACTACTACTACTACTACTACTACTACTACTACTACTACTACTACTACTACTACTAGTATTACTACTACTACAACTGCTACCACTGCTACTGCTGCTGCTGCTGCTACTACTACGACTACTACTACTACTACTACTACTACTACTACTACTACTAGTTACTACTACTACTACTACTACTACTACTACTACTACTACTACTACTACTACTACTACTACTACTACTACTGCTACCACAACGACTGCTGCACTCCAGGTCGAAAGCTGGC